CGGTGGAGGAGCACCGACGAGTCGTACATGTCTGTGACGAATACCCCATGTTAGCTGTGAATCATTGATATCAAACACAAAAACAAAAACAGGGGTAAAACTTACCAGCCGCAGCGAGCGCAATGCTGTTGGCTCGCCTCGTCACGCTCTTAGTCGAGTAGCTGACACTTCTGACCATTTCACGTGCGTGGTTGATGAACTGCTCGACCTCCCTCACATTCTCCACCGGTTCGTACTCATCCTTGACCCTCTCCATCCTCGTCTCTGCCTTCAGCTTAGACCGCTCTTGCATCATCTCCAGCTGTAGCTCTGGGACCAAGAAGAACTCCCACAGCATTTCGTGGGTAGCAAAGGTTGGGTGGTTGAGCAGAACCTTGAGGGCCGAGTCCGTCTTGGCCTGGATGTCACGGAGAATGGCTCTCGACGGTTTTGAAGGAATCTGAAAGGGGGACCGTGTGTCTGACATGGACGGGAGCCAGGAAGCCGGGTTCTCGTCAGCCAGAAGCTGTAAGAGCTGCTCAAACTCCGCCAAGGATCGTCGACTGGTTGTGACCGTGTAGCTCTCGCGCGCAGTGGGTGCTGCCGACTTAAGCACTAGTCGTACGTTTCCATCTTCCACGAAGAAGGCCCGGACCACGCCAGTGATCCGCCCTTCTCGCCCGGCTTGCATGCTAAAGAGCGCCAGATCATCTATACGGTTTCGGACGTCGTCATCCTTGGCCAGCTCCACGGCCGTCAGGCCGCGCAACTCCTTTGCTGCAATATCTACCCTTGCATCGGCAAAGAGTGCTCTTACCATGTCGTATCTTCCATACTTGCTGGCGACCATGAGCGCCGTGAATCGCTTCTCATTCGTGGCATTCACATCGACGTCGCAGAAGTCTAGCACGCCGCTCGCAATCACCGGGTCGTTGATGATGTGTAGTAATGTGTTGCCCTTGTTATCAACATGCTCATCCAAATGTAGTGGTTCGTTATCCATCTGTGCGTCCCTCGCTGCTTCAAGCCCGGCCTTGACCATCTCATGGTAGTTGGCGTGATCGTATGACCGGCACAGGGCGAAGAGTGGCGTTTGACCATTCTTATCTCGTTGGCGCCATGGAACGAGGTGAGCGACTCGTGGGATCAAGAAAGGTGCATTAAAAAGGTAGTGACCCACCGTTCGCCCCCAGATGTCTGGAAGTGCGAAGTACAGGGCCAGCTGCTCCTGGCTCGTCTTGTTGGTAAGAACGTCCAGCAGCATATCGATGATTTCTTTGTGTCCTAATTGGACGGCTGCAATTAATAGGGTCGTATCTTCATTATTCACATCCTCTAGCAGATCTTGCACAGGGTAGTACTGTGACAATGATAGAAGATAGCTCAGAGCCTGCGGCTGCTCACTCTGAATCGCCATCATCAGGATGGATTCGCCAAAGGCGTTGTTTGTTTGTGACAGACGTTCCACGGATATGTCACCCTCTAGCGCGCTACCAAGAGACGCAAGGCTTGCTGTGCGAGAGTGGAACGATATTTCCGAGTTACTAGAGAGGCTACGAGTGTCCATGGCCACCCTCTTAACCCTGCGTATTGGGAAAGCAGGTGTGTCTCCATTGAGCTCCGTATTGTTTTGGAAGGGAAATACATGGCTCAGATCGGAGCCTTGGGAGAACCTCTCTGTTGTTGTGAGAGCTAGTGAAGATCTCCTCGAAGAGCCGTTGAGTAGGCTCCAAGTCCCCGACCCTCTTCTTGACCTTGGCCATTCAGGGGAATCTGGCGCATCGTCAACAGCCGACGTACTGGGCTCCATGATGCCTCTTAACTCTTCCATGTTGCCATTCTTTGCCGCATCCCAGAGAGCCTTGTTTTTCCTGCTTGCCCGCCTCAGGCCAGAAGAATCCATGAGTAAATATGTCAAGACTGCTTCGAATGTACTCAGCGCATATCCCAACTCGCCGCTATCGACGTCATCAATAAAAATGAAATTCCGGATGTAGGTGAACCTTGCCTGTAAGTGGCGAACTTGAGATCGAATAACAACATATAGTAATAGTGAAACTAGGGTGTCGGCGTTGACAGTCATGATGGTTTTCTCTGATGTTCCACCGGCAGATGCGTCTCCGTTGGGTCCTGTTAATTGCGACACTGTCTTGACTGTTGACAGTAGTAGATCCAGCATCTCCTGGGGAGAGAGTGAGTTGGCTATCTTCTTGAATTCTTCAATGGCAGGCCCGAGTTGGATGAGGAGGTCGTGCTTAGCTTTCAGACCCCCATCGATACGGATCCCCAGCTGGGAAATATCAATGAACTCCATCTTCCGTATCTTTGCCTCAAGCTCCAGGTCTTCAGGGCGCTTGAGAGTGCAAAGCCGAGGGAATAGCAAGTGATTGACATTCTCAGCAACATAGCGTTCTATGAGCTTCTCAACCAACGGCCCCGTGAGATCCGTCGTTGCGCCCAGCAGAGACAATTGCTGTTTATCAACCCCCTGGAAGAGATCAATTGCCGTAGTTACAGCCGTTTCAAGAGAGGCCCTTAAGATGTCTTCGTCGTCTTCGGCATAGAAGTCATCGGTGATCGGAAGCTTGCGGGACCCCGCATCACTTGGCTTAACAGACGTGCTGTTTGACCTTGCCTTGCTCATGGCAATCTTGAAAGGGCCATCCGGGATCGGATCGGGGATAACTTCGGCTGATGGAGGCGGCGGGAGTGGTTTCTGGAAGGTTGTGGTGAATTCAAGGAAGAGTTTCTCCAGACCAGTATGCATCTGTCGTGCGATCATAGGGAAGTTATTAAGGAGGTCATGGAAGCTCCTGATGTCTTTCTTCTTCGGCGCGGGGTTGTCATTGGTATCGGTCTTGGACGCCTGCTGCTGCTGTGAGAGCATGCGCCGTCGCACTCCTGGAACAAGAACTGCGGGCGTGATCTTGACCTCCTCCCATACTCCGACAAGCGGTTTCGAGATGAAGTATAGTAGCCATTGTCGTGGTTCGAAAACGTCGGGGTAGTAGGTATTGTCACTCAGAATTTGCGCCTGAACAAGCGTCTTGAAACCTAGGAGCGAGAGGGATTAGCTTGCGACTATTATCCTCCAATGATGATGACCAACTGACCCTTGTTGCTGTAGACAAACGAGTCCTTGATGATGACGCTCCTGCCGTTGAGCGTGGACAACTGCTTGGCCTTGCCCCTTACCTCGCGCAGGTTTGGAGCGCCGTCTTTCGCCCCAGGCCCGGCGCCAGGTGGCGGAATGCGGAGAACATGGCTGGCGAGGAAGTCCTCGGAGGTTATGACCTCGTTGACGGCGGCGCCGCTCTCAGTCTCTCGGGAGGTGAGGAGCACATCCGTCAGGGGCACCAGGAGGATATGGTGGTGGACGGGGGTGCACTGGGAGGCTACCGAGCTCTTGAAGAAAGCGGCAAGGAAGGGGTTTAGAGGTTGCATTCACTCGGCTTGCTGTGCGATTGAGGTGAAGCTGGTCAGGTCCGGGGTGAGGACGGGCGAGGGCTAGGAGGCTGATAGCTGGATGGGGCGCTGTGCGACAGCTCGAGGTTCCATTAAACGATGGTGGTGCAGCAACGTGCTGTCGCGAAACGAGTACAAGCTGCGGCGGGATGGTATCAACGGATTCAACGGAGCATTGCGCAGAGAGAAGGGAGCCGGGTGGTGGTGTCGCTGGGTCGGGGTATGGCGTCTCGGCAGAGGTCGATGGAATGACGGAGAGGTGCGACTCGGCAGTTCCGGGACGAAGGAAAAGGCTGGCCGGGGTGATTGCACGTGTAGCGCTTGGCCGGCGTCTCTGGCTGCGATTGAGGAGCGTCAAGGTGTGATCGAAGCACGGAGGATGGTGGACGGCGTCGGGGGAGATTAGACGGAAGTGGGTGGCGGTAGGTCAAGGTGGTGGTAGCTGGCCGACTTCAATATATTGACTGCGTCAAACGGCGATCTGCCTGGGAGCTGCTGCGTGTCTGATCCGGCATGGATTGATGGGGCATGGCTTTAGGGGGCTTCCGCCTGTGACGACGCTGCGGACCCCTGCAGATGGCCCCAGAGTCAGCCACTTCAGGGCGGTGCAGCGCCTGACAGGGCCTGCAGCGCTTGGGCCACCCTTAGTGGTTGAGCCTATCCGGCGATGATTCAGCCTAGGGTAAGGTATCCGGCTGTCTGCAGCAATTGAACTTAACCTATACCTTGCGGAGTGAGCAGATGCAAATCTCGCTCCAGTTGGGATTATACTTTGAGACCTGGCATCAAATCTTTTTGGGGTATAGAAACATACCTAGGCCCGAAGCAGAATATTCGCATTCATTCAAAGCCGGTATCTATGAATATACGATGTTTTTCTGATAAAGACAAATCTCAAGTGAAACAGTTTGCGCTCGCTGCTTGTGCAAGCCTCATCCGCCCAGATGATGCAGTGATACAGGCTTCACCAGTTGGCATCACATATTCTACCCCTCTTTATAATTACGCACCCCTTCTTATTCCGGTCTGCTGCCCGGATCATTTGGATCCACGCTTTTCAGGTCCGGGCAAGCTTCTACTGGCCTAGCTTTGACAGTCGTTCACTCACGATGCTTGCCATCGATAGCTGCCAGCTCATCGGCTCAGTATCACATGAGACACAGCTACCATTGAGGTGGCCGCGCGGCTGTTTGTCTTGCAGGATCGTTTCAAACATCTGGTTATGATGCAACTTGAATGAAGCTAATGGATTGAAAGTTAATGGATGCTGAATTCGAATGAACGCCAGTGGACATTTACAATGCATTCCATTGACGTGTTATGAAAATACTGGAATATTGCTATAGAATAGGTACATTTGACTAATAAACAATTTCAGGTTCAGATATACATTTACTAGAGCTAGTGCTGAGAGCCCGCTTCTTATCACTGAAAATTTGTGAACGTTGGTGATCGGCGCAAAGGAGAGATTCTGGTGTAGAGCTTTGTGAAGCTGCATGGGACAGCCTTCTGGGATGACGGATGACATAGGAAATTGACTTTGGCCCTCGCAAGCTCTAGCGAAAGATCCTCCGAAGGAGGTGTCTCAACACCATGTTACCACCACCTTCGCCCTCGTCGTATGGGTTGCGGAATATCTTTCCAGTCTCCCTGGTGTAGGCTCGCAGCTGGTCAACGTCTCTGAATATCCGAACCTTTTGCCCACTTTGATTTCGCCCCCAATCAATCAAATCCACGATATTGACGTGTTTATTTCGTGCAGCCTGCGGTCCGAATCAGCATGAACACGAAAGATGCGCCGCTTATATTCTTACCTTCTTGCACAGCGCACACGTTTGCGGAGGGGGCTCGATGCCTATTGCACGGCAGAGTGAATGCCAGGCCGCTAGATCATCTTCTGCACCATACCACATCTCAAGCTCGATCGCCAATGCATCTTGATATCTGTTCCATGCCTCGTCCCCTTCGGGATCGCCCCGTTCCCAGCCCCTTTGGTCTCGTAACTTGGCGTACGACGTGGATGGCGGGAGAGAAGGATCGTATTTGAAACTTCGAAAAGAGCCGAAAAAGATGTCCAAGGGGGTTTTTGATTTCCGTCCGTGGACTGGAGAGTCACGCAAGTGAGCCTCTAAAGCCCCCTTGCTTTGGAATTTGCGATCACAAGTCTGGCAGTTGAGGGTCGAATCATGAGCTGGCGACTTCATATGCTGTTTCAGTGCCTCATCGCTTTTGAAAGATTGACTGCAGATCTTGCAGTCAAAGGTCGGTGCGTGTATGTGTGCTGGCGACTGCATATGCTGTTGCAGCGCCTCATCGCTTTTGAACGATCGACCACAATTTTTGCAGGGAAAGGTCGGATCATGAGCTGGGGACTTCATATGCTGTTTCAGTGCCTCGTCATTTCTGAAAGATCGATTGCAACTTTTGCAGTCAAAGGTCGGTGCATGTGCTGGCGATTGCAGATGCTGTTGCAGTGCCTCCTCGCTTTTGAAGGATCGACCGCATGTCTTACAGTCTACGGGCGGTAAATGAACAGACGGTAAGTGAACGGGGGAAGTTTTCAGATGCTGCCCTAGCGCATCTTTGGTCATGAATTTTCGATCGCAAGTATCGCAGTCGAATTGAGCATGTGCCCATGAAGTTTGCAGATGCTGCCGTAGCGCCTCATCGCTACTGAAAGAACGATCGCATGGAGCGCATAGGGAAGGCATCATGCCAGTGTGCCATACCAGTGATACGGATTTCTCCAGCGGATAATCCAGATATTTTGAACCTCTGGAGCGGGGAGTCGATAGCCTAATTATACACGTCACGCATGGAAAATGGACATGCCGTGTAACCATGGAGGCTCAGCTCCGTCCAATGATGCTGTGACACAGAAGCATCGGCGCCTGATGTAGACTGAAGAAGAGCCAACAGGCTATAAACCTTGTCATTCGGTATGTTGGTGGTGAGCTCGGTTATTTTTTAAGGGGCTCCGAGAGCTGAAGAAACCTGTTAATCCATGTTCGCTCTGGTAGCATTTAGCCCTTGGCATATGCCGTTGGTTCACGAGAAGCTCGTTTGCTTGCTACTACAGCAGCGATGCGGCTCTGGGCATTTCCGCCCAACTGCTGCCCATTTATGACAACCCCATGGTCTGAATATGATGCCTGAATCATTGACGTGAAGGCCGTACTGGGATGAAACGTGTCTGTCAATATCTAGTGGGAGTAATTCAGTATCGATGTTGGTGTCTTGGGTTACTAGAAACTAAGAGATCGAGTTCCAGGCCTTTTAAGTCTAGGATTCTCGTTGCTATTGGAAGGATATCGAGACAGCAAGCCAAAAAGATTTTGAGGCTCTACAACGTGTAGTTTTACGTGAATATGGTAGATGAATCCATGGGTTTCGCTAACTCTCAAAGCCCGACAATGAAGATAGATGGGCAACGAGGTTTTGTTCTCATGCCCGAGCTCCCAAACGTCCTTGATTACGCGGGGTAGCTACTGCTTCTGAATTTTTTCTCCCCAAATGTAACCATCATCGACATCATTCATGACCTTTAAGTATTCCAATACTTTTTGATCTACCCAAACTCATCCCCAACCCAGTCAAAGCCCGGAACGAACTTTTCGATAATGTCTGCGATCAAAGACGATGGCAAGCCAAGCCCCGTGGATCTCGCGAGCAGTGTTGGCACTTGGTTGGCGGCAGGGTTGGCACTTGTGGCGCTGCTGGGCTTATTGCGCCATTCCTTGCTATCCAGTCGTCGATGAGTGACAGAAACCGAGCGTTGAACGCCGTCCAAGATCTACCCCAGAAATACATCAGCCAGGGATACCATCTCTGGACGGGATATCGGATCTTCCGCTCGATTCGTGTTCCTAATCTTTCTCCGGGTTACATCACCAACCACGCGAACACTCTGTCCCTACTACCGGCTCACATCATACTGGGACACTGCATTTTGAACCCTTGTGATTTCCTGCCTTGGAACACAGGCTGGGCGAAACTCTCGGAGTTGCTCCAGGCAAATACAGTATCCGTGGCTCCAGGCACAGACCCGATACCGCTTGGTGTTTCTCGGGGAGGTACTCTTGAGGTTGTGAACAGCCGGACAGCCTTGGTCGTCAATAAGTACTGGATTCTTCTACTTGGGTTGCTTGACCGGTAAGGTCGGCGGAAGGATAAAGGGGGTTTGCAACATAACGGTATTCGGCGTGACTTTAAGGGTGAGCGAGCATTGTTTCGGCATTTTAGACATCGGATAAGGGCGACCGTAGATCTGGGAGATGTGACCCCGTCCGAGCCTGCCAGGTGGTCGACCAATTCCGGTACTTCGTGCTCTTCAGGTTCCCGGTCTACTATTTCCTCTTCCGCAACGACTTCAGATGCTTCCTCTGGTGAATCGTCAGACACCTTTTGCCTTCAAGATCCTCATTATGAGCATTACAGGGGCTGCTCAATTTCCTCAGAGGAGGAGACCGAGAGTTCCGATCATGAAAAGGTTTTATTGTTAAGACGTAGCAAGCATGGAGAATGGAGATTAGAGAAAAATCCACCTGCAGCGATACACAGCATCACTAAAACATTCAAAGAGCTGGGGCGACATAAGGGCGACTGGAGTTGCTTGACATGTGTCTCGTTCGTGCCACATTCAACAGAAGAGATTTTCACCATTCCTGTTATCCCAAAATGGGAGGGCTTGTCGGTAGAGGATCTGTTTTGGCTCGTCCATGGCTTGTTTCTCGCTGCCGTTCTTTGAAGGGAGAGCTCACCATCATATCATTTGATAGTCCTGTTTTCGAGGAGCGCAAACTCAGTTCATTGCGCTGGAACACTTCCCCTAGGCCCATTACAATTTCGTTGCAAAAGTCGGAGAGTATTCCCTTGTCTATCGGTGATGCAGTTAAGTCTCTGGGATTTCTGAGCCCACCGTTCTACAGTTTCTTCCGCTCAAGGAGCCGAATGAAGATGATTGCTGTCACACTCGGGGGCTTAAAGAAGGCGTGAGATTCTTAGTTGGAGAAGATGGAAGTCTATGCTCTGTGGAAGCAGACGAGAGGGTCATGCCCTCAAATGAAACGCCGGGCCCACTGATGACTGACGGTGACTGGATACATTACAACAGTGATTCACTTGGTTTTCATTTGAGATTTAGAAGGCTCGAATTGGAGAGGTCGATTTCGATGCTGATTGCACTTGATTGGGATGAATGGGGGATGTTGATTTGGAAGGACAGCTTTTGGAAATCGATACTCAACCCATCAGTCTATATCTTGGGACTGACTGTCCTTAGTGGGCAGGAAGACCGCTTTCCGGCATTGCGATGGAATACATCACCATGGCACCGGCATGAGAAATTCTCCGACTACCTTGCTTCCGATGTGTTATTATCATCCTCTCTGGACGAGCCGGAAGTCAAGTCCATCCGTCTAGCCCTCGGCACTTTATTCATCATGGACAAGGGATTCAGGGGTCGGATTCACAGATCATGCGCCAAGTTTTTTGCAGGGGAAACGACCGAACAACTGAGGGACAAAGCACAGAATAGGCTTGTTATCTTGCAAAAGAGAGCGCAAGCGATCGTATCAGAGTCATTCGAGACCAACGGAGGCGGGAAGGAGACGAAGCCAACAACTAAGAGTCGGGAGAAGCAGCAGCGTGGAACCGAATACCTCTTGCCGCCTCAATTCCAAGAAAATTAGTGTTAAAGCGATGGAGGTATTTGGGATAGATTTTGAGGCCCCTGCGGTAAGTTCCAAGGCACAATATCATAACTCGAACGCAAGGGAAGATGGGTTAACGCGATGAGCAGGATCACCCCAATAGACTTATAACAAAAGAGCCAGTTGCTTGGGAAACCAAAAAAAAAGCTCATTGAATTCACCAAGAACAATAAGAGGATTGAGGCTTTGGAAAAAGAGATGGCAGGCTTAACAGAAGCTGTATTGGAATACGATTTCAGCTCTAAGCAGCTCAAGTGGTATGAGGATAAAGAAACTAAGAGCTCCTTTTGGCTTTGGTATCTGAATGGTGATTTGGTCCGGGTACTATCTGCTTCAGCAGTCATCGAATTCTCCGAAAAAGATCTTGTTCACGTGGCTTTGTGGGTGGCGAATAAGGCTCAGCTTTGGCTGACTGCGCAGGATTCCAGCCCTCTTTTGGATTTTGTGGAGGGCTTGGACGAGGATACCTATGTCTTGTGATCTCGTTGAGCTTGAAGGCCTCGCATCATCTTGGTAAAAGGTGGCTTTAGCTAGATCACGGACACCGTGTGTGATCGGAACGTTAATTTCCTCGTCAGAACTCTCGACGAGTTTTTGGCAGTGCTACCTACCCATTTGAGTGGCATATTGCCACCATACAAGGGGCCAATAGCTTCCATCAAGATATGGCTGGGTCTAGTCATTATTTTAAATCTATATTCACTAAACGTCTCTGTGCTAATAATGTCTTACTCTTCCTTGGTGCTTGCTTTTGGTGCTAAGTAAGGACCAAGCCAAGTGGGTGATGTGAGAAATGAGATACTGTATGGAAGAGTGATTATAGAGAGACTCTCTCCTGACTTGAATCGAGAAATACAGTAGTATAGAATGAAAAATAGTAATAATATATACCGTATTATCTCGGAAGTTTGTATTATTAGTATTCAATAATCTGATAATACCGGCTACAGACTCGACAATAAGCAGTTTATTATTTGAGTGTCTTATTTCTCATGTCACCCACTTGCAAGCCTGTACTGATAGCTACTTAGACAGGCTAAAATATAATTGCTGCCTCAAGTCTACATGATAACTTATATACGAGTTTAATATAGCGTAACAGGTATCAATACCTCTTTATGGAACGTACTATAGCTGCAATATGGGCTTGCGGAACGAAATCTTGTCTGTGGATGGAACGGAAACGGTCCAGCTACTGACAATAGCACCTTCATGAACCAAATCCAACGGTGCCTCATTCGCTGTAACGGAAATTGCGTCCGACCGTAGCGTGGCCATGGCGGAGGGAACCTGCAGCGGCATTTCACCAACGACGGTGATATTTTGAGGGCGACAGTTGGCATGTGTAACATGTTCGCACTTGAAGTATTTGGGCCAGCCGTATCATGAAGGCCTATGAGAATCACAAAGGCGAGCATCAAGTGACGGCAAGGCGGGGCGGCAAAGATAAAGAACTGTCATATCTCCTGACAAACTACAACCGGCATGGCCGTGGACTGACTGGGAAGGGTGAATCACGTACTTTCTTGCCGCGACTTGGCAGTTCAATTCTTTAGTCGTTGGCTGAATGGGGGCGATCCGCTGTGCGGCAAACAACAGCAACGTAAGCTCCTGTATCACACTTTGGAGAACAGAGCAACAACATGATACAAACACGGCTCAAGTGTTTGGTGACAGCCCAACCCACTCGCGGGAAGTCAAACCTTGATTATTTCCATCAGCTATCCAATGAAGAGAACCAAACAAGGTACCGCCTGAACGCCCAACAACTCACCGCGCCGGGAGAAGCAAACACTTTAGTCAAAATACTCAAGAACCTGCGTAACGCCATCAATGGAGTGTCACAAAGCCAACTATAAACGTCCACGCAAGGAAGACAACTGGATATAAGAACCGTGCCTTCACAGCACCTCCTGGAGTAACGGCTCAGAAATACCACAAGACTCTCATCTTGAAATTCAAACTTGCTCTAATTTCGCTCAAGACCAAGCTTCGAGGGAACTCACTCTGCTTTACAAGCACGGGAAGACCCAAAACACCAGACAACACACCATCATCTGTCCTCAACTACACGATGTCTGTCACCGACGAGCAAGGCATGAGGGCAGATCAGATATACCGCCCACTGGACTTCTCCAAGAACGAAATTCGCCTAATCGAATTTGAGGACGATGGCGGGGACAGAGAAGACCCCTTGCGATTGAATCTACACCATGTATCACTGGATGATTGGGACCCTGAATTTGTCACTTTGCGCAACCAAAATCCATCGGTGAATATCTTGAAGCTCGCCCAGGCCGAGGAGAATGAAATATTCAACTGGGGGCGTTATACCTGCTTGAGCTATACACGGAGAGATTTTGAGGGAGAGAAGGCCACAATCTTCATCAACGGTGTCGCGACACCTGTGGACAAATATCTAGAGCATGCTATGCGAGATACAGCTTTTTCCGAATATGTGCCACAGCTATGGGTCGACGCTCTCTGTATCAATCATGCTGATACGTTTGACCGGAATCAACATCTTCTGCGTAGAAAGGCCATCTTCGGCCACGCTTGGAGAATTGTAGCATGTGTCTACGACAAAGAAGAGCTCACGGATTATGAGCTTGACTATACTTTTGCAGACTTTCCGTGGGCCAACTTAGAGAATTGCGATTGGATCATGACGAATCTTGGCAGGCAAGTTCTTGAAGAGGCTCTCGGAGCTCGGCATCGGAACTGGGGAGCGGCGGAGCAACAAGACGAAAGAATCAGGCGTGATCTTAGTAAAGATGACTTTGCTTTAATGTTTGATGAACATTTGGGAGTGCCTTGGCGTAAGCATCGAGAGAGCAACTCGGGCGATGAAGATTGGCACGAACCGGAGACTTGCAATGTTCGCTTCTTGGACCTAGTCCAGTCAGAGCTATTGAGGCTGCTCGAGAAGGAATATTGGTCACGTCTAGAGACTATCCAGGAGCTGACAGAAAATCCTGACCAGACTCTCTTGGTGTGGAAGGGTTGGATGGGCGAGCCGATCCCGTTTCCGTTCTTCCTGGCTCTGGGCGACATCTTGCTCAACTTACACAAACATGAGAAGCCCGCGGACCCAAAGCTTTGGAAGAAGCTGAAACACAAGCTGGACCTCTGGAAGTTCATTGCCAGAAAGAAGGAACTGGAGACTGCGACGGGCGGTACGGAACGGTTGGACAATGTCGGCGTCAAGGAGTTGAACTCACTCGTTGCGCGTGCAAGCTGCTCGTTCCCACAGGACCGAGTCTACGCCATACTGGGCCTATTCCCGCCGTCAATTTCAGGCGCCGTTACGGTAGATTACAGCCAGGATGCGGCAGTGACCGCGGCTCAGTTTCGCTCCGTGGTCCCAGGCTGGAACTGCAACCGGCTAAAGCCGAGAAGCGACAGTGATGATGAGTGAATGAGTTAGAATGTCGTGGTTCGAGGGTGGAATTTGAATTAGATTGATAGCATATTAATAGCAATCCACCTCTTCTTCCCAAAAACCGTTGTCAAGCCTCACTGACTGATAACAACGCTACTGGGGGCTGGCTGATTATGTTCAAGGTCCAAGTTGACAACTTATATACGAGTTCAATATACTAAGCGTAACAGGCATCTATCTCTTGAGTGTATTATTTCATTACAATCGCAACTCCCGTTGCCGTTGCGTTTTGACTTGCTTCATTCCTTTCTCTCACTTCGTCTAAGCCTTCTCATCCGGAACCCGACGCTCCCACCTGATCACAGCAGGCATGGTAGGCCGCGAGAACAGAGACGAGTAATCAGTAGGAGGCACCTCCCGGCTGCCGTCCACGTTGCTGAGGTGGAAGTGGCGCACAAACGTGGCGACAATGACCTCCAAGTTCAGATACGCAAACTTCTCGCCGATGCATCGATGCCGTCCAGCGCCAAAGGGCAGATACGCGCTGCGGGCGCCCTTGGACAAAGCCTGCTCGCTTTCCTCCTCCTCCTCCTTGGCCTCCTTCCCCCCATCTCCCTCCACCTTCTTCTCCTCCTTGCTCTCCCAGCGGCTAGGGTTCCACTCGGCGGCGTTGGGGAAGTGCTCGTCGCTCAGCTGGGTGACGAGGGGCGAGGACAGCATGACGGTGCCCGGGTGCAGGACATAGGGGGTGCCGGGGACCTCGAGGGTGCGGGTGACCTTGCGCATGACGCTGTGGATGGACGAGTGGGTGCGGAGGGTCTCCCTGACGACGTTCTTGAGCAGGGGCAGCCTGTCTAGGTCGGCGTACGTGAGGGGCTGGAGCTTGCCGTCCTTGGAGAGGTTGTCGACCTGCTCCTGGTACAGGGCCTTGCCGACCTCGGGCCGCGAGGCGATGTGGAGGAGCATCCAGGAGCTGGAGGACGAGGACGAGTGCTGGCCGCCGAGGAGCATGGTGATCATCATGTGGGCGATCTCCTTGTCCGGGACCGGGGTGCCGTCCTTGTACTTGCAGTTGAGCAGGTTCCAGATCATGTCGTGCTCGGCTTCGGGCCCTTGCTTCCGGCGCTTCTCAATGACCTCGAGGAAGAGGTTTCGCATGTGGATGTGGGCGAGGTCTCTCTTGCGGTTGTGGGGGAACGGGAACCAGGGCATCAGGAAGTTGACAGGCTGGAGGCCATTGTCGAGGTCGTTGTACACCTTTGCGTAATCTCGGCTGAGCCTGGAGCGGATCTCCTCGCCCTGGATGGCGCGGCTGGCTGTGAAGATGTTGACCTCGGCCATGGCCTTTGAGATGTCGAGGGTGCCGGCCTGGCCCTTGAGCCCGGGCGTGGTCTTGATGTAGTCGGTGACCTCCTTCTCGATGATGGGGACGGCGCCCTCGAGGGCCTGTTGCGTAAGTGCGAACTTGACAAACTTCTTCTGCTGCATGAGCTTGGCGTTGGGGCAGTCGTATATGACATCTTTACCGAACACGGGGACGGTGAGAGGACCGTAGACTTCCTCGGCGTTCAGGTCGGCCACTTTGCCGTTGAGGATGAATTCGTTTCCGTCGATACCAAAGTAGCACATCAACTTCATGTTGAAGAGAGTAAAGGAGAAGATATCGCCATACTATATACCGGTCAGTGGTTACTCGGTATGCAGGGCCCGTGTAAGAGGACCATTTGAAGGGTCCCAACATACCTTTTCACGGTTCTTGCGGAAGAAAGTAGGAGGGTCCATGCCATATGAGATTGCATTTCCAACGATGGGGATCCAATGGAAGACGGCCGGCGGCTCAGACTTGCTTCTTGGAAGCAGCTGGCGAATGGCATTGCCGATGATAAGCAGGACCGTGGCGGCAACAGCCACCCCCGCGATCTTGACGAAAGAGTCCATTGTCTCCCCAGGCCGACGCTTCGATTGGAATTGACTGGACAGGTAGGTTCCTAGAGATGCCCTCTTGAAGGTTGGACAGATCTCATCGAGGGGACCGCAGACCTTTATACCCCTCGCCCCAGGATACAATTTTTGACCGCAACATATCAGCGAATCTTACAAATGTCGGAGATATAAATGGGTATTCCTTCTTTGGACGCCTTCTGATCGCCTGTAGCAGTAGATGTAAGGTTGACCGGTTCAGTGAGACAGCACGGGGCGAATCCGAATACGGCCGCGGCCAACCAGCACACACAAAAGTGGCGTGTTCGTATCCGGGATCCGAGCCCTCAGCCCATCTGCGCCGCACATCTCGATCCGAATCGGACTCGCAATACGAAATCTCTATATCACTTGCCAGATCTCATCAGATGGTCCCGGCGATTTAACTGCTGCCAGTCGTGGTGGCTCGGCATTTGCAATTTGGGCCTCGCCATTCGTCAATTGGAGATGCAGACCAGCGACTTACACGGTGGACTACCTACAAAGTATAACTTGCACAGAATCCAGTGTAAGTGGGACATGCGAATACGATTGACAGCTCTTTGGCGACTGGTTTCATGCCATGTCTGCTCAAAAGATAGATCACTACCTGGGTCCTCTTGCCTGCCCTTCAACCGACTGGCCATTGGCCGCCGGGGTCAATACGATCGAGACTGCGGGATGCGAATAAGGAGAACGGTGAAGACCCCTTGCCTGGTGTTTATCAGGTGAGTTTGCGAAAAAGATTTTCCTGGACGAGAAGAATCCGGCGGGAAACTTCCTTCTGATCCCTGCATCTGGGGCAATGTGGGAGGAGGAGGAGGGGCTCAGTATCCATCAGCAACAGAAGGATAGGTCAGAAAAACAGAGCCATTGATTGCTGCGAACCCCTGAGACTTGGCCCCGTCACATTATTTGATCTGCCCAGCTTCCAGTCAGCGAGTTTCCTTTTGTCAGGCACCATCTTGTACACTACTCCGGGCTATTTGGTCGTTGTCGAATCGCGGTTGAGCTATTGTAAGGGGACCCTTATTAATATCGGGTGGGCCTATGGCACGGCTCCATCGACTTCCCGTTCAAGAAAAACTGGCCAGGGCCGGGAAAAGCATTGCGAAGCATTGGATGGCGCGTGCTGCTGGAGCTCGTTCGTGCATATGGGTGTGTCACCTCTTGAAATAAGGTTGCCTGAATGTCTCTCTTAGGAAAGCCGGCCAACGACCAATCAATTGCACGTTAGGTATGTTCAAGTTCTCTCTTCTTCTTGTGCATATATTAGTTTCCTCCCCTCTGATATGCTAAACTGGTATTCAAAAAGACATGATATCATCTCATGAGTATTCGTCATCATGCAAGAGGTAGCCAGCGATGTTCATATGTATCATCCAGGCTCCAACCCCCAAAGACTCTCCAAGGCATTAGAAAGAATTCCACAGCCGCTTCCACAGAGGGGGCTTGTACCCTCCCGAGCTGATGGCAGCATCCGACTTATCGAGATCGACTCTCCTCCCGCTGGCCAGATCGATATCCCAGCTACGCTTGAAGGGATCGGCGCTCCGCCACCAGAGTTTGCAGATGACGTAGATGACGCCGAACAAGGGCAGCAGGATGTAAGCCACCACAAAGTTGGGCGCATCGAAAGGCGCCAGCGTGGTCCAGCCCTGTACAAACGCCAGGAAAATGGTGGCGATAAGACCTCCGTAGGCCAGGAAAGGGAACCCCATTGCCTTGAACGGCAGCTCGCGCAAGCTGTGGTTCTGAACCTTCCAACCGCGGCGGAATCGAATATGGATAAAGCAGATACCCGCCCAGACAAGGAAGGTGCTCACACCGGACAGGTTAACAATGTAGGTGTAGGCTTTGGCAGCACCCGTGGACACATTCATCATGGAGATGGAGCCGACCGCGTTGGTGATGAGAATAGCCCAGACCGGGACGCCGCGACCATTGACCCAGCCCAAGATTTTGGGAGCCTTTCCAGACTGCGCCATGTACAGAACGGTTCGCGAGCCGATGTAGATGGACGAGTTGATCGCAGATAGACAAGTGACCAAGATGAAGGCGTTGATTAGATGGACACCTGCGATTCATATAAGTGAGCGGTTCAAGATCATGAGCGGAGTAACAGTCACTTACCACCCTCCCAACCTGCATTCCGGATGGCAATCGTCATAGGACTCTGGAGAGCCTTTGAAGATCCACCAACAAGATCGGGCGCGTTCGCTGGGCAAGTCAGTCCGAAGAAAAGAGCAGATCCCATGTACACAAAAATGATGCGCCAGAAGACCTGTCGGATGGCCTGGGGCACAGCCGTGCCAGGGTTCCTCGTCTCGGTAGCCGCAACAGCGACAGATTCGACACCGGCGTAGAACGTAGAGCAGAAGACGAAGACAACAGCGACGCCACGGAAGCCGTTCCCATTGAATGGGCCCGGGTCGTTCCAGTATCGCGTGCCAAGCGGCTCAGTTTGGCCAATCAAGCCGCCGGCGCAATATATGATAGAGAAGATGAAGAAGGCAGTCAGACCCAGCAACTTGATCAGAGCAAGCCAGAACTCAGCTTCTCCGAAGGCGGCAATGCCTAGAAGCTGGAACCCAAGAAACAAGGTCCATAGGATGAGGAACCAGCCCCAGAGGGGGACCTGCGGGACCCAGTAGGTGAGGATGTTGCAAATGACGTTGTACTCATTGGCGAGAACGGTGGCCCAGATGATGAAGTAGTTCCAGCCGACAGCTACCGAAAAGGACTTGTCGACCATGCGCTCGGCGAGCGAGATGAAGGAGCCCCCACCAGGGAAGATGGTGGTGAGCTCACCGAGCGACTGCATAATGGCGAACGCGATGATACCTGCATCAAAACTGTCAATATAAAAATGTAAAAAATTCACACGTTTCCTGCGACAAGCGATTGCGCTTGCGACGGGACGCGAGCGACGTACCAATCACACCAAACCCGATCAGCAGCGACGCAGGACCGCCATTTTGCAATGCGCCTCCAGCTCCCACGAGCAACCCAGGCCCGATGATGCCGGCCAGAGCCATCATGGACAGATGCCTATTCTTGAGCCCGCGCTTGACGCCCGAGTCCGGGTCGACTAGGCTGTCGTCCGTGATGTCCTCCGGCCGAGACGCCTCATAGTCGGCCGGGTTATAGTCCGTGTAGCGGTGGCCCGCGACATCGTCCTTGTGGGGATTGAACACCATCTTGTTCTCCCTTCGCTCTCGACCTTGAGACTACGGCCGTATCAGCAAGGAAAAAGTTCGGTTTGTCCTGCACACTGAGGTGGAAGAGAGACCGCGTTTCAGGGACGAGAGCCGAGGGAATGATCAGCGAGAAATGGTACACAAGGGGTCGCAACGGCAACGAACGAAAATCATGCACCGGGGAGGGCCGCATCGAGCTGAAGCTCTTTGTTAGGGTCTTTTGGCTGCCTATCTAGTGCTTAGCTGAACACTCGCCATCGGCGGCTCGCGAGCACGCAATCGCCATCATCCAGGGTGCATGTGGGGGGCCATGGTGAAAGCCTGTTATCAGAGCCGCTGCTCATCGAGTCGGACGGCAGTTGATTCAGTCGGTGGAGAGCAATGAGTAATAATCGGTGGTAATCAGTATGGATCGACGACTTGACCAGAGATTGTTTTCGTTCTAGTAAGCGGGTTCACGGTTTTGTGGTTAGTGAGAAAAGCCATGGATACACAGGCAGGTCTTTTTACTTGCCTACCTACCTACCTACCCTATAAACCTCTTGCTGCCAAGGTCTAATCACTTGTCTGGCTATCTGTTTTTGAGAAGAGAAAATCTATGCAACTATATTCATTGATTGTGGTATATTAGGGATTCATAGTGGTGAGGCTGTCTTCGGTAGTTTGTCTGTGGATGGTGCATAGTTGCCAGCTCATATCACTTGAACTGCTGAACTAAACTCGGGGTTTCTGTACATCTTCCCCGCATACATCGAACCACACCAAAAACAAACTACTGCCAACTTTATGTTGTTTAACATTAGTTAGAAGTGCATGACTTTGTCTCACTTCCGTAGTGGCTGCGCGCCTTGACGGAAATTCTTTCGTATTCATACCTGCCAAGCGGGTGATATTGAAATTGAGATGCTCAAACATTAGGCTGCTTATTCTCAAGTCTGCAACCGGTATTATCAAATTATTAAGTGCTAATACTACATACTTGAGAGATAATACGGCTGATATTATCACTTTCTTTCATTTTATACTACTAAATTTTTTTGATTTATCTTCGAAAATAGAACCACTCTTCCGTTGGGTATCTCATTTCTCCTGTCACCCACTCGCCTATCTGCTCATAGATTCATAATTAGAAGAAGAGTAAAGAGTCATTACTTACAATCAAGGGAAATCAATACAGACCAAACACATAATAGCAATGAGCTGCTCTCACTTACGAACTTGAGTGAAATGGTTGCGATTCATGATAAAAAGTCATTCCGCATCCATACTGAGAGATCCGCCAGAAGAAGATTGAAGAACCATTGACCACGATTAAGAAAAATCAATATAGACCAAACCCAAAAACATATGAGACTGATGAACTGCCCTTTGAAATCAATGCCTCAGATCTCAACTCCGCCCAGAATCTCCTCAAACACCTCAAAGTTGCCTTCATTCCTCCGGTCATACACCGCAAACCACACTTCCTCCCACCATCCGCCCTCAAATTCCGCCTCCTTCAATACCTCTAGCCAGCAGTGTGCCACCTCCCTCGGTGGATTCCTAAACGCACCGCAGCCAAGCGCACCCAGCACCAGCAACCCATGGTCCCGCTGCGCCGCCATTCTCAGACACAGCCTCATCTTATCCTTCATCAGCTCGCGCACCTCGGACTGGGCATACACCGTCCGCTCCACCAAACCCCCCGTCGGCGTCTGCTCCGAGGCCCGCGCCACATCAGGGCACCGCGGCGCCGCGATGCTCAGGACGCTCACGATAGGCAGGTCCGCGGGAGACACATCCGGAACGAGCAGGTTGTGGCCCGAAGGCATGTCGGAGCGGATCACCACCACGTCGGGGGAGTACAGCCCCATGCGCTGCTTCCACGGGTAGTACCTCCTGTGCAGCGACAGGGCCAGAGAGCTGCGGTAGCAGAGGGCCTCCTCCTGCGCCAGGGCGCCCTTGAGCCACCCGCCGCCGGGGCTCGAGTGGCTGGCCATGTTCAGCACGGCGACGCGGCCGCCGTCGGGGCACTGCGTCGCAAGTTCAATAGCCGCATTGAAGGTGTCCTGGTTGACGATCCGGATGGCCGTGCTTCCTGCGGGCTTGCGCTTGGGGCAATCCGCGGCTTTGAGGGCGGGTAGAGTAGAGAGATACAGCGCCTCTGACTTGCTGGCCTGCACGTTTGGGATTTCCGGCAGGATATCTGGGAGGACGGTCCTCGTTTCCTTCGCGATGGCGGCAAGATCAGTCCTTCGGCGTGTATTCTCACGAAAACTCCCACTGGGAGCCGTGGACTTGTTTTTGTTGTCTGGCTTGGGCTGTGATGTTGATGCAGGCGCGGAGGTGGTGGTCGTCTTATTCGAACTGCCACTGGCGCCGCTCTTTGAAAACCATGAGTCCAGTGTCCGCTGGACTTTATCCCCTGACTCTTTGGAACTCATGATGATCTTTTCTCATGAAATATTGAATTTTTGAGAGAAGAGAAGACGAATTTTCGAGATAGGTTAGTTTTGAGGATGCTCTTGTGCAAGTAGGAAAGCGCATGCACGAGGAACGTTGAGCTGAATTAGTCACGCCGCTTCAGCCCCAGCCATGCTAAGGATTCTTCTCCAAGGACTGTTCAAATCCAGGCAGCAGCTAGGACTCAGCTAGGCGCATTTTCATGCACGACAATTCCATGAGTCCTAAAACAGGACAAAAACCATTCAAGACACGTAGCCGACATTTGTTCTGTGAGTTGCAGTGTGGAAAAAAACTAGGCTTTGGCCGTAGACATGTAGTTCTATTACTCCATTTCATCCCTCCTTTTTTTGATGGGTATCTTTGGTGATGTACATGATAATGATACAAAATAGATAATTGAAATATTCAAGATAACATGCAAGCGATAATGTTTAAGCGGGAGTCTTAATCGCGCCCTCAGGCACGGCGTCTCCCGCCTCAAACTTACGAGGGATCAACGCCTCCGCCATGTCAATCGACCCTTGCATATCAGTCTTGTGGAAGAGGAAGAGACCCTGGATAGCAGCCGTACTTGTATGTCGGTGAGAGGGTTCTCCGTCTGGGTTCACTCCGAACAGGCCCAGTTCATCGAGGCGTTCGAGGAAGCGCTCGCGGTTGGAGTGATCCAAATCTACATCACTGTAGAATCGATCCCACATCTGAGCAGCTTGGAACCGGGTAGCCTCGCCTATGCGAAGCATCATATCAACACGACCTGGCCGGATTAAAGCTGGGTCTAGACGCTCGATGTGGTTGGTGGTTAAGAAAGCAATGCGCTCCTCGCCAGCTGCGAGACCATCGAGAGCATTTAGCAGCCCTGAGAAGGTGACCGTAGCACCACTATAGCCGTCCGTGTCCCTTTGCCGGCGGTTTACAAAGGCTGCATCGGCATCTTCCAGCAGGAGGAGACTTCGTTTGGGGAGCTTGGTCAGCAAAAGTGCCAGCTTGTCGTCTGTCATTCCCATTTCACTCAGATTTACCATGGCAACACTGAAATCAAGCTCGCCCGCTAGCGCTTGGATAAAAGAACTTTTCCCGCTTCCAGGAGGGCCAAACAGTAGGTAGCCCCGTCGGTAGGGAATTCCGCGGTCGACATACCACTGCTGCCTCGATAGGAAATCTTGCACATCGCCCACAATGCTCTCTTTGACACCCTCATCCAGAATTACCGAGCCCAGAGGCCGCTTTTTCCTGGGGTCGCCAAGAGGGGCCCAGTCCATCCCTCTAGCTGAGAAGACCGTTGTCTTGCCCTCATTCGCCTTTGCCGCGAGGCGATGGGCCTCGCTGAACACTTCCTCGAAAACATGGCGGTGCGCCCAGAGCGTCGTGAGCTGAACGATTTCGTGAGGTTCGCCGGTGTTCATATTGGCAGTATTGTGCTTTTCGCGATTGACGGCAATATATGCGCTTCCATGCTTGACTATATGTCGGCCGTATCCAGGCTGTAGGAAGAAGGACGCAGAGCTCGGCCCGCCGGTCCCTGGAGGACCCTGAGAAGCTGTCGTTGTCGTTACGGACAGGTCGTGGATGCGGGTCAAGCGAGAGGCAATGAACCCAGGATTTTCGCGGGGCTGCGAGAGCCACGCGAGGATCCAAGGATATGCGGGGTCCTGCTTGCTGATTTCAACGTTTACAAGGAGACGGCGTCGTGCTGTTGCGGCAGCTACCATGGCTCCTTTGCGGGCAAATGCGGCAGCGAAGCCGAGGGAGGCAAGGCCGAAGCCTCCCGCAAAGACCGGATTGTCGAGCAAGGCATCAAGACCAAAAAGCCCCCCGGCGGTTGATTCTGTGGTCATGCCGGACTTGGATCATCTTATGAGACTGCTGGTATAAAAAGATTCTAGCCGCCATCAAGCATCACAAGCTTCAAAAAAGTGGAGATGACTAAGCATACATTGAGCCCCCCGATTGGCTTAGCTGGCCGCTACATTTCCGCATGTCCTTGAACGAAAGCAGTGAGCAATTGGGGGAATAAGCTACAATCTTCCTTACTTGAACTCGTTTGAAGCCTACCGGGAAATGCAATGGTTGGCCAAGAGCCTTTCCACCCGGAGAGACGGAGGAGCTGCTTAGGTCTGTGGCTGGGTTCTTAGTGGGGGTTTCGTAAATGAACAATCTCGATATGGTCACGCGGCAAATCGGCCATCAGTCCGGAGATGCTTTCGCCTAGATGGCCGAGTACGTAGGACCTGGGCTGTTCATGCCGCGGCGAATAGGTTTGCTCGCGAATCAGCACACCAGATGCCTCCAATGGGCTGTTGCGTGGTTGGTTATGCGCATTGGGATGAGCTGCCTAACAGGTAACAATTCTCCCGCGCTCCCTGGCCCGTCCCGGTCCGTGGTGGTTTGCCTGGGCATGGGGGCGCGGTTGATAAGGTTAGGATCAGATCATGATCTCTCCTGATACGTGACGAGCCCTTGTAGACGAGGATCAATGTTGCATGTTAATGCGTTGACCGCCAGCGAAGTGAGACGGTCCGTATCATCATTTATGCTGCGACTGCTTCACCGCATTATGAATCTCAGGGCGTTGGCCGGCAAACATTACGTATTATTGGCATTGACTATCTCGGTAATCGTGTTATAGAGGAGTGGTCGAAGGCGTAGATGCAATTCGTTCGGGACGGAGCCCGTCCCGCATGTTTCCGTCGAGGTGCCCGATACCGTCCCGTCGGCTGCAGCTGGGCGAACTATTCGGCAAATCCAACGACTTGTATGCGAGAATCGTGATGGAATGGGGAAATGGGGGGCAATGCTGCGACGAGCCTTTAAAGCGGTCGTGAACCCCGCCCTTCTCCGTAAACTTCCTTCTTCCCTTTCCTCTTGTCATTTCAACTGCTTCTCTGCCCAGTGTGTATCACGACCTGTGGAACAGCCTGCACATGTAAGTCATCGAGCTTCCTTGCCCTCCCTTGCCCTGCCATACCTTACTTTACCTTACCTGATGGACCCCACTTGCCTGGTGGAGGAGCTCGAGCTGTTGCGTGCGGGTCATGCCATAGCCAATTACCCGAGCGCCGTGATGGAGGGGCAACGTGTTTGAGGTGGTGGTGACCAAAACATGTTTCCCTGTTGGGCGACGGTCAACGCCAGATGCCGTGCCTGCACCAGCGCACCGGAGATGAGCGGGAGCGCAGAGTCAGCAGAGGAAGAACGGACGACGGGCTGGTCACCAGTCTCCGAAGCAGCTGAGAGATGAATTACGCCGAATTGACAAAGCGTGGTGGTACCATTGCTGAGGCTAGCATGAGGCGGGACATCCACTTTAGGAGGTGAAGTCTCCTGAGCGGCTGGTTCCTTCGTCATACGAATTTCCTGTCGGTGATGTGGTGGTACCTCTTCCTGCTGGTACAGCGGCTGGTACATGTGTTGGTGCTGGATTCTGGCACCGGCGCGCTGTACCTTCTCGGGTACCTTCTCGGTACTCGCTGCTGGTGCGACTTGCGCTGCTGTTGCCCCTCCTCTGGTTTGCTGGGCTTGGGCTTTGAAAACCCCGCGCGGGACGTTCTGGGCCCCTCCTTTCTTGCTGCTATTATCTGCCACATGCAAACTGCATTCCTCAACATTTTGCCCTCAACCTCCTCGCTGTACAAATTGCTAACCTTCCCCCTCTTTGCCAATACTCAGACTTTTCCTCTGTATTTCGATATATTTCGACTTACAGAATTCCTGCAAACTTGATACCCTCATAACCGCAACCTCACAACCGCAATCATGGGTGCTACCGATGTCCTCAGCCGCAAGTCCGGCGTCATTGTTGGTGATGATGTTACCAAGCTCTTCGAGTACGCTCGCGAGCACCAGTTCGCCATCCCCGCCGTGGTAAGTTGACCAGTTTACCTCGCCGCCTCACCCGGGTGGGAATTGACCAGTGTTCGCCGCTGGTCTACCCAAACAATGTGATGGGACAGCAACATAGCTAACTATTGCTCTTGAACTTTTCTGCAGAACGTCACCTCCTCTTCCACCGTCGTCGCTACCCTCGAGGCTGCCCGCGACAGCAAGTCTCCCATCATCCTGCAGATGTCTCAGGGCGGTGCTGCCTACTTCGCTGGCAAGGTAAGCCAATAACCCTCAAGAGAATCTCTTGGAAGAGGGGAACGGCCCGATTACACATTGATAGAACATGAGACACTGATAAGAGTTTTTCCTTCTTTCTTTAGGGTGTTTCCAACGGCGACCAGGCCGCTTCCATCGCCGGTGCCATTGCTGGTGCCCACTACATCCGCTCGGTCGCTCCCGCCTACGGCGTCCCCGTCGTCCTGCACACCGACCACTGCGCCAAGAAGCTCCTCCCATGGCTCGACGGTATGCTCGACGCCGATGAGGCCTACTTCAAGCAGCACGGCGAGCCCCTCTTCTCCTCCCACATGATCGACCTTTCCGAGGAGCCTGTCGATTGGAACGTCGCCACCACCGCCGCCTACCTCAAGCGCGCTGCCCCCCTGAAGCAGTGGCTCGAGATGGAGATCGGTATCACCGGTGGTGAGGAGGACGGTGTCAACAACGAGGACGTCGACAACGCCTCCCTGTACACCCAGCCCGAGGACATCCTCAACATCTACAACACCCTCTCCGCCATCTCCCCCTACTTCTCCATCGCCGCTGGTTTCGGCAACGTCCACGGCGTCTACAAGCCCGGCAATGTCAAGCTGCACCCCGAGCTCCTCGGCAAGCACCAGGCTCACGTCAAGGCCGCCATTAAGTCCTCCAACGATAAGCCCGTCTTCTTCGTCTTCCACGGTGGCTCCGGCTCTAGCAAGGAGGAGTACCTCGAGGCTATCAGCCACGGTGTCGTCAAGGTCAACATGGACACCGACATGCAGTTCGCCTACATGAGCGGTATCCGCGATTACATGCTCAACAAGAAGGACTACCTCCTGACTGCTGTCGGTAACCCCGATGGTGACGACAAGCCCAACAAGAAGTACTTCGACGTAAGTTCTGGTTCTCTCTCTACTTATATCTGTTCATGTCTCTTGTATGCTAACGGATGGTACCTATAGCCCCGTGTCTGGGTCCGTGAGGGTGAGAAGACCATGGCCAACCGTGTCAAGGTCGCTCTTGCCGACTTCAACGCCACTGACAAGCTGTAAAAAATGTAAAAAAAAGAATTAAGGGAAAACTATAAAGCATTTTGTGCGTTGCTTCAGAAGGGGTCTGCAGAGGAGTTTCTGAGAAGGATATGCTGCACCGGTTCTCTCCTAGTGGTTAATGTAGCTATTGAGGAGGCTGTGTGGTAGAAGTAAACCTGGAAAAAGGTGAAATTAAAATAAAATAAAGTATATATCTAGTCCAACACTACTCATTCGTACTTCTATACATAGGTTAAAGCCACCGAAGAAGTTTGGGGTCGGTGAGAAGAGCTAACACTTATACCATCGCCGACACTCGAGACACGCTATATTTCTGTCTGGTTGACCGCGGGATTGCCTCCCCCCAAACCGACAAATAACGCCCAACGCCATTGTTTTTTTTTTTTAGGAAGCGAGATGCAGGCTATTTGGAAATGCGAGGAGAAGAGCCCATATCCAAACTACCATCCCAGGAGCTCGGTTTCAATCTTGCCCCTATCCTCATCGCTGAGTACCTCTGCAGCTGCTTTGGCCGCCTTGGCGGCATCAAATCTCCAGAGCCCACCGGTCTTGTCAGCCTCGCCATCAAGAGGAACACCAGTTGCAGCTCCCAGCAGCTTCAGCGTCGCATCCTCACCTGACACGGCGGTGAAGTACCGTCTCTCCCAAACCTTGCCCGCAGCCTTTTCCTCTGCTCGTTTGTTGCGCTGAGCCTGCTCGATCTTGGTCTTCTCCGCACTCGTAATGTCCATATCTCCCTTGGAAATGCCCTCTGCCACCTTTGACCAAGCACGGCGGGACTCGAGGGGGTGTTGCTTCTCAAGTGGAGCAATCTTGAACTTGGCCTGGGGTGTCTTGACAGCGTCATAGACGGAGACAAGGGTAGATTTGGAATTTTTCTTGAGAGGGCCTTGATAGAGCTCTAACTTCTCATTCCATTGGCCTGTAACATTGTACAAGACCTCGCGCTCATTGTCTGAAGGGGTGAGTGTGGCAGAAACGGTATTCTTTTTCCCAGACAGCCAGCCCTTGCCGCTGTAGTCGATCTTGGCAGTGTAGCCAGTGGAGCTAGAGATGTAGCTTGAGCCGTCGAGCTCAACAAAGGGGGCGCCGAAAATGAGCCCCTCGATGTGCAGAGAAGGCAGGGTGATGAGGTAGGTCTCCGTCTTCTTTTCGCTGCCAGAGCCAATGGGCAAGGTCAAAACGGCGTGACCGATCTGCTTGACCAGGATTGTGCTCTTGAAAGTAGCCTTCTGCGCATTGTAACCTTCGAGTTGGACGCCTGTCTTGTCGTTGCGGATGCAGTAGGCGGTAGCAGGAGGATGATGGCTGACCTGCTCAGAGATAAGTGTGGTCTCGCCAGCCTCATCGCTCCAGCTGCCCAGGAAGAGCTCGCCCAGGAATGGGTTCAAGGGCTTCTTCTCATTTCCGTATTCATCGCTGCGACTGGCGTACTGGTGCTTGAGGGTGGATAGAAACCACTGAAGGACAAGAGCAGCTCGTTTCGCAGGGTCCGGCTCGGCAATGGGGGCAGTCAGAACTGGGGGGTGGGTAGCCCAGTAGGAAGAGAATTCGGTCAGGGATTGAGAAGAGAGAATGAAAGGAGGAGCCGTCAGTGACGACAAGTCGCCGTTGAAGGAGGCTATGGACTACAAACGCCGCGTGCATTAGAGATGTGGACGGTAATCATGGCCATGGCAGAGTAGGTGCGTGGGTCAAAGTGTGGGAAAGAAGCAGGGAGGAGTGTGTGGTACCTTGATAAAAGCGGTCCAGCTGCTGCTGTTCGCAATCGCAGAGGCTGAGGGAGTTGAGGACATGTTTGCGATGTCGGCGATGGCAACTTTCTATCGTGGTTGGCGAGGTGGCAGGTAAGTATGCAGCTTTAAGACTTTGTTGCTTCGTGTGATCAATTTAGTACGTGGGGTGCCGTCTCTGGAGGAGGGGCTCAGGGTTCTCTCTGCTGATGGGGGATGGTTCCAGGGGGTAAATCAAGGTAGAATCGATCGGCAGATCAAATTAGACTGGCACCGACAATAAGGAGCTTTTAAAGGGTATCAGGCAGGACTCGACAAGCCAGGAGAGCGGGACTGAAAGATGATGACGATGATGATGATGCAGGATGGAGGATGTGGGATGGAAAACAAACAGCAAGAGAAGTTGGCTGCCACACGCTGACAGGATCTACTATTTTAGCTGCTGGCTCGGACCTGAGAAATAAGACTTAATTTGATTGTTGGGGTTAGGTGCAATGGAGGTAAAAGCTCCGACGTCATGCCATTTATTGTGATTACTGGAGGGTGTCAGGACTCAGACAGCACACGACAGTGCACCTGCCCACCGGCCAGTGGCCTCAAGCGTCCGATACTGCCTCTCGCACACGCGACTGCGGGCGGAAGTGGAAGGTGGTCACTGTACCTCTGCTCAGGAGAATCCACTTGGGCGGACATTGGCGCAGCTAATTATAAGGTGCAGGCTGTTTCCTAGATCCAGGTCCAGTGTTGGAGGTTGGTCAATCCCAACTTCGCAACCCGAATACGATTCCCACTGCCCAGACGTTCCCACCGCTCGATGGCCTAGTTTCGAATCGACTCCAATTCCAGAATCCATCCAACTCGACCAGGCCCTGGCCATGATGCCATCCATGCCAAGTACATAGGGAGGGCCATGGTCGCTACCTGCCTGCGCTGCTCCTACCGCGCGGGCGGCCACCTTGACCTCACCTCTCGCCAACATGCCCCGACTCTGCAGTCGCAAGGCCGGGGAATAAACTCGCTTGCCGATCTAGGCAATCTTTTTTAATACAAGGTACCTGCTTCAATCGGATTCGAACCCCTCAGGCCTCGCTGCCGTTCCGCTGGTTAGCTGGGGCATGGGGCCGGCAGGGCCCGGAGCCAAGCACACCGAGAGCTGGGGTACGTACTCGACAGTGCGTCTGGCGAGCTCTCCACTGGCTGCTAGCAGGCCGTGAAGGCGCTGGCCAACCACAACGGCCACGACGTCAGCACTGCTCAGAGGCGACTATCAAGTTCGATCGCTATCAGCTTCCCATACCACGCAGCCGCCATATCCGCATCGTAACATATCTCGACCCGTACCTATATTGGCTAGAAACACGTACAATCTTTTCACGCTGGCCGACCTCCTGTGGAAGCCTGTCGCTGTTCCAAACGACCGGGGCAGTCCCGACAGCGACCAAGGCACAATGACCGACATACCTTCGACACCCACCCTAACGCCCCAGTTCTGTTTCTCCTCTGGCACTCTCCGAGGTGAGAACTCCCAGCAGTCCTCTGACCATCGTCCGCACCTAACTCGAGCGACCTACTAGACTTTCTCCGACTGTCACGGTCCGGTATCGACGACTCCATCACCCAGAACCTGAATGCGCTCGTAACGCCTGCAAGAGCCGGCTTCGACCCATCCTCAACCTCGCATCGCACACCAAGCTCGGTATCCAGGCAGATTAGCCCCCAGTCATGCCAGTCTTTCAAGGAGAAGGCCCTGTTCCCTGCCTGGGAAGCTCGCAGAGAAGTCTTGTTCTATTGCAGTGTCGTGGCTGCCAGCCCCGACCCGGAGGATCCCGAGTCGACGTTACGGGAGCTTGAGAACCAGAAAGATCGAGAGAGGGTTGTAGATGAGAGGCTTGACCCCTATTCCGGGCGATTCTTCCCGCGGGAAGCCCGGACAGAGACCCTTGCATCTCTCATCCGACAAGAGAACTCTATCGAGAATATTGTGAAGAGTAGGACCTGGAGCATTGTCCAGCAGCGATGCGGTGGCAGCAACGAGAGCTGGGAGAAGGCCGTGGAAAAGTGGAGGGAATCCAGATCCTAGGCAGGCTGGAAACAATCACTGCTCCTCATTCCATGGCAGCGGTGGGAGCCCGGCGTGGTCTGTGAATGAGTCTGTACAACAACGAAAATCTCTGAATTAGACGGTCTGGGCAATGGCTTGAGATTTTGTATTGATAGGAATGTACTTGTATAATGTTGATAGACAAGATATAATGAACGCTACTTGATATGATATTAGTGTGTCCTTCGTACAAGGTAGTTTATGAATATAGATATCGATCGCGACCCACTCAATGCCGCGAAGAGTGCTTGTGATTTCCCCACGAAGAGTGCCAGATTCCCAAAGCGATGCGGACTCCAAAGCGGTGCGATAGGGTGCCGTGGTGATGCTGGAGATAGCGACTTGTCTGGCGGCCAAGTTACGTCTTCTAGGTCTACACGGGGTAGTGGTAGCGCTTGACCGCACAAGGAGCTTGGGACGACTCGGTAGACCATAGTCGATAGTACCAGCGACGCTCGTGGGGGCTTGGCTGTTTGCCCTGTGGTGCTCGTTCGTCTTTAAAAAGTAGAACTAGTACTCAGCGTACACTCAAGTGTGGTATTACTCCTTAAGATAAATTAAGAAATTCAGTAGTATAAAACAAGAAATAAAGTGAAAATGTTTGCCGTATCATCTCTCGAGTATTTATTATTCGTACTCAATAGTTTGATAATACTGGTCGCAGACTGGAGAATTAGCAGCTTAATGTCTGAGTGTCTCAATTTCAATACCACTCACTTGACACTACCTATTGCTGGGTTGACTTTTAATACGTAGTACGGCTAGATTTACTTTGTCTCTACCTTAGGCTCAGGGGTCGCAGATCGCTCTCTGGACAACTCAGCTGCTTGTTGTGGAACAGTATCAGGCGATATTCACAACTTCCTTGATTCTTCACCGATATCTGACGTAGTAGGCGTGCCTGCCTGTTGTAGACTTGTTAGAACAAGAAATATTGAAAAGCCATTCAACAACCTGCCATGCCTGAGGATCGTAGACCAGCAGCCCATCCGTTTGGGCATCGACGATATCAGATCCCAGCTCGAGGCATGAGAATCAAATCCCGGAGTCTACGAGCAGGTGCATATAATATGTGTTCGCTGGCTGCCAGCTGTGCGTGTCGCTGGACGAGGCATTGTCCAACGGTGCATTTTGCTTTTTGGGGCAACTACCCCACTAAACCCCTCCTCCAGCCCGCTGAGAATCGCACAACACCCACTCCGAGGATCCGCCGATGTAATGGAAGGTTTCCAGGACATTCATGCGAGACCTGCCTTTCCCTCATGCACCCGTCCGGAGCAGAGGCAATAGACCCCCTTTCTCGAGGCCCACGATCGCTGCTGGGAGGCTGTCACTTCTCAACCCACCCACGGACTCGCCTAGCGGACCCTCTTCCAGCTCACGTCCCAAACGTGCCATTCTCCCGCACCAGTCCATATTCGAGAGCTCCAGCGCAAGGAAGCTCACGACGCACGAGAGGCCCGACCAGTCCTCGCCGAGACAGCAGATCCCGTTTTGCAGCTAGCGAGACCGACGCACTGAAGGAAGCCGTGGCTTCTGTAGCACGCCCACGATGCCGCAACCCCTCAATTCCAAAGAGCAGGCGCTCTTCCGATTAGTTGTCCGCAGCTATGAGGACAAGCAGTACAAGAAGGGTGTCAAGACGGCCGACCAGATCCTCAAGAAGTTCCCCAAGCATGGTGACACCATGGCCATGAAGGCCCTGATCCTGAACGCCCAGGGGAGGACCGAGGAGGCGTTTGCGCTGGGCAAGGAGGCTCTGACCGCAGACATGAAGTCACATGTGTGCTGGCACGTATACGGGCTGCTGTACCGGGCGGCCAAGAACTTCGAGGAGGCTAGCAAGGCGTACAAGTTTGCTCTGAAGCTGGAGCCCGAGTCCGCCCAGATCCAGCGTGATCTTGCCGTCCTTCAGGTCCAGATGCGTGATTACCCGGGTTATATCCAGAGCCGGAGGGCCATGCTGCAGGCCCGGCCTCAGATTCGCCAGAACTGGACCGCTCTCTCCATTGCCTACCATCTTGACGGGAACCTGACAGAGGCTGAGAAGGTCCTGTCCGCCTACGAAGGGACCCTGAAGCAAACGCCCTCCCGCCTCGATCTCGAGCACTCCGAGTCTGTCATGTACAAGAACTCGCTGATTGCCGAGCAGGGTGAGTACCAGAAAGCTCTAGACCACCTGGAAGATGCTGCAAAGTACAATTTGGATCGTTTGGCAGTCATGGAAGCCCGAGCCGAGTACCTGCAGAAGCTGGGTAGGAACGAGGAGGCTGCCAAGGCCTACAGAGCGCTCCTGGACCGTAACCCAGATCATCAGGCGTACTACGAAAAGCTCACACAGGCCTTGGGTATCAGCGATGATGATGTGAAGGCCCGGAAAGCCATCTACGATGAATATGCCGCCAAGTTCCCTCGCTGCGATGCCGCCCGAAGACTGCCTCTTGATTTCCTCTCTGGTAAGCCGCCTTGGCCCAGCTCCTCCGTCTTGCTGGTTGCTAATGAAATACTTAGGTGATGACTTCGAGGAAGCTGCAGAGTCTTACCTGACTCTGATGTTGAACAAGGGAGTTCCTTCAACGTTCGCTAACCTCAAGCACCTGTATTCCGACGACTTCAAGAAGGAGGTTCTGCCTGAGCTCGCCGAGAACTATCTAGAATCTCAGGGAGCCGACGCTTCAAGTAAGGACAAGGGTGAGGCCGCTGCGTTGTACTTCCTGGCTCAGCACTACAACTACCGACTGAGCCGCGATCTCGACCAGGCCGACGAATATGTGAACAAGGCAATCGAGAAGGACCCTAAGAGCGTCGACTACAATATGACCAAGGCTAGGATATTGAAGCATCGAGGTGATATTAAGAAGGCAGCAGAAGCAATGGACTATGCTCGTACCCTTGACCTTAGGGACCGTTATATCAACAGCAAAGCCGCCAAGTACCACCTACGGAACAACGATAACGAGAAGGCCTTGAAGACTGTGGGTCTCTTCACGAGAGCTGATACTGTTGGTGGACCTCTTGTCGACCTTCTGGATATGCAGTGCGTATGGTTCCTTACTGAAGATGGCGAGGCCTATGCCCGGCGGGGTAACATCGGCCTTGCGCTCAAGAGGCTACAGGCCGTTGCCAACATCTTCGATGTGTGGCAGGAAGATCAATTCGACTTCCACACCTTCTCCCTACGAAAAGGACAGATCCGCGCCTACGTCGATATGATTCGATGGGAGGACCATATCCGGGACCACCCCTTCTACTCCCGAGCCGCTTTAGCTGCGATCGACATCTACCTTGACCTGGCCGCCAAGCCAGCCGAGAATGGCGTCAATGGCGAAGACACTGATGAGGCATTGGCAAAGAAGAAGGCGGCCAAGAAGGCCAAGAAGGAGCAGCAGCGATTGGAGCGTGAGGCTGCTGAGAAGCAGGCCAAGCAGGACCCCAACAAGGCCAGCAGCAGCCAGACTGACGAGGTGAAGAAGAAGGATGACGACCCCTTGGGCCTGAAACTTGCCGCTACCGAAGACCCTCTCGGCGATGCCGTCAAGCTGCTGGCACCCCTGCTCCAGGTTTGCCCCAAGAGCTTGGAAGCTCAGCACGCCGGTTTCGAGGTGTACCTATTACGAGGTGAGTGAACTTTGCATTGGTTTTTGTCAGACATTTGCACTAACACAGCCCATTAGGCAAATATATATTGGCACTACGCTGCCTGAGGGCCGCCATCGAGATTGACCCCAGCAGCCCCAAGGTCCACGAGCAGACGATTGCCTTCCGCCACGCCCTCAACCACGCCACGGACCTCCCCGCCAAGGTCCTCGAGGTGCTCAAGGAGGAGTTCAAGGCTATCGAGCCCTCAGAAGACCTGAAGAAGGTCAACGACGCCTTCCAGGCCAAGCACAAGTCCAGCCCGCCCCACCAGCTCGCCGCACTGCGAGCCCAGCACATCCTGGGCGAGGATAAGGCGAGAACCAACAAGGAGGTTCTTGCACTGCTTGAGCTCCCTGAGATTGAGTTTGCCCACGCTCTGGAGGCCCTAGAGCTGCTGCAAAAATGGAGAAGCTCCGAGACTGAGACCTTCAGAAAGGCCGCCATTGCAAAGTGGCCCCAGGTTACTCGTCTCGAGTAAAATGAGCACATGACGAGACGGACACAACGTGAAAACGGTGAAATAAAATGAATAGAGCCCGACATTGAACATGGATAACTGCCAAGAGTCCATCTGTGCAGGAGGAGGAAAAATAACCGTAGGATGGGGTTGGGGGTGAAACAAGCTACGGCAGGTTGTGGATGGAGGGACTCTTGCTTCTAGGCACCATGAGATGAGAAAGGCGAGATTTGCAGATAGATGGAGTGGGGAAAAAATCATGTTTTGTTTCCGCATTTTGTGTAAGGGAGCATGGAGCCATCATCAGAGAAAAAGCCGGCGGAGTTTGGTATATAAAATGTTTTAGGGGGGTTTTTGCCTTGCTTCAGGTTTTCTCTCAATGAAGATTTTGCCATCCCAATGCTTGTGCCTGGGTCCCAGTCTGCCTCATGCCCACGCGAATTGCATATTTCAGTCACTTGCCTGGGTACTAAGTACTAGGTGAGTGTAAGGAATTCATTTCTTCAAAGTGCTATCCTCGAGGGCCAGTATGATGCTTAAATGATGCTCAACCACCACTAGGGCAGTTTTAGTCTGAAGAAATAGTAGTAATATTGAATATCCATTCGCTGCGTCTCAAACTATCAGTCTCCCAATTAATACCCATGAGTAATTCTTCATTCAAAGCCTGGCTTGGGGCCAGCCCAGATCATACAAACAACGCTGAATTCAAAAGGCCCCGCTTCTCCTTCCTCAACGAAAACAGTTCCCCAAAAACCTTATACGGATATGATTGTGTATCCATATAGGTAGGTTTAAAAGACTTCATCGAGGAGCATAATACGACAGATGTCTGTGCTTATCTGAGGATCATCAAGGCCCAGTTGGCTAATGATGGCCCGTAAGCTCGCATCTATCTCACGGTTAGATTTTTTTTTAATGGCGGAGAGCAGTAGTTGCACAAAATACAATTGCCCAGGGCAACTGACCATCTAACCTCATTATGGCCCTCCAATTTCTAGGGAAAGGAGTGATAGGTTCGCCTGTTCTAACGTTGAGGAGAGGGAACAGCGGAATGTCCATGACTCCCGTTAGGGTTTCAGATATGGTGCGTCTGTTGGTTAACCTAACGCTGATGTTCTCGGGTCTATAATCCCGGGTTAGTGAGCATTTCCCCCTACCTACTTCATATGCCATTCACATGTGTGTCTGGGAATGGGAGCAAGCATACGTGGTTTTGGCGCGTAACGTCTTAGCTGCCTGATGCGTCTGAGAAGAACTGACACATCTTCTCTGGACAGCAGGATTGGCTTTTGGAATGCTGGGTCTTCTCTGGACGACAGTATTGGCCCCTGGAATGCGAGGTTGCCTTGGTTGGGGGAGGGCTTGCTGGGGCGCGGCAATGCGTCTCTTGATATCCATGACGACTTGTGTGAGCACCCTCACATGGCGACCGTTGTCCAATTGCGAGTTACGTTGTGACTCCTGCAGACGCTCCAAAGACACCTGGATGGCATTCACGCTCCACTGTAGCTGGAGCAGACTCTGTTCTAAGCCAGGCATCATGTTTTGGGCCATTGTGTTTTGGTTTGAGACTGATTGTCAGGGGACAAGGTAAAATGAGAAATAACAGAAATAATCTTACACGGTATTTGGGTGATACGAAAAAAAAAAAACAATGAAGAACAAGGTACAATCAGATATCCGATGGGTCGTGGCATCAGGCTTGGACGACGCCTTCCAACGTTGCCAATCAAGTCCACTCGGCAGGAACTGCTTAGTACCTACCGGTAGGTAGGCAAGTGTTTAAAACGAAACATAGCACATCAAAGCTCTTTTACGCTGCTTGATACCCTAACGGTGATAGAGCAATGTTTGAGCATCATACTGGCCCTTGAGGATAGCACTTCAAAGAATTCCTTCCCAATACACTCACCTGAGCCCAGTTGACATGTGTACTGGCTTGACTAAGCTCAATAAAATATGGAAGTTCTTGGGTTTTGCTCGATTCTGACATTGAGGTAGTCGCTAGGAGTGATTGGTATACCCGATCGAGTCCATGACACACAAGAACCAAATGTGTGCCACGAGCCAAGTCCGCGCCTCCTATCTAGATCTGACATGTTTCTCGGCCGGCGGGGAAGTATGGGATAATTCCGGCAGGCGAACCAATGGACATCGCGACGCGTCACTTCTTACTGAGGCAATAAATGAAGAAAGCTGTCGGTGTACATCTGCAGTCCGGAACTCCGTTGCTCCCAACGCCGCTGGATAGGTTCCTCGCATATCTGGATTATCTGGATTCACTTTCATATACTAACCTACCCCTCACTGCCTGCCTTCCCAGGCCAAGTCAGACTTCGCCATCACTTGACAATCTCAGATGGTCTATTGTCGAATTCGATGGCCAACCCCGCAATGTGACGACCTCACGTGTGCTTCTTGAGGCAAAGGAAGCACAACCTCCTGTCTTTGGTTAAGGGTGCAGCTAGGTGCCTTTTAGTAACTCCGATAGGTACATGAGCTTAAATCGAGAAGAGTGGTCACAACCTTTCGCTTGTTGGTTCCAGCCTCGGCAAGTACGTGGTACATGTTCTGCTGCGTATTCGCTTGAGCAGGAGGAGGTGGCTTCCTTATCGAGCTGGCGATGGGTGGCTGTGGAGTAGAGTCGCTTGCGAAGTGGGCACAGGGTTGGTGGAAAGCGGAAGGATGGATGGCACTTCCCCAAGATCTCAGCTCCCATGCTCAAGCCCATGTGTGTGCAGCTGTGCATCTGTCTCTCTCACTCGATCACTTGGCTATTGGTCTTGCTGAAGAGGTCGGGTTCGATCTGTGATTGACCTGGATAGCAACAACTATAGTCGCTTGCGGATGCTCACAACTACACCGCCTTCAAGTTTCTGGAATATCATCATCTCCATCCCTACCGTCCCCCAAGCCTACTGGAGCATCAGCACTTGCACGATGGTCTCAGCAAAACCCTCGACAGTCAGGCTGGGAAAGCTCAAACTCAACCACAGAATGCGGGAAATACGCGTGAAGTATTTTTAATATGTTGAGACGAGCCATCGTATGGACCTGACCCCTCTGTATTTGGTCAAGACGACTGGAGTGATCCCTACGAGCCTGTCTAGATCCCTGCTGGTAAGGAAACGGGCTGGCCACGTGCTCCCTGTTTTGAGAAACTACATGGATAGAACCACATGATGCCTAGGCTTTCACTGAAAGAATTAGAGCAATCATAAAGATGATTTCTTTTGAATGTGAACCTTCTTTGGATGATGGGCCTACTGAACAGCACCTAGGTACTCTGGCACACTAAGCAACGGGTGGGGTACCGCTGAAGAAGGCTCAATCGCGAAAGAACCTGAAGGAATCAACTCTCTTCTGAGAAAATCAAGGCAGACACATGAGACTAAACGCTTTAAGAACGAGATAGTAAACTATGTTTCGAGGTTTAGCTTGGTATTATGCTTACTGGGCTAATTGATTGTGTCGGAATCCAACGTTTTAGTACATGGTATGCCACGTTCTATCACCCACCATCACCACTTACTATTGAAGTTGGTGCTAGCAATATCCATGCAAGCAGACAGCGGAGTCCGCGGTGTGGGACCAGCTAACGGTAGTTTGATCCGTTTGACGAGTGATTGGCCGGGCCCTGGTCGTCTCTGGGCGTCTTTTGTCCCGTTTAGGCGTCTTTTGACGCTTCCCCCTGCGGCATCATCCTGGCAGACGGGCTGAATTAAAGATCCGAACAGCACGCATACGTAGCAATGCTTGTACATTCGTGCTCGTGTGCGGAATTGGCAATTTGCAGCCGCTTCTTCCAGACCTGGACGCACCGGACGCTTGGCGCGACCTGAATACCCTGATTAAGGCTGGGAGTGAGGGGATTACTCGTCATCGTCACCCGGTTGCCGTCCCCGGCGCTAGAGTGATGCCTGGCAAGATGGCTCTAGTTGCCATCATCACTGTGGGCGATGTGTGTGACATGGATGGATGGATCTATGCCGTCTAGAGGTGTCAGTGACGGAGTCCGTTGCGGCAAAAGAGCCACAACGGTCGAGACAGCACCCCGGATTCTATTGCCCAACTGACTCACGCACGCCAGTCCTACCGCCAATTGGTACGTGCTTGCTTTTTGCCCTGTTTCGAATAGTGCTGAGAGGAATGGAGTCGGTATGCAGCCCAGCCCAGCCCAGCAAGGTTTCTGAGTCCGTTCCTGTGGTTCCGACTTCTGTTGCGAGGCTGCTTACTCTACACAGTCCAAGATACCGCATAAGCTTATCTCCCTTGCTACCTATTGTCCTCCTAGGAGCTCTTTGCTTCTCTCATTTCTCCCTATTTCATTCTCCCCGGCCTTGCCGTCCCAACCGGCACTTCATTCTTTTCTTCCGTACCTCTTATCTCCCCCTTCCAATATCCTGTACCTCCGCCTGAATCACCGTCGCACTGTGCCGCCGCAGTTGGCCAAGTTCCTCGATCTTTCTCTGCGCTCTCGTTTGGGACCGAGCCCCCTTGTTCACAACACCCAACCGCGGCTCGTGATACGTAATTATACCTCTTCTGCTGCCCTTTTCGGGCCCCTGTTGCCCCCCTCCCTCCCGCCTCGATTTGGAACCCATCTCCATCCACGCCCCCAACGGCACATATTTGTCCACCTCTCGCCCTTCGCTCCAAGTCGCCTCGCCTTGCCAACTTCCCCTACCCAGACTCCCGACCATCAGGACAACTCGGGCTGGCCATGGATGGAACGGGCATGCGACTTCTCCTCCAAGGGAGGAGGTCATTGACAATCGGCCAGAACAACCTCGTCTTCTACGGTACGACCCCAAGAATCAATACTTGCCCTCAGCGCGACACATCGAGAGCACACCAATCGCCTCGTCCGGATTGATGGGGGGAACCGCCCACGATTGAATTAACGAGAGGAGAGTTGTATGCTGACCTTTTCCTGCCCTGTAGACCCGACACAAAAAAATGCTGCACGAAATGCCTGCTGCATGCCCGGTTCTGTCGGTACGTGGGATTTCTCCTTCCGAGCATCGGCTTTCCAGCTCGCCCGGTTGCGCTAACATTTGTCCCTAGAACGTGCAGAGCAAGCCATCCCGCTGTACAACATCTTGTGGGCCGAAATATCCAACGATACCATTACCGTCGACTACGTCCTCATCCCTCCCAAGGGCCCCGTGAGACTCCAGAAGCTGTCCCACGCCCTCGCCCCGCCCGATACAAACCCCAACGAACCCGACGCCGAGAAGTTTGTCGCGACCGTCCTGGAGCGAGCCTATGGCGAAGTGAGGCACCACCGACGGGCCTACGTGCTTATCAACCCAAACTCAGGCCCCGGCGGTGCTGTGAAGAAGTGGGAGATGGAGGCGAAGCCGCTGCTCCAGGCTGCGCATTTCGATCTGGATGTCGTGACGCTGACGCGGGGCGGGGAGGCTACGGACCTCGTCGAGAAGATGGATATCGACCGGTACGATACCGTCATGGCCTGCTCGGGAGACGGGACGCCCCACGAGATCATCAACGGGCTGGCCAAGAGGCCCGATGCGGGAGTGGCATTGAGCAAGGTTGCGGTCAGCCACATCCCGTGTGGCTCGGGTAATGCCATGGCACTCAACCTCTACGGGTCGAACCGTGTTGGGGTTGTTGCTTTGGCGATCATCAAGGGAGTGACGAGTCCGATGGACTTGGTGTCGGTCACCCAGGGACCGCGGCGGACGCTCTCCTTCCTGTCGCAGTCGCTTGGTATGGTGGCCGAGACGGACCTGGGCACGGAGCACATGCGGTGGATGGGCAGCACGAGATTCGAGGTTGGAGTTCTTCAGCGCATCTTCCAGAAGACGTCCTACCCGTGCGATCTCGCTGTCAAGGTCGAAGTCGAAGGGAAAGACGCCATCAAGTCGTACTACAAGAGGAAGATGAAGGATATCTCGGATACCTCCTCGGAATTGACCCGAACTACCGAGGTGGGAGACATCGGGCTGCCCGAGTTAAAGTATGGAACAGTTGAGGACAAGCTCCCTGAAGACTGGGAGCTGGTTAGCCATGACAACATCTCCAATGTCTATTGCGGTAACGTATGTTTTGTGCAATCCTCCCAACTTCATATCTACCGTTCTTTAGTCAGACTAACATTACTTTTAGATGCAATTTATGTCCCCCGGCGCCAACTTTTTCCCTGCCGCGCTTCCTGCCGATGGCTGCATGGATCTGATCACAATCCCCAGCGACATCTCGTGGTACACAGGAATCCAGACCTTCCTTTCAATCGAGTCTGGCGGCTTCTTCGACTCGCCTCATGTAAACTACCGCAAGATCTCCGGGTTCCGCGTCACCCCCCGCGACCAAGAGGACGGATACATCAGCATTGACGGCGAGAGGGTGCCGTTCGAGCCCTTCCAGGCCGAGATCCACCAGGGGCTGGGGAGAGTGATTGCCAAGAGGCCAGGAGGGTACGAAGCACCTGGGCCTCGGGGCTGGGAGAATGTCGACGACAAATGAGGGAGAGAATCGGTGGATGTTCTGTACACCCCGGACCCGACCAGGACACTCGCTACATCAAACAAGTATCTCCCAGGCTGAAGATACCATGACACGGCTGCCAGAAGAAAGAGGAGGATTTAAGCGGAACTAGGTACTAGAATCCTAGATGGAACGAAAATGATACCCCCCTCGCAAGGGACGAGGACTAGATTGTGGCAAAGAGGGCAACGTATGTTATATTAAGAGACAGCGATATTTGCAATTTCTGGTGTTAAGGATGGTGGACTTAAGTAGACTACGGAAATTTTATATCAATGGAAAACGCTCTAAAATTGAATGAACTTCGTCTCAGTTTAGTTGTTGTACCTGGAGACTGGTTGGATTTTCCCCTGTAAGTGAAATCAGGAAGGGGCGGGGCAGATCGTTACCCCGCCAAAAGAGTGTTTCCAGTTAATATCAAGCCATATAAGCGCACTTCTGGTCTCAAACTGTTCAGAGCCATTGGCACGATCTGATATTACACTGTAACATACCACCAACTTTCCCCGACTTCATCATCATTCTTGCACCGCAGACACATACGATGCCACCCAAGGGGAGAAGAGGACCGTCCGGTCCCTGGGGCAGACTCAAGCCCGTGGTGCAAGACCCCCTCGAGAGCATAGGACTACCCTCGAAAGGCGACAACCGGCTGCTTGAGTTCGGCACACAGGAGAAATACTACACCAAGATCATGGAGCGGTACATGGGCTTCTGCTCAGATGCGGGGAAGCCAGACGAGCTGCTACGGAGGTTCTCCGCCCTCGAGATCGGCGAGAGTGCCGGGCCGTCCGCTTCGCCTACCTCAACAGCCTCCACTGCTTCATCAGGAGCGCCGCCGTCACCTTCGCTGAGTCTGCTGCAGAGCCCGGCGAACACAAAGGGCCTGTCGGATGTCATGATGGCGCTGAGGAAGCTGAGGGAGGGCATCGTGGCGTCGAAGCGCGTCGACGACTTCGCCGTGCAGGCTTACCTGTTCTGCGTCCGCCTCTCCGTTCTGGTGAAGCACCCGGAATCCTACCACCCGGCCATCCTGTATCTGCTCCGCGCCCTGCACCCGCAGCAGCCCTTAACCTCCGTCGAGCTGCAGGAGGTGGTGGCGTACCTGGTATTAGACGCCGCGTGCCGGAGAGGCCAGATGTCGGAGGCGTACTCGATCCGGCGCGAGTACAGGCTACGGGACGCCAAGGTCGACGCGGTGCTGGACGCGCTGGCGCACGACAACTACGTGCGCTTCCGGAGGCTGAAGCAGAGCGTGGACGGGCACAGGGCGCGGATCATGGACTGGGCGGAGGGGGAGGTGCGGATGCAGACGCTCAAGGCGCTGGGGCGGGCGTATCTCTCGATAGACCTCGGGTTCCTGGAGAGCGTGACGGGTGCAAAGTGGGATGACTTGAAGAGTAATGACGGCGTGGGCTGGGAGCTGGAGGGGAACAAGGTGGTCATCAAGAAGATCAGGGCCAGGTAATGCGAAGGCTGCGCCTGGTGCTGGCGTATCGGAAATATTCTCTATCGCCTTGCCTGTCTGATGGGAGGGGCTTACACTCGGCGTTGTTATCTAGCCATCTGTTTGCGACGGTAGTACTCACACTGTCGTGGCAACGAAGCTGGCTTCCTTCCGTGTTTCCCTCACCTACGGCGAATCAGAGCGCATGCAGTGCAGGTTAGGCTCTAAACCTCGCGACCAGCGCCTCGTCAGTAGGAACAGCGCGGCGTTTCTGGGCGGCGAAAAGTTGCTCCAGTTACCAGAGGTACTCGGTCACTCCTTCTACACCTGCCCCGAAATCAACAACGGACTCGACGATGAGCCGTGATTCCTCCACCTCCCCTCATCTTCCAGGTACCAAACACCAGACCTGTTACCCTTCAAGCAAATCCCCTCCTCCACCCTCCCGAACCTATACATCACATAGGCTTTGTCTCGCCCGGCGTGCAAGACATATGCGGTTAATTCACGCCAGGGAATGAACGAACGACCCAGGAAGCCGTCAATCTCTTCTGGCTCTTATATACGTCAATGGGAAGCCGGTTTCTTCTGGCTGTTTATTTACGTCTCAGAGAAACCCAACGCCCCAGAGAAGCAGATTTGAGAACCCCTCCGACTCTTGGATCTGAGATGGCGCCCCCCAAGAAGCGGGCAAGGGCACTACAGAGTGACGGCAAACCGATCCCGTCTGCGTTGCTATGCGATAGTCGCGTCGGTTGGTTAGTAAAGTGAGTCCACCTTTGCGTGCGTGCTTGTTCCTCGTGGATTGACACTATGAAGTTTCACGTGCTGACCAATTTGTTTCTCTCCCGCCGTGTAGGAGCGACGAGCAAACAATTGAAATCATAGTCAAGGGGGAAGTCCTCATAGCCCATCGCAGGGTCCTCGTAGAACACTGTGAATACTTTGCCCGATGCCTCAAGGAACCCTGGGTCGAGGGCCACAACGGATCCATCACATTCGACGACATTGAGCCGCGATACCTGGCCCTCTTCATTGGCGTCGCATACAGCCACAGCTCCATCGTACCTTTAGCACCTCCGGTCAGCAGCCCGAACCCGCAGGCTAAGCGCGCCCGGACGCCGCTGCAGGACTTTGTCGAGGTCTACAAGCTCTGCGACCGCTTCGTAAGCCCCAAGATGGCCGACTACATTGTCAAGTGTATCCACACGTCCATTGGCGACGGCCACCGCGCGCTGTACCGGTGCCCGAGCGACGAGGGGCAGCAGAAGGATCTGATACGAGAGTTTGCGGATGGGTTCGAGGCACTGGAGATGATGCACCCGGTCCAGAAGGAGATTGGGAAGAAGATGATTCACTACTTTTGCGAGGGCGTCAGCTATAGTATCTGGGACAAGGCCATGGAGGATGTGGTCTCGGACAGGCCGCGGTTCATCAGCGACGTGTCGAGGGGGTTTGCGTCAAAGCTAGGAACCATGGAGGCAACGAAACGTGCGATGAGGCGGAAGGAGCTCTCGGGCCCATAACTGCTGAGTTGAGGCAGGGCATCTCCTTGTCTCATTTCGAAGCTTTGGCAGGTCAGTGCAGGACAACAAGGGGATACGACGAAGAAAGAGAGAAAGAAGAGCAGCGAGCCAGGAGCCATGTGGGGATAATGTATTGAGAATATTAGCGCTATTGGGATGGGAGTATTTGGGCTGAGTTTAAGATCAGGTTGGTCTGAAATATGAAGCAAGGACCTCCAGTTAACGCGGGAATGGATCGCGATATTGCGCAATGGAATGGGAAGAATGAAGATCACGATATAAAAAGCGTATTCTTTTTGATCGAATTGAGAACAAGATTGCTATCATAGGAGCTAATTCTGGGATGGTGGCGTTAAGTAAAAATGTATGAGATAACACTGCCGTGCATCATATGCCCTGGTGATTGGAATTTCAGAACAATTGATTCAAGGGCTGTAATAGCCTTACACTGCCTTGCGGGCTACAGGGATTGGGGACTTGCCATCCTTGCCATCCAATGTTCATAGCTGCTGCTCCTTGCCAAACACAGCTTGCCCGATGGCCATCTTGGCGGGGGCGGCATTACAGAGTAGAAGCCGAGGGGCCAACCCCAGAGGAGATCTAGCTTGTGAAGATGACGATTCAGCAGGGAGAAGATTAATATTAGGTAAAGAAATAGATAGCCAAGGCCTTTTGTCTGCAAATCTGGGGACTTTTCGAGCGGTTGGCCCCAAAACCTTATCACTGGGCCGTCTGGCTGGTTGTCCGTTTAAGCCCCCGAGGCCCCCGGAATTTATGGGGATGGTGACACGCCAGGCGGTGCTAAAATGGATTAAGCAGGTGGCCAAGCGCCAGATTTATGGGGAGGCAGAGCCTGAACACTGGGGAATTCAGCTTCTACAGGGGGATTCTGTCCTGTAAGCATAAACCTACCTAGTCCTAGGTAAGGTAATGTACGGCCTTCGCATGCGGGCGCAACGATATCGAGAAGTTAAGCTTACCTCGACCATCGTCGCCGGTCCTGGCCCTCGTTGCGGAAGGTATCTGGAAGCTGACCAGAAGATGAATCCTGCTGATGATAAGGGTTTCAGGCAGGCAAATAGGTTCATCTTAGTTTTATGCGGGCATGCTTATCTGTCTGACAGAGTGCCCGTAATGTGTGGTACTCTGGTAGCGGCCGGAGCGAGGCGCAGCCTTCACACCCAGTTTCAACCTTGGCCCTTGGCGCCTATAACGGATTGGGTCGAGGGAGACCCAAAGATCCCTTCTGGCGTGGGTTGCATTGCCTCATTTCCGGAGAAGCAAAAGTGCTGGGACCCCATTCTCACCCCATGTGTCTATTGAACCTGTGAGCCAATGTGTTGCTTGCCAAGGCAGGCGATGTGATGCCAAGCTGATCGGGGTGTGGCTCCATTTCGCTGGAAGCGATATCTAGAAGCCTTCCATCACCTGCCCTATGAATGCATATAGCAGTGCGGTGCTACCCGTTGGTTGGCATGCTCGAGAGAACAGCCAATAGCTTCGGGCCCTTTTCTAGACCGGGACGCACCATCCTGGAGGGAATCTGCAGGCGGGCTCAATGTGCAGGGAGTGTGTGGCCTACCAGAACAGCTGCTGCGGCGTCGTCGGGGATTGATATCCAGCTGCCACATGCCTAAGCAAGGTTCGCCCCTCGCCTCTCTAGTTCCGCCAAGTCGCTCCAGAAGGATGTTGGAAGATTGGCAATCTAGGGCCTTGGCACTCCCCCATATGCGTGGTTCTTTGTCCTGCCTGGTTGTAGGAGGCCTACCGCCATGACATGACTGTGCCACGCGACTTGTACGGGGTAGTCGAGCTGCATTGCCTCCAATTAGAGTTGGCAGATAATGCTAGATACCAGAGAGATGCACCCTTGACGTTAATAAGTCGCCCCCCGGGAGGCCTGATAGGTAGAACTGGGCCGATTGGGGGAATGAAACGCCCACCCAGCTGGGGGTCCCAAAAGAGAGAGGGATGGGATGGGGATGCCTTTATCGGGCATCTGGTGAGCTGGCGGCGCACCGAGCTGGCAATCAAAAGGATCAGCCCTCCCCTCGCCTCCATGCGCGTTGCTCAGCTCTTCCCATTCCCCCTTTCCTCTCCTCCTCCCACCTGTTCGTCGTTGAGTAGTCATCGCCCGGTCTGTCGCTGTTGAGATACCCTTCTTCCCCGAACCTACAAGAATAACAAGCAAAACCGCAACAATGCATTCCAAGTTCGCCCTCCCCGCCGCCGCCACCCTCCTCCAGGCGGCCTCAGCCCAGATCCTCTACGGCGCCGACGCCGGCTCGCTCTCCTCGGACACCTGGTCGTCCGTCATCGAGTCCGCCAACTACACCGACTCACAGTCCGTCTCGGGCCGCGACCTCTCGGCCACGTACCCGGGCAGCGAGCAGGACGGCTGGAGCCTCAGCTTCGCCATCAAGGACGGCGTCGCCGGCTCGGGCGAGACCAAGACCCCAGCGGGCGCCATCTCCCTCAGCGGCCCCAGCGGCGACTTCGACGACAGCTGGCACCTCTGCCTGCACGTCTTTCCCGTCCGCGCCGCCAGCGCCGGCGGCGCCTGGTCGACCGACTTTGACGGCACCTGCTCCGGCTCCGTCGCGCCGGAGTGCGTCGACGACCTCAAGAAGAACGCCCTGTCCAACTTCGACAAGGACTGCAAGACGTGGTCGCTCACGGCCAGCTGCCTGCGCGACATCCAGGACAACAGGCTCAACACGGCGGCCGTCTCCGTCACCGGTAAGTGATCAATCCACGTTGCGCGATAACCCCCACCCTCTTGAATGTCTCTGGGAAAGCTAATGGGTGAAATTCAGCCGATAACCACCAGGACTTCATTGGCAACGAGACCTCCTTCTACCGCGAGGTCTTCGCCGAAGAGATCCTCACCGCCGCCCTGGAGCCCCGCGCCGTCGTGAGCGTCTGGGGCCGCAGCGCCGACTCGGGCGAGGATCCCACCATCCAGGTCACCTGCCTGAAGCCCGACACCGTCGCGTCCGGCAGCACGGATCCCGCCGCGCCTGCTGAGGGCGCCGCCAGCGGCCTCAAGGCGCTGGCCAGCTGGGCCGTCCTCACCGCCGCCGTGGCCTTCCAGTTGCTGTAAAGGAGAACCAAAAAGGGCCATCCAGAGTCGGTGGAAAGATGTAAATAAAGGGGAAGGCAGGCTTTTTTTATTTTAAAGTTGCTGGGGGAGAGATCGAATCCTGAATTGCTGCACGCTACCTCCTACCTCATGTGGTAGATGTGGAGCAAGGCCCAGGCCATAATTTTATGTAAATCCCTTTGCGAGGCTGTAGGTCGATTTACGCGGCGGCGTGTTTTGGATCTTTTGGGAGACGGCGAAATATTGCTGTTTCTTTGTTATTACCTGTGTACATTTGAGGGAGGTATATCATCGCATACATGGGCTCTGGCTATACTAGTTCTTACTTGTGCTGCGTTCCAGAAAATAACTATTAATTACGATGCGGCTTGCTTGTGTAACCCGAGAATGACAAGGCTGTGATCAATTGACGTGCTTGACTGCATGTATTGTGTGAACCACATTTCGATAAAATAAGTATATATCCAGAACAGTAATGTTTTCCATTCCCAGCCCCCTTGAAAACACAAAAGAAATTCACCAGACCCGAGCTGGTGAGTCTCGACTCGTCCACGGAACGCATTCCGAGGAAATGCACAATTCAAACATGTGGTATAACCGAAAACCAGAGGTATCCCCCAACGCCCAGCCCATATGCAATAATAAATCCGACTGGATGGATGCTTCAATGTGTAGGCTCCATCATGGTTGTTTTTGTCTTTTATCTTTTTTTATTGTCGTCGTGAGCGCATCACTTCTTCTCGTAGAACCGGATGGCGTTCTCCAGGTCCTCGAGGCTGTCGCGGCTGCCGTAGACCTCCATCAGGTTGTGCTGCCGGCGGCGCTCCTCGTGTTGCCGCTCGATCTCCTGGGCCGCGGCAATCGTCTTCCTATCGCGGGCGTTGACGGCGTAGGTTCGGACGCCGAGGCCTACAGCGACGAGGGCCGCTAGAGGCTTGAACCTGGGCAGGGTTAGAATGATTAATCCATGAAAATATGTTTAGTGAATGGCTGGAAAACTCACCATCTGAAGGGCATCCGGCGACTGTGTGGTAGGTGAGGGAGGTAGCTTGGGTAGACCTTTGCTGCCGTGGAAAAGCGTCTTGCGGGAGTGAACATGGCTGCTGAGGGTCGCGGAGGAAGGAAAGGGCGGCGTGTGGAGTATTTGTTTGATATTCTCGGTTGCTCGGTATAACTCCTCAAGCGAGATGACAAGCCGACGTAGTGTTGATTGAGGTGGTAGTAGCGGATAAAGCAGTAACGCCTATCTCGGCGGTCTATGTCGTGAATGGGAGTTGGATGTTGCGGACGCGAATCTGTCCAGAGCTGGTGCTTTTTTATTTTGCTGCGATGATGCTAGGTACAATCGGAAATGATCTCTTCTTCTCTCCTCCAAAGGGGGGGAGGGCGTCATAGTATATTAATTCCCAGCTAGCTGGCAGGTCCCCTACGAGAGCGGTCATCCCACCCGCAAGAGCTTCTCTCCGCGTGCCGTGGGGAAAGCCCAGCAGTCCCCTGGCGTGTGGCGACCGGAGCTGCCCGGGTGCTGTCGGCTATGGAACTGGGGCGCTGGAGCTGGCCAACCGCAGGGCGCTGGCGGCACCCCAGAATAGTGGCATGACAAGGCGTCGCAGGTGATCAACTGGTTCCCCTGGGAAAGCCAGCTCACTATGACATACGGACGGCGAGCACCGCAAAGGGGGAGAGCCCTTTGGCCCGGTGCTCTGCAACGCTCAGGGACCTTTCCCGGCAGCTTATTACCGAGAATTCGAAAAATTTCAGTGGTCTCGCTGACCTGCAATGCCTCCCCGTACGAGATGTGGCCTGATGGTGCCTGCGCGCGTCCCAGAATCTGGTGATTTCACTGTTGCGGGTAACTTACCCCTGTCTTGGATCCCACACCACTGAGTTGCAGTGGTGGCCGATCTTGCGGGGAACGCCCGGCCAGCGCCCAGTCATGAGTCGCCAGTGCACTTTGGGCCTGGAACGTCCACTGGCCTCTTTCTCAGTGCGGACTACCGATGAGACCTGTGCTGGGTCGCGGGGGGTTGTGGTAAGCCTAGCCGACAGCTTCCCTCAGCCATCTGCCATCCATCTCGCGACGGCTCTGCACTCCCACTGCAACACAACCTGCCTCACATCAGGGTGCGGGCTGGGGCTGACATCCTGTATTACATGGAGGTGGCATACGCACTTCCGGCAAGATCTCCCCCCACCCCCATCTCAAATGTGTGAAGCTGTGTAATCCCACAACGCCTAGTTGGCTTGTGCTGCCGTCAATCACCCTCTGAGCCGAGGATATCCCACCACACCCTTGCCGGTTTTCGTACTCTCCTCCAGGTTATTACGTAGCACAAAGGTGTCAAGTAGCCGGAAATCACACAGTCCACGGACTTTGGTTGCATGTTTGGTAAACAAAAGAAATGCATCTCTAGATCAGATCCTACATAATAAATGAACGATTGCGTGCCGGTTTCTTAGATTGACGGGCGCGTGCCAGCTTCTTCCACGAAATGCGTGTCGGATCTCGTGGCGAAACCACAACCACATGAGCCGGCCTCCGTACATAATTTTGGGGTGTGTCCGAGAAGCCCAGCATCACGGCCCGACCAACTCCCTGCAACACCTTCTCTGAGCTTCTGCTACCCTGCTCCTCCATCCCATCATTGCCCTGCAGGAAGCGAGGGTAGCGTGCCATCCACTCCTCCCAGACCAGATTCATTGACAGCCGGCTATGCCTCTGCCTCTTGAAGACGTCGAACTGCGTCATGCACCACCAGTTGAGAAGCACCGCGCAAATCAGATCGGCAGCCCTCACAGCGCCACCGAACCCCCATCTACACCCTCTCTGCAACCCATACCGCCGCCAGGACTCGGCGAGGACGCAGAACTGTAACAGATAATCCTCCAGAACCCACGTCTTGGGCCTCCCCGCATAGGGATGCGAGAAGCACTTGTGCACATCCCACGTCTCGGCCTCGTCAGTCGGCGTCGTCTTCTTCTCTCTTGCCCCCCACTGTCTGCCCCCGCTCCTAAGGTATGCCAAATCCCCTAGATACCATCCTGGAGCGTACCTATCCTTCTTGACGGCTTTGGTGACTCTGTCCACTTTCACATCCCCAATCACGGGCGCCTGGACTATGCGCACCACCGCCGGCATCATGCCGGCCAGCTTGGCTGTCATGGCTTCCGGCGAGACCTCCTCCACTGATACCCCACACATCTTGTGGAAGTCCCAGAAGGCACCCCGGATCGGCGGTGATTGGACGAAGGACTTGACATCATCCCAGCTCACGGCCTTCCCCCTTGCACCATTTCCTCCCGCTTTGCGGAGGACTTTCAACATCAAGCTGATGAAGATTTCTTCCCGCCAGTCAGCGTACGGCTTGAGATTGTACATGATCAACCTGTCGTAGAAGGTGCATCGGTAGCAGTTGCGAGCGCCGCACGCAATCCAGTACTCGTCTGGACGACCGTCGCCGATTTGCCGTTGGTAGACCCGTTCGTAGTCAAGGCTGCGGTTTCGTAGGGTTCGTAGGGCCTGTCTGGAGGTAATGGGGATTGGGTGTTGGTGTCCACGGGTGGCGGTGAGGTTGTGCCGAGAGAGCGCGAGATACCTTTTCAGGTCGTCACTTGGGGTTTTAGCACGGGTTGCCCGAGCTTTAGACACATCAGAAAGAACAGATGGCCTTGCTTGGGCATTCCGGCGTGCATCGCCGCCAAATGGTGGCATCTGGGTGTGTGTCGGCATGCAGTCTGGAACTTGGTTGTGGTTGAATCCCGCCAAGGGGCTTCCACACGTCGTCCCCAAGAATAGGGGTTTTCCAAAGCACAACGACATATTAGCCCTTATGCTGTGTCACTCTGTCATAGTGCCGCCGCCTCATAAATGAGGCCTCTACATTTCTTAGGTCTGGGCAGATGGACTCGATGCGGACTCGAAGGGCTCACCCCTTTTAAACTGCTTGCTGTGACAAAGCCTGGTATTGGGCGAACTACAAATACACGGACAACCCCGACACAAAATTGGGTGGGTGACGTAGGGAAAAAAACGCAGAGATGAAGAAAGAATGTTACCATAAAAACTTCCGGCAGTTCTTGCTGCCGCATAGACACTTTTCCATGTTATCAACGTTCAGTGAGGTTTCTTCGTTGTCCTCTGCAACTCCATCCACATAGTCGAAAGTTAGCTCTTCACCCCGGTGAATGTCGCGGATTGCGAATAAAGCCAGGTCGTGGAGGTGTTTGTCTGCATGATCGCCAACTCTCGCAAAGATCCGCATATTAGGGTCACAAGAATGGTTAATGAAACGAGTAGGGCCAGACATGAACTCCCCATCCACCTCTAGCGGGGGACCTTGGAGACGGGGATCCAGAGAGTCGGGATTCGTGAACTTGTCCAGTGCAAACAGATAAACGTCCTTCCTTTGTGAGATGGCAGATTGTTCACGGCGGCGATCTGCTTCAGCGGAAGTGATGACTTCCCCAAGATAACAGTCAACAAATTGACCTTCTTTAATTTCTTCGAGACAGCGGACACCTATAGGACAATCTAATCGTTAGCCTTTCGGCGACCCAGAGCATTTAAGTAAGCCAGAATATGATAGAAATCAAGAGTAGCGTGGGTAAATAGAAAGAAGACAAAGATGCAACATACCCCAACCGCGGTTGATTGTCCGAAAAATCTGCAGTGGAACTGTTCGTCCTCTTTCCACAACGCGATTTGGACAAAGGGTGGAGCATGAACAGGCCTGATGGCACTCGTACAACGGCTGGGTCGAGTCGATAACTCTTGAGCGAAGAAGGCCGGCCTTGGCGCCACCCGTGTGGTAAGCGTACGCCTTGACATCCTCGTCGTCCTCCTCGAGATCAGCGAGACAATCGCAGGCGCTATACTGGCATTTGGCGCCGTTATCCCCGCACGAACAGCCGCTCCGGAAACTATCCTCAGCAGCCTCGACGCCCTGGCCATAGACCATCTTGTCGATGAACCTGAAGTTTTCGGGCAGAACTTCATCGTCGACTTCATTCACCACGGTGATAGGGATGGTACTGTGGGTCTTGAAGGCGCGGATCTGGCACCAGTGACAGTCATGTTTCTCATCCTCAAAGCCCTGGCAAACGGGGTGTTAGACGAGATTCCGGCAATATGTGATGTGTAACAACAAAGCCATTTACTTACCTCTTTTCCATGGTTAAAAAAGTGTTGTCTGGTTGCCTCCTCCATGGGGTTGTGATTTTTGGTGATGGACTACGAGGTGATAACGAGGGAGCAGGCGCGGCTGGAGAGACACGGGTTCTTTCAATATCTTTTCTCTTTGTCTTTTAGTCTCCGGGAGTGTATATCCCTGTGTGGCTTTGTCCGGTGTTGAAGTTTGTGTTTTAGTCAATTGAAGATGTGATTGGATGGTAGGGAAGGTTGTTGGTTTACAGGTCTATTGTGAGGACTGTAGGTTAGGTGGGTAGGAAGGTTGCTACAGGAGTTGCCCCACAACTTGCTCAGTCTCCATCTACCATTTGCGCCTTCCGTCAAAAATTGTTTGTATGCCTTGCTCAGTTCAGCGGTTTTCGAAAATACACACGCTCGTATCCGTCTTCAACCCTCCGGTCAACTTCATCAAATCCCATTTTCGCATACAGGCCAATGTTCTCCCACATCTTCACATTCGTATAGAGCTCCAGCGCAACCCGGCCTTTAGCACGGGCGAAGTCCTCGGCGTAGTTCATCAGCAGCCTCCCGTAGCCTTTGCCCTGGGATGCAACGTCCACGACCAGGTTGTTGATATCCACCGCATCAGAGTCCGGCCTTGCGAGCAGGACAATGGAGCCCTGGGCTGTGGACGACCCGTCAGGCCGGAGCACGAAGATGTCGTGGGTGTTCAGTAATTTGCTGTAATCTGTCGTCATAGGTGCCGGCTCCTTGCCTATGCGTTCGATGTACTTGGTGTATGCACTTTGGACCATGGCTTTAATGGCAGGTACATCGTCACTCGTTGCCCGCTCGATCGTGGCTGTGGCGCCATTGGCACCCTTGGCTTGGGTCTTTGCTGCATCCGTTTCAGCCATCTTGTAGAAGCTCTTGAGATGATCTCTACGACATGCCCAAAAATGTCCCGGAATGCGCTTATTTGTAGTGATCACGGACAAGAGCCGAGTGACGGAGCCGGCTGCTTACTGACCAACCTATTCCGATGTCCGGAGTTTGGGACCAGCCGTTGCTGTCAGCGTTGCTCCAGTCCCGACTCCCGGTATCCTCTTACTGACTCATGGAGCATGACTGGAGAATCATACGGCATCGGCAGTTAATCATCACCGACGAGCTATCTTATCTAGGTAGGTAGTTAGGTTGGTGGGCGGTTTGTTCGCCTCAACGAACCCTTGAAAACCCACCTCGGTTCCGGCCTGATTGGCCAGGTTTGACTTAACCTACTAGCTGTTTATTTTATTTTGGTCAGAAATGCTCATGTGCCCGATTGCTACTCTACGGTCCGTTCCTAAGTCGTCAACCCCTGTGTTTGCAGGCCTAGACAAGAACGTACCTAAAGTTTGGAGTTCTTCTACTTCAGGATCCATGGATGCCTTCTGACAATTGCGTCCCGCTTTGGAACCTAATACCAAGGCTTTTATCACTAGTACTCCCGCATTTAGAGACGGATCCTCGCTGCTTTTAATGTTACATTTTCCGACTGCAAATATGAAGTTTAACAGTGTATGCACGATTGATAATAGTTCTGAGAGACAGGAAAGACCGAGCAAGGCAAGAAGAAGAGCGGGGTAGGGACATGACCAGCAAGCCCATGTTCAAGATGCCTGTCCTACATTCTCCAAGTTGACCAAAACCCCAGCCCCAAGATGCCGAACCAGTGCCCAAACGCCTTCACCTTCAGCTTGCGACCGCCGTAGGTCCACACGATGAGGCCGTCTCCCAGCGCCACAAGGCAGAGCGCCTGCGATAGGACGGTCACAGCTTCATTCATGCCCTTGTACTGCAGCACGAGATATGTGATGCCGAAGCAGAGGTCCCGCACTCCCTTGGCATACAGCATGGGCGAGATCCCTTGCTGCCCAGGGAGCAGCTCGAGGGGCAAACCGAACGTCTCGTAGGCGGTCTTGGGGAGGAACAGGCCGACCAGGCCCAGGCCCGTGAATGCGGTGCCTAGGGTGTAGCCCGGGATGGGAGAAAATGTCGCCATGACGATAGCTTTCTTAGAATATATCGATCTTTCCCACAGTGTCGAAGGATGTGGATACGGATGTGGGCTTCCTCTTAGCTAGTTGTATTCTTGAAAGATAGAATTAGCATTGGAGACAGGGCGGGCATTTGACTGAGGGAGAATAAAACCGGGGTAGGTGGTCATGACCTCAGGGATCTGCCTGCTTATCCCCAGCCAAGTACTACCCAACTCCCATGCCTCTGACCGGCGGGAAAGCCCCGCGGTTGTAGGTTCGCCATGGCAGCAAATCCTGTCAATTGCACATGGACCAACGGAGCTGGCGATGGGATCGTGAATTGTTTCTGCAATGGGCGCAGGGGTAAATTGCAGGCTGAGAGCGGCCAGAGCCTAGCGGTGGAGCTATCTGGAGGCTGACGCCAGAGACCATTGATTGACGATCCAGTGCATGACGGAGCCATCGATGAGCTTAATCCATGGGTGGGAGGGCACAAATCACAATGCAGCTTCGCCAAGCCGCGTGTCGTGGTCCAGCCTCTGAAGCTTCAACCAAGAGAATAGCGAGAAGGCACAAAGCGGCGCCAGGCACTAGCCGCAATCCCTCTAACCTGAACCATCGCCTCCAGGAAGCAACCGGCGAACGAACGAGCAGACTGCACCACATGTCTGCTCCCATTGTCTGGCGCCTCCATACGTAACTTGGCTCCCACCTTGCAGACCCCTGCAGGAAATCCGCTTGTGCCTCTCTGGTCCTGGCCGTCCTTCCCAACTCACCTTTCCTTCACCTGCGTTGCGCTGCTGCATGTGCCTCCTCGTAATTGAGCCTGTGGAATCCCGTCACCCACAACAGCTCTCTCTCCCCTCTCCTCACCACGCCCTCCGTCGCTGCTTGCCCTTCTCACAGCAGTAAGCAACTAGCCCTCGTTTCGCTTTGGGTCACTTTTGCGCCCAACACAGTGCCGATCGACAGCATCAACCTTGGTTTTTCCAGAATCGTGTCTCGGCCAGAGTGACGGAACTATTAATACACTTGATTACCCTGGATTAGGTCTGCTGGGGAGAGGAAAGAAAAAGGAAGGGAAATCAAAAGATTGTGTTTTGCCCTTTCGCACGCAGCCAGCCTCGAGCATATCAACGACCGTCCGAACACCAAGGCGACGGACAAAGCCATACCGGAGCGACAACTGGGCAGAGACAGCATTGCGATGGCATGATCCACTCGACTGATGAACGCACCTCTTGTTGACCTCTCCATTTCGCTGTGATTGCCCTCGTTCGCCAAACAGACAGAGAGCCGTCGCTCTTAGGGACGCTCTCCCCTCCCCTCCACATTCGTTCAGTTCAATTGCCCGGCTTCGCCAGCCAGGCAAGATTCCGAGACAATGGTAAGTTGGGAACCTACTGTTTCACAAAGGCCAATTCGCCAAGCCATCTAGCCAACCGTTATGCCGCTTGCCCGTCTGATACTAAACTTTCGCAATAGGGCTGCTGTATTTCCCGTTCCTCTGGGCCCAACTCGCCTTATCCCGGCGGCGACCCTGCTTCATCCTCCCGAGCCATCAACCCCCCTCCTCTCAGCCTCGGCGAGAGCGTCCTCCAGTCTGCCGCAGGCGGCGGCAGCGCCAGTAATACCAACGCACACCACCAGGCCAGCCGTCGCCGCCGCGAGCAGCGTCCTCTCGATCAGCGAATAAATAAGCCCCTTCGCCGACACGAATGGACCTCAAAGGGCCGTACGTGGACCAAGGGCCAGCTCGCACATGAACGCCGCGACTTCTTTGATACCAGGGTAACGGGGCGGGCTGAGGTGTGGCAGACGCTACACGCGGCGCTGCAGGTGTTGTGGGATCCGACGCAGGAAGAGGACGGCATGGATGGGTTAGGCACGGCGCAGAGCATTCTATCTGCTGCAGAGATTCTGCTACCGACTGGTAACCTCGCAAATGGTGTGTACGACTCTCTAGGCAACTACTACGCACTCCCAGAGTGGATCGTGTGTGACCCTGTGGACGTGCTGGAAGATGGGAAAGGGGATCTCTCCGGGGAAGGAGGCGACACCACTGCCGGCGAAGACGACGACGACGACGATTCCATTACCGGTGAAGGAGAACACAAGAGAGAGAAGGGCAAGGAGATTGTGGACGTCTCCGAGCAGATTACCCTGCGAGCTAGACTTAGCGAGAACGGCCGCGATTACAAGGTTACCGTTGGCAAGACAGAGCATATTCGGAGTATAGCCAAGAAGATTGCCGAGGAGGCCCAGGTAAGTTGATACACCATGTGCCTAGGTCTCTTGTCCTTTGCCATTTGGATGCTAACACACTCCTTTAGCTGCCAGCTACCAAGAAGATTCGTATCGCGTACATGGGCAAGATTCTTAAGGAGAGCGGTTCCCTCGAGAACCAAGGCTGGCAAGAAGGACATATCCTGAATGCTCTTGTCTTCCCCAGGTAATTTCCCGTGGACGTCTTTGCTATCTTCCACTGCATCTGATCCTCTACCACCACGACATGACGTCTTATGTTCGCCCGCGGCGCAAACCCCCAACCCATCAAAAGAACAGCCTGCTCCCCAACTTTTGCCTCTGATGTTCTAGAAATATAGACATCACTATACCGGTTGGCTTTTATAATATCTCTTGTTACTCTGCTTTTACAATGATACCTCCCCTGCCTTGTTTTTCTTCCAATTCTACATCTCCTATTTTACTTAAACGCACATGCGTGGTTTTCTATCTGGAATTGTATCTCCAGCACAGTTCAACCCTGTCTGGGGATCTTAATTTTGCGAGCTTTGGTTCTCGTCACCCTTCTGGTTCGGTTTCACGATGTCTTTGCTGCTTACTCGACCTCCTCGGGCGTTTCATGGTATGGGATGAGCCTCACATGGGCTTGAATGGGCGGCTGTTGTCTTTTGTTCTACAGAACTCTTCACATATGCACAATACACATACTCTTACATACCCCCTCTTTCCAATTCCCCTGAATTTATCATCGGGCGTCCATAGTATAGGAAGAAGATTGAACGAAAATGGAAACTCGTCTACATGTCCGACACAGGACAAACTCAACACTGGCACAGAACTTGAAGAAACCTTTTCCATATTTGCAAAGACAAAAATCACCTTCCTCATCGGCCTCGTCCGAAAACTATGTAAAATTCCTTGCGCTGGTTAACACTTTGTCTATTTCTGCTTCTTCCCCCCCTCTCTGCACCCCAAACCCCGGCAAATTAAAGGCTGTTTGTTGCTTTTTTATTCTTTTCCCATTCTACCCGAAAATTCTTGAGGAACACCAAAAAACCTTGATGCAAAACCCCCTCCCTCTCCTCTCGACAACTTTCCTCTGCAACACAAAGCTAATATAAAAAACAGGAACCAGGCATCAAAGCAACTTGAAAAAATGAGCCCTATTTTTGGTTTCAATTGAAAGATAAAAAAATAGCCATGGTCACATTTCACACATCCAGCCGAGGGGCCAAAAGAACCTTTCCTCCTCCCCGAGACTCCGGTGGTTTAAACACCTTATCCTTCGCGCGCTCTCTCCTATTCTAGTTATAATTACGTGGAGCCGATCTTGCTCAGGCCCTTGAGTGAGCCGAGGCTCAGGGCCAGACCCTGGGATCTACTCCTGATGCGGACGAAGCCGGTGATGGGGCCGTCCTCACCCTCCTTCTCGATGCTCAAGTTGGCAAGGGCATCCTCTCCTGTAGAATGAGTTAGCAAAGTTTACGTATCGAAATGAGAAAATGAGGAATTTGTGATTAAACGTACCAAATACACTGCGAGCGTATAGGTTGGCGCTCAGGAACTGGCAGTCACCCTTGAGACTGGCCTCGGGCGTCAAGCAGTTCATGTTGGTGCATGCCATAAGCTGCTCCAGGAATTCACGGAGCGACTTGGCCTTGGAGTTGATGTTGACCTTGTTCTCCCACTCAAACTCGGTCCACATGGTGCGGAACTGGGTCTCGGTGCAAGTGGCGGGCTGGATGTAGTCCATGATGTCGACATGGAGATCATTTAGGATCACGACGTTGGTATCCGTGGAGTGGGCACCGTCGTAGATGACATTACCAAAGATGACGCCGGTATCGGTAGACGACACCTTGATGGTGCACTGGACGTTGTGGAAGTCGTGAGGTCCAAGGTTCTGAGTAGTTGGGCGCTCGACAACCTTGAGGTCGCCGAGGGTGGCGAACTCAACGGAGAGATTCTGCAGGGTCTCGGTGGTCTGGTTGACCAGTAGCACGTCGAGGACAATGTCGAATTGGTGAACCTTGACGTAGGCTTCGGCGTACACGGGGTCCGAGAAACCGGTGAGCTGAACCACTCGGTTGAGCTTGGAGGAGAGGTCCTCCGCGCCGCCCTCACCACCTGTGGCACGCTCGAGGTCTACCTCGACTTCGTTAACACCATCTGAGGTGTTGCGCTTGGACAATTGACGAATGTCCACGACATCATCAACCTGCACAGCAGTTTTTGCCTTCTCGACGGCTTCCTTGGCGGCCCGCTTCTTCTCCTCCACTTGAACCATAGCTCGGAAAGCTTTGCGGGTGTCATCCAGCCACACAGCCTCCAGCTCCTTCTTCTCGGTGAATTCGGCCAGGGATCGTACGCAAGACATAACACGGTCTACTGAGTCCTCGTCAATGGGTGCCTTGACGAACTGAGACTGGCCGACACGTAGAATAGAGATCATAATAAGCATGGCTTCAGCCCTCAGGGCGTTTGTCCGAGCCTTATCGGCTGAGATCTCGGAATGGCGCATAACCAACTTGACAAGGGTAGAAGAGAGAACAGTAGCCAGGTAGTAGTCGCCATCGAGGATGAGTTGACGCAGGGGTGGCTTCTGTGCGGCCTTGACAGCCTCCAGCTTGGCAGCTGCCGAGGACTGGCTGGTGAGAGCGGTCTCCGTTGCGTATGTGCCGTCCGCAAGGACCTTTCGGGAGCCGCTGGGAGCAACAGGTTTTGATGATCCGTTGAGCAGATCCTCGGGCTTCCCATCATCATCCTGGTCTTCGAGCAAGCGCTGCTCGGAAGCAAGGATGGGGATTTCTCCCAAGCTAGCGCGTATCCTCTTCCAAGCGTCGCGGATGTCCTTCTCTTCCAAAGAGTATTCACCAATGATCCAGAGAATACCACGATAGACCTTGCCGGCACGGACTTCACCGAGTGTCGAAACGAGGCGCTGGACGATAGTTGTGCGCAGGTTGGGGAATTTTTCAACGACTTCCTTGACAAAGCTGATAACATCGACGGCAGAGGCATTGTTGAAGTCGCTGATGAAGTCCATGAGAAGCTCGACGACACTGGCGGCGACCTCGGAGAATTTGATTGCGCATTGATGGATGGAGTGAATGAGTAGCGAGCGGTACTCGCTGTTCTTCTCATACTCTTGGTCGACAGTCTTGGAGAGCTCCTTCTTAAGGAGCAACACAACCTCCTCGACGTTCTTGCTTGAAACCATCTCGAGGGCGATTTCTAGGGCCTTCTTTCGTACATCGATGTCAGTGCTGGAGAGCACTCGCAGGATCTCCATCGTTAAGTCATCTAGAACACCCTGGTTCTTCTTTCGAAGCTGATCTACACGATCCAGAACGATCAGTTTGACATTGTTATCGGCCTCCTTAATGCTGAGCTCGATAAACTTGGCAGCAGCAGCCTTGACGGCGACAGGGTTGTTAGTAAGGGCAGTCAGAGATGACGCAGCTTCGTATACAACAGTGGACGTGTTAGCCTCCAGAAGATCAAAGATTAATCTCAAGTATCGTGCCTGTCATTGTTAGCAAAAAGTTCCCACAAATTATCAAGTGGATATAAGGTAAGCCTACCTTGTTCTGAGAGTTCTGGACAGCATCCTTGCGAATAAACTCGAGCTCGACTAGCTGTAGAAGCTCCTCTGCGTTGGTGATACCCTCGAAGACAGAACCAAGGTAGATCAGAGCTGCATCGTGATTGATGCTAGACAGAGCTGCAAATGCATTTCTCTTGCAAGTGGCGTCGGATTCACCTTCCAGGAAGGTGGTGATCAGCTCTGAGGCATCAGGGATGAGAGACGGCGAGTGCGAGAAGATGGAGGAGATGGCAAAGACAGCGGTCTTTCGCACATATGCATGTCGGTGCTCGAGACATGATCGCGCCGAGGAGAGAAGGGGTTCGATAAGCTCAGGCTCTCGCAGCTTGCAAAGGAAACGGAGAGTGTTGCCTCGAATGTACTCGTTGGGGTGTTGCAAGTCGTTACGGATTCCATTGCTACAAGGACTTGTTAGTGGACAAGTCATCATGCCCGAACAGGAGAAGCAAATGCCTACCAGACCAAAATCATCTCCTGCTTGAGCTTGCCAGACGAATCGAGCTTGGGGCAGATCTCGTAGTAGAAATATAACAGCTTCTTCAGGTGCTTGTGCTTGGAAGGCATGACAAATCGGATAATGTGCATGAGCAGGCTGGGCATTGGGTCGCCGTTGAGCATGATAGTCAGGATAGTCTTCATGGTCTCGATCTTGGTCTCATCGGTACCCTTTTCGAGCTGCGTGCGCAGGTCGGAGGCGGAGGGAACATCGGCAGCATTGTCCTGGTGGACCAAGCTGTACGCGGTCTCGAGAAAGCCAGACATGGTGGGCGGTGGTCCGGTATGTTGAGGGTTGCGTGGATGTGGTCTCGCTGTGCGAGGGGAGATTCGCCAGACCTTGGAGGGCGGTGGGGGATCAGGGGGCGAGTTCGAATTCGAAGAATAGCGATCGGATTAAAAGTTATGGCAAGAGAATCCTCGCTGGTGCCATGCGAAGAAACACTGCAACGCCAATGCCAGGCCTCTAGATCCGCCAGGGAATTCGGAGCGTTGTCAGGTCCAGCTACCTGTCTTCGATAGCGACTTCGAAGATCTGTCCTGGCCAGCACCTCGCCGAACAAGTGGCACTAAGGTAAGGCGGCGGGCAGCGGACTGGCGAATCACGTGAACCGCCAACGCCCGCGAACCCGCTGCTGTCTTCCAGGTCGGTGCGCCCCTAACGCTGCTTATCGATAGCGCCGAGACGTCACCGCGAATCAGGTACGTCTGTGCCGGGGTCGTCTGCCCCGCGACCCAGAAACATTTCGAAAGCTCCGTCGCGCAGCACGTCCAGCATCGATCCGTCGCCTTGGGGCCAGCCAGCAGTCATGTCTGCCGCCAACGAACCGTTTTACCTTCGATACTAGTATGTTCAAAGGTCCGTATCATGAGAGTCTGCTCTTTGATCTAACAGGAGACCACAGCTCGGGCCATATGGGCCGTTTTGGACATGAGTTTCTCGGTACGAGCTGGCATGTTTGTTCATCATCGCCGCCGCTAACATTAGGTGAAACGCAGAGTTCGATTTCCGAGTCGTAGGAGATGGCCGAAGTGCCGTGGCACGATATGCAAACAACTCCAACTACCGAAACGATAGTCTAATTCGCAAAGAGAGTGAGGAAGGACCTCGAAAGCTACGCAATTCGCCCAGACCGCTAATACAGATCGGTAGTGAGCGTCAGCTCTGTGATCGTGGAGGAAATTAAGCGCATCATCAAGACCAGCGAAATTATCAAGTAGGAATTCTCTGGGCTTGCTACACATCGTGGGCAATGGATACGTCCAAGGAGCCAGGTTTCTAACCGCTACGCAATAGGGAAGACGACGCCAAATGGCCTCAGAAGAACAAGGATGGCCGCCAGGAGCTTGAGATCCGGCTTGGAAACGACCATATTTCATTCGAGGTGCGTAGAGATTTGTGTCCCGAGTTCCAAACGTGCGCCAATGCTAACACTATGCCACAGACGGCCAAGATAGGATCATTGGTTGATGTTACTGAATCTGCGGATCCCGAAGGCTTGCGAGTCTTCTATTACCTTGTGCAAGACCTGAAGGCTTTGGTATTCAGCCTAATTGCCCTGCATTTCAAGATCAAGCCAATCTAGTTGGCGAATCTTAGCGAACAAAAAGCGGTCCGACAAGCAAAAGATACCCAAGGAGGGAGAAAAGTCAATGCATCTGGGGCGATGGGGCGACGTTGGCGCGCATGATTGTGCATCCCGGATGTAACAAACGAGTCCGAGCTCATGAAGAGAACTCGTCTCGGCAAAGAGCGTGGAGATGCCAATGGCCAGTGTGGACAATTAAAGAAACGACATTATGGAGTAATGTGGTTGATTACCAAGCTGAATCTGCTCATAGTAGAGCCTTTGAAGAATCAAGCAAGCATTCGAACCAAAACCTACCATGACTATTGTCACGCGAGCTGTAACTGTAGGCATCGTCGTCGTCATAGTAGCCTCAGCCAACTCCAAGTCTGTCAATCGCGGACGTTAATATATACCGCCGCCTTACGTAGGTAGCAGTCGGCTGCTAATTATAGGCCTTTTAATTTGCTCGCGACAAGTGTCTTCTGGGCGCGGCCGACTTTCTACGAAGGCAGCGGAGGCTTCCGGGTGCCACATGGCACAAAAGACATGCCATATGCGGTGAGCAACTGTTCATGGCGGGCGAAAAACATATGCTTCCCATCAAGCCATGGCATGATCTGATGGCATGCAGCTGCCGGGTTCTGCTTGCCAGGCAGCGCGTCTCATCATGCAACCCTTGCAGAGATGATTGATACAGAGCACAGCCCTGTCCCTCTACTCCTCTAGGCGGTGGGCTTTTTAAGCTTTACCGCCTCCAGCAGATGGCGATAGGACCCCACACGCCAGCCAGTGTGTGGCAGTGGGATCAGGACTGGCGCCCATACCTGCAGGCTGCTAGTCGCACAAGTAGTAAGAGCTGGTAGAAGATACATCAGCTCAGGCGCAATGAACCAACGCCAGCGCAGGTCGTTTTGCGGCATGCGACAACGGGGGAAGTGCCTGGGGCCCCAACTGGTTCAACGGGCAGCGGAGCCACCGCTCGTCGCCAACGTACCACGTAGGTACACGATACCGTCCGCTGCATTTGAGTGTAGGAAGGGGGCCAGAGTGCTCCATCGATGGGATGGATGGGATGCTTTCCTTCCCCCCGAGCCCACACCTGGACCCCATCTGCTACCATCCCCTTCCCTTCGCTACCTCCCGCCGCGGCGACTCCACCCGCGCTGTATGGGGACGCAGCCCACTGTCATAGTGCCTGGGCCCAGGTGTTGTGCCGCTACCAAACCCTGCTCGCAGACTGAGTTAGACCTCTGTGTTTCCAGGAGGCAAATCAGCAAATCAGATTCGACGAGCCTTGGGCAGGCCATGTCATTTCGCCTCCATAAACAGACGACCAGACACCCATCTCCATCATCTCACCATAGCCTCTACCCCCAAACTCCATCCCTCTCCTGAAAAGCCCGGGGTTGGCGCGCATCAATCTGCCGTGGTTGGCCCTCAGCTTCCGTCTAGTCATTCCCGGCGCATCGGTGTTGGGCATTCCCCTACTCCCAACGCGGACACTCGTGATGTCTACAGCTGTCTGCTCCTGAGCACCCTTGTCATGTATTAGCACTCGTGCCACTCATTACCAGGCTGTGGATTCTGTGAATACAAACTTGGTGTGGCTGGCGACGAATATTTCTCTTCTCTGTCTATTCTTCTTGCTATCAACTACAGCGGCTTCTGAATTGGCGGTCGCGCCGATTTGTCTCCGACGCCTCTGACGACCATCACGAGAACGACCGCGACGGCCAAAAATATTCGAGCGACTTCATCCCACCCTCCCACTTTCCTCCCAGAACGAGCTCTCTTCGATTGAAATTACGCAAAGCCGCATTTTCCAGCTATCGCAACAATGCCGACTCCGTCGTCCAATCAGCCTCCGGAGGCTCCAGTGCCACATGTCGTAACCTGCCCCGACGACTCCCAGTTATCCCCACGCCCAGGGTGGAATCTCGACGAGCATGGCGCAAGGAGCGAAGACCACGATGTCAATATGGAGGTTCGAGACGAGTCTGACTCTGCCCCTGCCGGCGAAATGATCGGTGTTCGCGATGGCGCTGTCATCCACGATGTCGTCATGGAGCAAATATCAGCCGAGTCCTCTTCAAGAGCAACCACAATGTCACCTCGCCCGCAATCACACGAAACCATTGACACTTCGCCTATCTCATCAGACGCAGATCGCAATACAACCAAAACATCAGAGCTACTTGAGGATGGCCTAAGTCGGTCTACCGAATTGAAGACAAACGAGTCTGTGCCTAATCAGAGCCGAGTTCGAGCATCAAACGACTATCTTCATGAGCAAGATTCCTCTTCGACAGATGGAGAGGATGATTTCTGCTCGCTATCGATGGGCATGGATTATCCAACCCGCAGGGTAAGACTTTAGCTATTGACTCCTCGCCTCTCCGATGTACATTAACTCATCCCACATGTAGACGAGACCCACCCTTCCATCGTCATTTTTGCGACCAGGAAGCCGATTTCATGGAACACAGCAGTCTGAAAGACAGGTCTATGACGTCCAGGTGGAAATCAAGCATGTCGACATGCACGAATCTTTTCTTTGCGGCTATCTGCGAATCCAAGGCAAGCCAGGTCTACTTCCCTGCCGCAAGGCTTTCTTCTAACATTTGAGTAGGCCTGACTGAGGATCATCCTACTCTCACAACCTACTTCGAGGGCGAGATCATTGGATCCAAGCATAACTTTTTCACCCAGCACGATGACTGGGGTGCCAATCACAAGGTGGATCTCAGTCATTGGTCCAAGTTCAGCGCCTTCAGGCCATACCAAAAGCACGCTCGACGGGGCCCTGTCGCCATTTCGGATGTGGCCCAGCGAGAAAACATCTTCATGCGATGGAAAGAGCACTTTCTCGTACCTGACCACCGTGTTCGGACGATTTCAGGTGCCAGCTTTGAAGGCTTTTACTATATCTGCTTCAACCAGATTAGGGGAGAAGTGAGCGGTATCTACTTCCACTCGAAGAGTGAGAAGTGAGTGCAACCTTATTCCTATTTTCATTTTGCACCTACTGACACATCGAGCTGCAGGTTTCAACAGCTTGAGCTGAAACATGTACCGGACCGAGGATGCTTTAACGCAGTGGAATTCCGGTAGCTAATAATTTGCGACGCATGTTTACAAGCAGAATAATCTTGAAGCGATTGTGTAGTGAGGCTCAGTTCGACACGCCTGCCATCACTATCTCGGGTTTTTTCTTGTCATATTTATTTTTACTTTTCAACATTCTGATGCATGGGATTTTATTTTGTAATATGGTTCTGAAAGATGGTCGGACGTATAGGTCACAACTCGCGCTGCATCACGGGGCTATATGGGAACGAACCTTTGTACATGAGGGGCATATGGGACATAGATGGAACTCAATGGTCTGGGCGGCTCATTGTGTGGTTGGTGTTAACGATATCGCGGGATCGCTGGCTTAGACAGACATTTATGCAAGGCAGCGGAACCGAAAGGTGGCGAAATTCATTCTCTATTCGTCAGTCTTAAAACCCTTGAAATAACCATTCCGGAAGGGATTGAGGTCGTCTGCCGATGTGCCGGTGTTGACCACCTTCTGGCGCGCCGCATACGCTTCGAGAGCAGCCTGCGACACCTCGCGGTTCGGAATACGACGATATGTGATGAGTCGCCGTGACCCTACATTTGTCACATGTCAGCGTATCAAGAGCGCGGCTGTGGTGTGATGGGGAGTTGGTTGCTTACATTTGTAGAAGGCCTGGACACACACCGAGACCGTCTCCAGACAAGGATGGGTGGGCATCGGGATCTCTTGATCCTCGTCGTTGGCTGTAGGCATCCAGAACGATACTCGGCCATTCTCCACCAGGGTGTCGGAAGCGAATACCAGGATGTCGTCCAACATGGCTAGAAAACTATACGGCTTCTTGGGCGGTACGTAATCAGGATCCCTGTAGAACATTATGGTGAGTATATGTGCAGGACTTAACTCTCTGACATTTGATGAAAGGGACTGGTGACAGTTCAACTCACTTCCCCTTTTTGATGCCTGCCTCGATCAGCCAGGGCGTCTTCTCTGGGTCCTTGAGGCCAAGCACTCTCAGACCTTCCCGGACGCCATATGGGGGGTCTGCCACGATGCCATCCCACATGGGAACCCGTCTGATGGGTGAGTTCGTCATATCACAGGTGAAGACGTCGCCGAACCCAGGCCGTAGGCCGTACTGCTCAAAGTTCCCATACAAGCTCTTCTTCCCACCATCGCCGCGCATGCTGCGCCCGTCAATGTCGCTCCCCCAGGTCATGGCCCCAAAGTGCGCGCATGCGACGGGGAAGGAACCCGTCCCGGCAAATGGGTCGTAGAACATCTTCCCGGGGGCGGCGAGGGAGATGTTGGCCGTGATAAGGGCCAGCTCCGAGTCCATGCTGGTGGTCGAGATGTAGTCGCGCTTCTTGAGGTCGTATCTAAGGACGAGGTCGCGAGCCGAGTCGGCCAGGAACCGGCCCATCCAGACCTTGTCGGGGAACTCGACACCCAGCGGTACGCTGTTGTGCTTCCACTGCTCGAAGACGGTGAAGACCTCGTCCGGTTTGGAGAGGCTGATGGGGCCCTCGAAGGGGAGGTAGGCGAACGTGTTGATAATGCCCAGCCTGCCCTTGGAGGTGTGGGCGCCTCGGTAGGCGTCCACGTCGAACTTGAAGCAGGCCATCTTGTACTGCGGCCATAAGTGCGGGGAGTTCTTCTTGACGGACTCGTGGAGGTCGTCGAGCGTCAGGCCCTGTCCCCAGAGCTCGTGGATAGACTGGGCGAGGATTGAGCGTTTAATGAGGCGCTTGGCGGCCTCGACAGAGGGTAGCTGAACAACGCATATCGGGGACTGGTGCAATAAGTATATTGCTTTCAGATGAAGACTTGTTGGGACAGACTCACATCGGCGTCGTATTCGATGATCTTGAGATCTAGTTTCTCTACCACGGCCAGGGATTCTATCTCAGCTACCCTGAACGTCTCATGTGTTTGGGCAAATTTGATTATAAACTCCATGGTGATTTCGTCTCCATGGGTACAATATAAAACGGTTTATTTCAGAATGAATTCCCTAGGTGTACAAGTATCACCTGGTTTTGGAATACCGAACCCTCGAGTCAGACTGGTGACTGTAGGAGGGGATCAAAATTTGCGAACGGTTTTGGCGCCCCAGCAGCACAGAGGAATAGCGACGATAAACCTGGCATAAATAAGTCCTTTCTCCAGGATAGACTTCTATTTTCGCAATCCAATCAGTATATCTCCATGAAAAGGCTAAATATCCAAAAATTGAAGTCTGTTGTGAAAGTTACACGAACGAGGCTGGCTCACGGGGCAGAGAAAATACTTGCTTCTTAGCGGTTGTGGGTGTTGAAAAATTCCAACCGACAAAACACCGGCACATCAAGCGCAACAGCCCATCAGCCCAGCCAGTCTCGACTACTACCAACTTCGGCATCGCGATTGGGTCTGATTCAATCTCCAGTATTGAAATATTTATCGAGAAATCCTTGAGGGAACTGGTCTATTCAGGGAGCAAGCCAGCATGTTTGCCCAGGCTTCGCCATCAATTTACCAGTCGTCGAAATGCTTCGTTACGTACGGCTCTATGGGCCACATTGATCCCAAGCAATTACCTCACAAGAGCAAGCCGTGGTCTTCTTTGGGATCATTGGATTTCGTCCACAAGGTGCGAGTTGACCCTTTGTGTGCAGAATTGTGCGAAAAATACTGACCAGCTCCCAGGTTGATCTGCTCATCCCCCAAGAGCACTATGAGCGACTGAGTCAGAAACTGGGACCGGAAATTACATCTACCACTTATTATAAAGTCTTCATGACCTTGGAGCAAATTTTGCAAGGCGAATTTTTCACAGAATACATAAAACGAGGCACGTTTATTCATTATTGTTGATTGTTTTCTGCTAACCGTCTGTTAGGCAATGTGCTGATGCTCTCTGAGGGCAAAGTTACCGTTGACAACATGTTCACTCTCATCAACGGTGAGATGCACAACTAACCCCTAGATTCGCTTAACCCAAACTAAACGCATGGAATTATAGGCACCTTGACAATGTATTTGGAGAAAGAAGTCTATGAACGAGCGGGTTTAACAGGGAAACCCTACGGCATCAAAGGCGACAGAGGTCTCAAGCCAAGATGGAGTATGCCCAGCCCGAGCCCACCAATTCCTCAATTTCTTCAATCCTTGATATTGACCAATTATTCCTACAGCTGTCACTTATGACCTTCGGAGCCCCTCGATGCTTCACGGCAAGAAAGGGTTCGATAGACTTATGTATGCCTGCAAGAAGGTCCTAAACCAACCGATGAAATGGCTCTTCTCTGATGTTGGCCAGTCGAGTAAGTAGTCTGCTACATTGATCTGTATGAAACCTCACTATCTCTAATACACAAATCTCGATAGTTGATTCTGGTCTTCTGGAAAAACTCTCGGCGACAAAGATTGATGTGAAGCCAGAAGTGATCCAGCATATCAAAACAACACAAGTGGCACTAAATATGCCAGCAAGCGTACTAGCCGAAGGCGACAGGACCGACTTGGAACTTGTGGCGAGCGACTTGTACGAGTGGCTGTCACTTGTTCGACTCGAAAGTCCTCGGATTGCTGCAAACGACGACGTGGATCCATATATTTCCAGGTACAAGGCCCCGGATGGAACGGATGACGAGATGGAGGTTTGTAAGATCACCTGGCAGGGTTTCATGAGCACCAGCTGGATTCGCCAACTTCTCGCCGAGACCATCACACATCATTCCTCACAGTCGTGGTTGTCGTTCAGTGCGACGGAGCTCTCGACGGATGTTGCCGCCGTGCATAATGAAGTGACGCTCCTGCGACCGCCCAAGACACCGGAGGAGTATCTTATGTGGGAGGTTAAAAGAACGAAGTGAGGATGCGCATCTACTCCGGCTTCGTTCGGACGTTGCGCTCATCGCCAAGACCCTGTCCCAGAACGGCATCCTCGACAAGCTTGCGCAGCTCATCTTGGCCTTGGGCGGTATCGAAATCCTCTCGCTGGGCGAGCTCCTCAATGCGACGGCGGAATTCGGTGTCGACTTCAGGGATGTCCTGGGTCTCATCCATGGTCCCCACGGTGACCTTCATGCCCTCTGGAGGTGGCGGGATCGTCTCTGGCAAAACCTCCTCGATTGTCTTTTCAATGTCCTTTTTGGCCTCAATGGTACTCAAATACGCGGCAACCTCGGGATAATCTCCCTCTGCCTCAATCTTTTCGCGGGCTGTCAGCCCCTCGGATCCTCGGTGCAGGGTGTCGGCAGCCAGCTCCTCCACAAGCACCTTGGCGGCCTTGACGGTTTCGACAACGAACAATGCGGTCTCGTTGTCCTCGTCCTTGAGGTCGACACTGACCCTGAATTCGTTGACAAGTGTGCGAAGGAGGTCGAGGTGATTGTAGCTTGCGGCGGCATGGATCAGCGAGTAGCCATGCTCGTCCTGGGCTGACGCCAGGGCTGGGTTTTCGCGAAGGAGGGGCAGCAGATCGGGGCTGTTGTCGGCCGCGAGCAGGAATTGGTTTGCCATGGTTTCCAATGTTTCCGATGGATGGATAGAGGTGAAAACGATCTGCTATTGACAATTGAAGTAGGGGTTCTGTCTTGTCTCAAGTACAATTGATAGGTGTGTTATCCTAATGTCAACGAAATTTTGACGATTGCGGGGTGATTTGCTTGGAGGGGCAGCTCCCAAGCTCATGATTTTTTTAGCGGACCCTCGAGGTCAGCCACAAGCGCGTACCTGCCACTGAGGCGTAGGTGCCTGATTCACTGTCATCGTCAGTAATGTATGACTCAAACGGCAGCCCTGCTTGAGGATTGCTAGGTGCAGCAACCCCCCGCAAACTGTCCGCCAATGCCACAAACTACTGGAGTGTGGCGGCACTCAAACAAGCCAAATCAAATGGCCGGCATGACTCACAGTGATGTTGGTAACAATACCCCAAAACAAGGTGTGGCTGTGCTCGTAAGTGAGAGTGCGCCTTGTCTGCAGTGGATTTCCTTTTAGGTGGGTCTGACTTGCCCACGATATAAACTGATTGCTGCTTCCTCCTAAGGTCTTATTCTGTGCCTACATACTCGAGACTCATCAGCAGCTACAGAGCAGAGAAACAGAGGCTCCGACTCTTGAGAAAGAGAGACTCACAGGGGCCGTCTGTTGAATCTTCTTTTGGCTATCTTGCCTTTCAATAAGTTGGTCGAGCTTTTGGCTCCAACACACTTTCACCATAAATTCCTCCGCAGCAACTCTCCCCCAAATACCAGCAAAGATGGATAGTGCACCTTACATTGCTCAAAATCCCGAGGAGGTCAAGAACTTGATTCTTGCCCTTGAACAGGCATGTGACCGGAAGAAGAAGGGGGGATTTTCTTGCAAAAAGACGTCTTTTCATGTCAAGGACTCCCCCACAGGTCTGAAGGTAGACTCATGGAAGATGCACGACTGGGACTACAAACGCCGGGATCTCCCAACCTATGCGCGAGGCCTCTTCACATCCAGGCTGCGAAATGGCAACAAGGAGATCTCAGTTCGAGGTTACGACAAGTTTTTCAATACCGACGAGGTGGAGGAGACCAAATGGCCTAATATTCTTACCCGAACAAAGGCTCCTTATGAGCTGACACTCAAGGAGAACGGGTGTATCATTTTCATTGCCGGCCTTGAAGATGATACACTTATTGTGTGCAGCAAGCACTCAACCGGAGATCGAGGTGATGTAGAGCTGAGCCATGCCAGTGCTGGTGAGCGCCTATTGGAAAAGCAACTTGCTGCTCTTGGCAAGACCAAGGTTGATCTAGCCCGGGAACTGCGAAAGAGAAACATCACAGCGGTTGCCGAGCTGTGTGATGACAGCTTTGAAGAGCACATTCTGGCTTATGGACCTGAAAAGGCTGGTCTGTATCTACATGGCATCAACCTCAATTTGCCCCAGTTCGCTACATACCCAAGCGCAGCCGTCCAAGAATTCGCCGATCTGTGGGGATTTGTCAAGACCGGGTTGATTGTCATGGACGACATCAACGAAGTGAAGACCTTCCTTGAACAGGTCGCTGAGACCGGTGCCCACGATGGCCGTAACGTGGAAGGCTTTGTGATCCGAACCAAGATGACACACCACCCTGATGTCCCCGCCCGGGATTGGTTTTTCAAGTACAAGTTCGAAGAGCCCTACTTGATGTACCGCCAATGGAGAGAATGCACCAAGGCACTTATCAATGGCAAGCAGCCCAAGATACGGAAACATGTTAAGATCACGGAAGAGTATCTTCTCTATGCCAAGAGGCGCCTGGCCAAGGATCCTAAGCTTGGAAAGGAATATAATAAGAACCACGGCATTATTGCCTTGCGGGATGATTTCCTCAAATTCAAGAACTTGAATGGTTCCGACGCCGCCAACATGGACGAGTTGGATGCTGTCATCATGCCCAATGTAACCAAGGATGTGATCATCAGCCCTATTGCAACAATTGGCTGCGGAAAAACCACTCTGGCTCTGGCATTGGAGCACCTCTTCGGATGGGGCATTGTACAGAATGACAATATTTCCGGCAAGGGTCGACCTCCTCGATTTGTGAAAGCAGTTCTAGGGCAGTTGAAGAACCACCCCGTGGTTTTTGCCGATCGCAACAATGCTTCCAAGCACGAGCGAAAACAGATACTTGATGATGTCAAGTCCCAACATAAAACGGCCAAGATGGTCTGCTTCAGCTTCCGACACGACGAGGATACCATCGAAGAAATTCGACGGGTTACACAGGAAAGAGTGATGGAACGAGGCGACAACCATCAAACGATCCACATCTCAACAGACAAGGACAAATTCATCGGTGTAATGGAAAGCTTCCTCAATCGCTTCGAACCCTGCACCCCTCATGTCCGCCCAGATGATGGATTCGACGTGGTAATTGAGCTCGACCCTACTCTGGCCAGCAGAGAGAATCTCGAAACAGCTGTGGTTGGGTTGAAGAAATACTTCCCCGACTTGATCGGCGAACTGCCCACGGCTGAACAATACGACGCTGCCATGGAACACGCCCTTGGGTACCGGCCAGATTTCAAACACAACATCCCAGACCGAGGAAAGAACAAGAAGGAGGACCAGAAGGGCCAGCAGGCACCTGCCAAGAAGAATAGGCGGAACTTTGAGTATATGTCGGTAGCCGTTCCGAGCCAGCGTATCAGTGTGATGCTCGACAAGGCTTTCCAAAATACCGACCCAGAGACTTCTCGGTTTTACATGCAGTTGAAGCAGACTCGGCGAGTTCAAGCCAAGTTCCATGTCACCCTCCTCCATAGAGCCATGTCAAAAGAATACCCTGAGCTTTGGGAGAAGTATTCCATCCTGCAGAAGTGGGGAGAGGATCAGGGCAAACCTGAGGACAAGGTCGGCATCTGCGACGTGATGCTTGAGCGAGTAAGTACTCCCCAGGTTGTCACAAATGATAATCAAAGTATGTACTGACAAGATATAGGTGGTATTTGATGACAGGATCATGGCGATTGTCGTTCGAATTAGTGATGAGCACGACGAATGGAAATGTGTGAACCGAGTGGCACACATCACAGTCGGCACCCGCGACAGCACTGTAAAACCAAAGGAGAGCAACGATTTGCTCGCCAAGTGGCTTGACGAAGGCATTACGGAGGGAAACAAGATCAAGACGGTGGTGTTCGAGGAGAAGCCCACGGTGGTGGGAGAAGTGAAGCCGGTGTTGTCAATTCGTTAGAGCGAGGGATACCCTATTACCTATCAGCAGAACCCATAGGGTCTTCGTTACGATTAATGTGAAACGCCAACACAATCCTGTCTTGGGAAAAAGCTCGCTTAGCTGAAAGTATACCGTTTGACTATGAAATTGGAACATGTGTATATTATGAGCACCTAAACCGCCTAGGGAGTCGTAATTTTACAATCCGTTTAACAATAATCATTACTTTCTTGTTCCAAAACGAGCGACGCAACACCTCAGAAGCAATGGAGAAGGGTATAAGAACATTAAGGAGCAGCAGACCGCATAGCTGCTATGCATGAAAAACGCCGTGGGGGGTTGCGCTCAGATAGGAGGAACGCATGATTTATTCGTCGTCCAGGAACCTGCTCGCTATTCTTCCAAAGAAGGGAACTTCATATCTGTTGGGTGAGTTAGCTTTCTCCTCCTCCTCCGGATAAATATCAAAGTGTCAAGTAGGTTGCGCACCTATCGAGGATCTCGGCATCTTGATATGCCTTCATGGTTAGGAAGCCGATCAGGCCAATGTCGCCGATGAAGAAGAGCCAGCTGAGGAAGCCCGACCACGAGAAGATGAGGTGGAAGAGCATGATGGCGGTGAATACCAGAGACGACTGCCAGGCGTGGAACCTATTCACCAAGCTGTTAGTGGTGTTTCCTCTCACTTCGTAAACCTCCCAGAGGTGAAGGATCTCGTATCGTACCGAACATAGTCGCTATTCCGTTCCAAAATCAGCAGGATGATAGCGCCAATCGGCGGGAAGGCCAGGTACGCCAGGCAGGCCTCGTAGTCGAGCCTGAGGCCCAGGCTGGTGTCGAACTCGCTGACCTCGGCGGCAGGGTAGGCACCGGGCATTGCGCCGCCGCCGCTACCAACAGCGGTAGGGGCGCCCGAGTCGCTGCCGGCGTTCCATCCCGTCGCCTGGCCGTCGAAGCCTCCCCAGCCGCGATGGGGCTGGGGATGCTGCAGAGGAGGGGGGCTGCGTGCTGCGGTGGCGGGGGAGAAGGGGCGGCGGGCGTCGGTCGAGGCTCGAGGGGAGGAGTTGTAATCGGGGGAGGCGATGCGGCCATGCTCTGGCGGGGAGGACTGATAGGGAGCGAAGTCCATGGTTTTTCGCTAGAGGAGGGTGGTTCGTGGGGGGGAAGAAAAGAAAATCTACCGTCTGGAGGTGTTTTTCTATCGTGGGGACATCACGGTTGGAGGAGGGAAGGGAATTCGAGTCGAGGGTTGTGGTGATGGGATTCGGAGGTTGGTCGTTTGCGGTTGCGATTGGGTTAGTCGCGTGCTGGAGCTGCCCCGTTTGGAGGCCTTGTTTGGAGGGAGCTTTACGCAGGCAGCTGGCGTGTCGATGAAACACTGTCCAATTATGTGTTAGCATGCATGATGTAACCCACCGCATCATCTGCTTTGCGCCAGAGAGCTGTGACGGCTTGCACACCCGGGAGATGCTGACTTGCCGTGGATTCATGTACGTAAATTACGTCAATGCTTTTCGTCTATGCGAACCTCGTATATTTATCTTGGGCATGTTTGCTGAGAGGAGGCATAAGGGATGCTTTGGTTGTGGCTGTGTCCGGATTTGGATTTGGGATCTCTATGCGGAGTGCATGATAGGCTTGTAAAGCATGGGCTACACAATAACTATGACTCTTCAATAAGACTACAAGTAAGTCCTCGTGAGACAGAAAGACGTCAATGGCTCCTTTTCAGCGGTCTGTATGTATGTCTAATGCTACAGTGCAAACGTACATCCTATCAATACATGTGGCTCATGATATCTGCCTGGTTTTGCGTTTAAATAGTACATTGCGAATTACTCCGTCTTCTTTTCTCCACTCTCCTCCTCCAGCTGGGTCTTGCGGCTTTCAAGAGTGAGCCACAGGCTCTTGCTGTGACCTTCAAGAGCGGTCGAGAGACCAAGACCAGCGCTTTGCAACACGTGCACAAGCTGAGCGCGGAGTCCGTCGAGACCACCCTCGATGCCACCAACCCAGTTGACGCCACTTTGGTCAAAGATTTGGCCTTCAATGCGTCCACCAACAAGGAGAAGCTTTGCTAGGCCGTTTTGGCAGGTTGGGTCGTGGTACCCAGGGCTTTTCTTCTTCTTTGGGCCGGGGAATTTCCCTGGAACTGGCGACAGGACGGTGAGCGCCGCTGCGAGGTGTGCGGGCGAGACTGCCGGGATGACGAGAGTAGCCAGAGGGCCAACCATGAGGGGTTGGATCTGAGCGTAGGCTGAATCCTCGGGAATGTCCCTGTTGATAGCCTCGTAGGCGGCTTCCGAGAGATCGTGGACAATGGGGCCTCGAGATGTTCGGGCGGTGGTGGCTTTAGCAGCAGCAGCCTCTGGATCGTGGAACTCGACAATCTTGAGCGCAACGTTGAGCATGTTGGTTCGCACCACCTCGAGCTTGACGTGGGGTGAGATGTTCACGGGTGCGGAGCCTGGCAGGCTGGTCGTAGCTGGTACTGCCTCTAATGCCTTCTTGAGCTCTCTTTTGACGGCCGCCCATTCCTCGGCAGTGATGTTGCTGTGCTGGAAAAACAGGATTAGAGGTGTAGTCCGTAGCATCGAAGTGTATGTTCGGATCATTTGACTCTTTCTCGTCTCTGTTGGTCGTGCGCTGGGGGGCTTGGTCGTTGGGGCGAAATCGACGGGCACCTGAACGCCAGCAGGCTTTGGAGCTGTCGCAGTTGTCGCATTTTTCCTCGAGGTTGTCGAGAAGTTTTGTACTGCGATTGCACAGCTTCTTTGGGGGATAGATGGCTGATATCGTAGTCGCCGGAGGCAGAAGCCTGCCGTTTGGGGTACCCGCCGGGTCATATTTTCTTCAATAGAGATGCGATCCGCCCCGGACGCCTCAATTGACTGAGTAGTAATGTTAGTTGACCCTTACGGCCTGTCTTTTCCCCTGTCTTCACTCGACCGTCGTGGTGGGCGTGAACAGCATATTGAATTTAGACCTTGCGGAATTTCTCGATGGGTCCGGATCAACCCAGCCTCCAGCACCAGCCACAGTACCCTGAACTGGGCTTAGCGCCGCCACACACTTGCTGGACAGGGAGCTTAGTCTAGGTCGAAGCTGATTACGCATGGAACTCACTGCCTTGCCTGCAGCTGGAGCCTTAATCAACACCAGCACATGCAGAGTCTGTGGATTCTGTAGCATTCTATCCCTTCCCAGCACCGCCACAACCGCCATTCTCTTAATAGATCCAATTTTACAAGACGACACACGAAATTCAGCATTTACCTCGAGTTCATCACCCGTCCCACCCCGCCAGCACCCCATCATGTCCACCCTTGAAGAGCTCGATGACCTCGATCGTCGGGACCAGGATGACAAGAAGAGAGATGACCGCAAGGACAAGGACAGCAAGAAGAACAAGGATGGAGACGAGGAGATGAAGGAAGCTGATGAGGAGGACGACGTTCTCGACGAGGAGATTCTGAGCCTCAGCACACAGGACATCCAGACGAGGAAGCGGCTACTCGAAAACGACTCTAGAATTATGAAGAGTGAGCTCTCCCGGTTATCACACGAGAAGGCAGCTATGGGGGAGAAGATCAAAGACAATATGGACAAGATTGCCAACAACAGGTTTGTTACCATACGCCAACTGGGTCGCAATATAAGCTAACATGTCGTTCAAGACAACTACCCTACCTGGTCGGTAACGTTGTTGAACTCCTCGATCTCGACCCCACTGCCGAATCATCGGAGGAAGGTGCAAATATCGACCTGGATGCTACGAGAGTGGGCAAATCGGCCGTGATCAAGACATCAACGCGACAGACTATCTTTCTGCCCTTGATCGGCTTGGTCGATTCTGATAAGCTCAAGCCCGGCGATCTGATTGGTGTCAACAAGGATTCTTATTTGATTCTGGACACCCTGCCCGCCGAGTACGACAGCAGAGTGAAGGCGATGGAGGTCGACGAGAAGCCCACAGAACAGTACGGCGATGTGGGTGGCCTGGATAAGCAAATCGAGGAGCTGGTTGAAGCTATTGTGTGGCCCATGAAGGAAGCTGAACGCTTCAAGAAGATTGGAATCAAGGCACCAAAGGGTAGGTTATCAGAACACTGTGTTTTTGGAAGATGGCTGCTAACCTCAACACTAAAGGCGCCCTGATGTACGGCCCCCCCGGTACCGGAAAGACCCTCCTCGCGAGAGCTTGCGCAGCACAAACGGACGCTACTTTCCTCAAGCTGGCAGGTCCACAACTGGTGCAGATGTTCATCGGTGACGGTGCCAAGTTGGTTCGAGACTGCTTCGCCCTCGCAAAGGAGAAGGCGCCGGCAATCATCTTCATCGACGAGTTGGATGCCGTTGGTACCAAACGTTTCGACAGTGAAAAGAGTGGTGACCGAGAAGTCCAGCGTACCATGTTGGAGCTGCTTAACCAACTAGACGGTTTCGCCTCGGACGACCGAATCAAGGTCCTCGCCGCCACCAACCGTGTCGATGTCCTCGACCCTGCCCTCCTCCGTTCTGGTCGTCTGGACCGCAAGATCGAGTTTCCCCTACCAAACGAGGAGGCACGTGCACAGATTCTCAAGATCCACTCGCGTAAGATGAAGCTCGTTGATGGAGTCAACTGGGGTGAATTGGCCCGCAGCACAGACGAATTCGGTGGTGCTATGCTCAAGGCCGTCTGCGTCGAAGCTGGTATGATTGCTCTACGGTCCGGAAAGAACAAGATTGGCCACGAGCACTACGTCGACGCAATCGCAGAAGTGCAGGCCAAGAAGAAAGACGTAAGCTTATACCCCTACGCGCGAGTCTGCTTTCATGTTGCTAACTTTAATTCTCGCAGACCGTCAACTTTTACGCTTAATTTCTCGTATTCCTGGGGCGCAAAATGGACGACCGTGATCTGGATTAGAACAAAGGGCATTGGCAAAGCAGCCTTGATGGCCAGCGTGGGTAATTGTAACAATAGAGATGGTCGTTTAAACTGCCTAGAACTAAGCTCTGTGTTACGGCTCACCCAACTCATCTCAACTTATGCAAGCGTGACGTGCAGTAATTTGTGCCCTGTGGCGCACGGCTGGGGTTGAACAGTCATGATTGAATTTGGGTTTCGGTTATTCCATTTTTGCAAGGAGTCAGTAATTGTGTGATCCATTTCAGCTAACAAGGGAAGCGCGGGATTGCTCCATTCATCATCCATTACTCCCAAGGGAAATATGGCCTGAGCTGAATCCGGCGCGGGTGGTTTGCTCCTCCCATCGGCGATTTGGGGATCAACGCCCTTACATAAGGCGGAGGTCAAGTTAGGTCGCTTTTCCATGTGAGAGAACCTTCAACAAAATGCTTCTAATGGAGCCAAATAATCAAATAAAATAGACTAGGCTTTCTACACACGGAATATTCTAACTGTAAAAGGTGCAAAGTGCCATGGCATGAACGATTGATGCTATGCGGCTGTACCAGGTTGTTTGAATGGGGTTTCACAAAACTGAGGTACAGGCCGCTAATAGATGATGTAGGGCTACGTCATGACTACGGCAGAATCACTAGGTCGATCGGCATCGCGTCAAAACATCACAAGCTTTTGCCCTACCGACTGATGTTCCTGTACTTGCGCAATCGTGGCCAGATCTATCGAAGGCACGTAGTTGGGGGATTCGTGGCAATATCTGTGTAGATGTATGCACTCGCCATGTCAATGCAATCAGAAACAGAGAGCTATAGAAAGCGGTGACAGGGTAGCGGACCATGATCGAGCTTGTTAAATCATGTGAAAGAGCCCAGCGACAGTACCTGTAACAGACGGCTAGGAGCAATTTGTCCATTCAAGTAAATTCCTAGAGGTACATCTATTAGGTACCCCCTGGAATGGGTTAATGGCGGCTGGAGTACCACAATCGGTGACGTGATAGACTGGTGAGAAGTTGCTCAAACACACTCCAAGCAGCTGCCCATAGCTCTTCCCCCCTACCGGTCGGGCCTAACATCACCTCTACTACATCATAATACTTCACTTCTCGCACTACACGTTTCTTCTTCCCCTCTCAAACCCTCTATTTCATCTGCCAATCTCGCCTTTTTTTTTCTCTCTACCCCTTCAGACCTCTCTCTTTCTCTCCAAATCAGACACCTCTAAGCTCCGCGATTTCGAGTTGCAGCTTTGTAAACATCCCACCATGCGACCCCTCTCTACCGTCTTGACGGTCGCGCTCGCCGTCTCCGGCGTAGCAACAAGCAGCTGGTTCCCTGGCACCAAGACTGGTGCGTCACATTGACTATACATTTCTTCCGATGGGCAAATAAGCTGACGCGCATGTTAAAGCAGTTTACAACAAATGGCACGAAACCGAGCTCGAGCGCTGGCTCTCAGACAACAACATCCCCTACCCAACCCCCGCCGATCGCAAGGATCTCGAGACCCTGGTGGGTAAGAACTGGAACGACTATGTTGTGGCTCCGTACAACAGCTGGGACACTGTCCAGCTTAGCAAATACTTGCAGGACAAGGGCAAACAGTCCCAGGCTGACGTCGAATCTGCCAAGGACAGCCTTGTCGAGCAGGTCAAGAACAACTGGTATGAAACCGAAGAGAATTCCTACCAGGCCTGGAACAATGTCAAGGATTGGATTCTCGATACTTGGACCGACAGCCAGCTGAAGGCTTTCGCCGACAAGCATAATATCCCTGGTTTGTCCATCTTCCTTTTGAGTCGCGTGCGACTGGTGCTAACTTGTGACGATCGATAGTTCCTCAGCCCCGTCACCGTGATACCCTTCTCCAGAAGTCTCGTCAGGCCTACGAATCCACTGCCAAAAAGCTTGGAGAGGCTGCGCAGTACCCTGGAGACTGGCTGTATCAGACCTGGACAGAATCTGAGTTGAAGGAGTGGCTTGATACGCATGGATTCCCCGCCCCTCAACCCACCAGCCGTGACAAGCTTGTCGCATCTGTCCGTCGCAACTCACGTCTTGCTTACCTTAAAGCCCGAGACCAAGCCGCCAGCGCTACAGCCAGCGCCCAGGCTTCCTATGCCACTTTGACTGACATCATTATCGATGCCTGGAGCGAGTCCCAGCTCAAGGCGTTCTGTGATAAGAATGCCATTCCTGTTCCCCAGGGTACAAAGGCCAACGAACTGCGTGCTCTGGTTCGCAAGCACCGAGCTGCTATCCTTGGCGATACCGTTGCCTCCAGCGCCTCATCAGCTTTTGGGGCTGCCACTTCCAATGTTGGGAGCGAATATGCCAAGGCAACTGATCGTGTCTACCTGGCAGCTGAGTCAGTCTTTGACGACGCTGTTGGTGTCTGGTCTGAAAGCCGCCTGAAGGCCTACCTTGATGCTCGGGGCGTCCCAGTCCCTCATGGCTCCACCACCGACGAGCTGCGGGCTTTGGTTCGAAAGAACACTCACAAGGCTGCTTCCGGATGGAGCGCTTGGACTTTTGACGACTTCTCATATGACAACCTCAAGAACTATCTTCGAAAGAACGGTGATGCCGCGGCAAAGAAGGCCGCCGAGAAGAAGGATGCCACTCGCGATGAGCTTGTTAGCGCAGCCCAGTCTGCATACGCCTCCGCTTCCACTGCTGGAGGTAACACATATGCCTCCGCTACTAGCTATCTCGCATCTGCCACCGAGGCTGCTAAGAGCAACGCGTTTGACACCTGGACTGAGTCTGATCTCAAGGCATACCTTGATAGCTACGGTATCCCCGTTCACCAAGGCACCAAGCTTGAGGAACTGAAGGCCATGGCGCGCAAGCAATCGACCTTTTTCAAGTACGGAACCTCCACGCCATCTGAGACTCTTTTCGCTAAGGTCGAGGAGTCTGCTAAGGAGGGCTGGAACTGGGTTGCCAAACAACTCAATCTTGGAGGCCAGACTGCCAAGGAGAAGGCAGCCGAGGCCGAGGAGAAGTTGAGGCAAGAGCTGTAAAGTACGAGCCAGAAGGCTCCCTTGTACCTTTACTAAATCCTATCCTCTAGAAACATCGAAGCCAGCGGAGTGATATATCTCCGTTCGTTGATGATGGTTCATGGGTGAATGAATTATGGACACGCGATTGAAATTGTTAGTTCTACTCCTTTAGGGAAGCAGGTTTCTTTTTACAGTAGGAGGGGTTTTCCTCCAAAAACAACATGGCTTAGAGTTATGAAGTTTGTTATCCTAGTACCATCCTTTACTACAGTCGGTTCCGTTCACCATAATGATGCGCATGAAAACTAATGTCTCTTTTCAACTACGTGACCCCCGCACACATTCACGCCAGATGTACACAGTCGTAGTGTTTCCCACCAAATGTAGTATGTCTGGAAGATAGATGCATTGTAAATTTTTATTTTTATATTCAGCAATTCCATTTTCCAACGCCAGCGCTATTAGGTTATTGAATCTGCTGCGAGCCACGAGGCACTTGGATATATTGCCATGTAACCACACCCATCTCCAACTTATCCCAAACAAAATCGACACTATATCCATGTCCTTCTTTTCTCCATCTTTTCCGTGTTCCGTGTCCCATCCTAAGCCCACAGTCGGCAGGTCCCGTCCGCGCCTGCGCTTATACACCAGGGATGGCGGGGGTGCCAGTCGACGTCGAGGACGCCGAGCTTGCTGACGATCTTGTGGCCCTTGAGCATCTTGACAGGGACGATGGTGGCGTTCTCCATGAGGTCGCTGACGACCTTGCCGTGGAAGATCTGGAGGGAGCCGTCGTCGCTGGCGTCGGCGAAGAGAGGGAGGGCGCGGTGGTACCTGACGGCGCGGACGGCCTCGGAGTGGAAGCGCATGGTCTTGTAAGGGCGGTTGGAGAGGTCGAGGTCGTGCCAGAGGAGGCGGCGGTCGTAGGAGCCGACGATGAGGTTGTCGCCGCCCGGGTGGATGTCGAAGCCCGAGATCCAGCGTGCGCCGGGCTGGAGGACCTTGACGAGCTCCTGGCGCTGGAGGTCGTAGCAGCGGATCATGCGCTGGGTGGCAACGAAGAAGTAGGGGCGGGAGGGGTGGAAGTGGGCGGCCTGGGCGAGGCCGGGGAGGCGGCGGAAGGGGATCTGGCTGAGGTGCTTGGAGAGGGTGTGGATGGCGACGGAGCTGCGCTGGCCGGTGGGGGAGACGGTGCAGAGGAAGTCGCCGCGGCGGTGCCAGCTGAGGGTTTTGATGGACGCGCGGACGGTGGCCTTGAGGAGGACCCCGGCGGCCTCGAGCTTGGAGCCCGGCCTGGACCACTTGGCTGGGGGTTCCTTCTTGGCGCCGTCGGCGGTCGTGGGGACGGCTCCGTTGGTGGCATGGCCGAAGCCGACGTCGATTACGTCTCTGCTGGCCTTCTCTAGTGCGTCGCTGACCAGGGGGGGCACGGCGAAGAAGAGGTCCTCGCCGGCGACGGCGGCGAGGATAAAGGTCTCTTTGTTGGGGCGCCACCTGACGACCTGGACGGGTTCCTCGGTGCTGAGACGGGCAACCCACTCTTGATGGCCGTTGAGTGACCAGACGCGAACAGTGCCGTCGTCGCCGCCAGAGGCAATCCACTCTCCGTCGGGGCTGAAGGAGACAGTACGTACGCGGCCCTCGTGTCCCTTGAAGATGGCCTGGCAGACAGTTGGGAAGGGCTTGAGCTCCTCTGGGCTGGGGAGCTTGGGCAGTAATGAGTTGGGGTCGATGTTGAGCCTGTTTTTGCGCACTCTGGGAGCAAGGTAGAGGTCGAGACTGCGCTCGAACCTCTCCTTGACAAACTCGCCGTATCCGGGAACCTTGCGCAGGGCATCGAACTTGGCTGGCAAGTACTCCTTCTCGCGCTCTTCGGGATCCATCTTCTCCCAGGCCTCCCTCTCCTCCTGTGTGGGCAGGTACTCCGGGGGTGGGTTGTAACTGAGGTCGTAGCCAGGAGGTGCCAGCTTGGGGGCGGGGATGTTCATGATGTGGCGTTCCTGGGCCTCCTCGTTCGCCCAGATGTCGTAATGGACTTCCTCCTCCTCACCCTTCTCTCGTTCTCGCTCCTCAGGGGGCTTGTATGGCAAGATTCTTCCTTCCTTGATAGCCCGGACCAGCTTTGCGATCCGCTTAGCCTCGTGCTTGGACGGGAGGAAGCGTCGCTTCGGTTCGGGAGCGGAGCTGAGAGGCATCTTCTCCTCGATGCTTGTGAAGTAAGGAATCAGATCCTAATATTAGTTTGTTAGTAACTAGTCAAAATGGTACGGGCAATTCTATAGTGGTGAATGCCTACGGGATATGGGTCATAGTTCTCCTCTGGGATCTGCGAAGTCTGGAGGCGGCGAAGCAATTCCAGCTGCTCCCGTGTGAGCTCCAAGGGCTTTCCGGTCTGGGGATCCGTGAGACCTGTCCATCCCTTGGGGATTTCAATAGTTTCGAGGAGTGCGTCGAGGGCGTCTCCAGTCGCTGGGCGCATGATCTTCTTTCCGTTGATATCGTAACCGATGTGAGGGTAAGAGTCGTAGAAAGACAGCGGGATGTTTCCAATGGTATTGCCCTTCTCGTTGGCATCGGAATCGTCGCTGTCGTAGACAGGATCGATCTCGGCATACTCGTATCGCTCATTGCCATTGGCGTCCTTCACGACCTTGTAATTGGGCTTTGATTCGTCGTCATCTGCGCTAGAAACACTCGTAGCGTCGAAGTCGTTGCCAATATCATCGTCGTCGGGGTCATTAAAGTCCTCCGAGTTGGGGTCGGATTCAGACCCGGAATCATTGCCCTCGTCGTCGGATAGGACGCCTTCGAGCGCAGTCCCAGCGAGACCATCGTCCGACTCGTCCGACTCCGCGACGTCCTTTCTCTTCTTTGATAAACGTGGAGGAGCCATTGTGTGTGTTGGATGAAAGTGTGCGCACACCCAGCGAGGTTTCAATTCTCAATGGCGGCGGATACACGGTGGAAGGCACAAGATCTTTCAGCGGGCCAAGACTCAAGGCTTTGGAGACTTTTTTTTTTCTTATCTGCGATTGTCCAACCACCAACCAACCCCACTTAGTTTTTCTGCCAGGCGAGGCCAAGGCTGGCAGGGCGGTGAGGTAAGACCCACAGAACCAGAGCATGCCTTCACTTGCTACTCACATATAGCACGATAAGCTCCCAAGACCTCAAGAGAACTCATATTGAATCATTGTTTCCCAATTTCCAGAGCTATTGTTGTGAGCCAAAAAGTGTCATATCTATACCTCATATACAAGAGGCTCGGCTTTAGGTTGGCTGTGGCATTGTCCTCCGCTTGACTGCCTACCCTAAACCATACATCAGTCCCATATGAATCAGGTTGTATTAAACCGAGAGAACAGTTATATTTTTCTGTAATCCTTGAATAGAAAAATAGTCCATTGATCGAGACTGGCCGAAACTGAGGTCTTAATTTAAACCATCAAAATCCATACAGCAACTTCGCTAGTGCCACGGCCAACCTACCTAACCTATATTGTCAATGCCTTTAATGATGATAAAAAGTGGTACAGCGATGGCTTCTGGTACTGAAATTGGCGCGATCATGCATGGAACAGAATTCCGACAAGGCTGCATTTTATCTGTGACCCGACGGCGCTTTCAATTATATTTTTGACAGGCGACACTGGTACGGAGTGCGATCTCTACTACTACGTGAGTACTTTGACTTATGTTTTTTTTTGTGATTCTTAACGCCTTTGACATCCTCGGCCGCTTCTTCTCTCTTGAAATTCTTAACAGGTGACATATAAATCAAGGTTGAAAGTAAGCTTGAATGAAGTGAGCGGATCGCCAGGGCGTTTGACATTCGTTCGTCGCGACAAGCCCCGAGAAACAGAAACATGGAGCCAGTTATTTGACCCAGTGACCTCCTCAGCTCGGGAGAATTCTGGAAGTGGTGAGTTTAAAGAATAAGTGCTTGTCGATCACCCTACTCTATCTCCCGAGTCCGATGATGACCATCGTCATCCAGGCTGGTTATGGTCTGGATCGTCGAAACCAAGAGCCGTGAGCAATCGGTATCCAGACATGCCAAATGCGCGCCAATTGTTCCACGGCGCATGGGGCATTGATTTCCAGGAGCAGGTGATGGGTTCTAGAGATCAACACTAATGGCCTGCCGCTCCAATGGGCGACCAGATCGGAGGATGGCTCCGAGTCTCCAAATCCGACTGCTTGAAACATCGTGGTGGAGATGTTTATAAAGCCCCAGCAACTGCCTCTTGTAAGAGCTCACAGAACCATCGAAAGTGCTCGCGTCTTTGTTGTTTTCTTCCATTATGCTTCTCCACAGCATTGCCACACTCGCCGTAGGCATCAGCAGCCTCTTCGGCGTTGCGACGGCCTTCACCAACCCCATCAGGAACCCTGGCGGTGCCGATCCCCAAGTCACCTGGTCCGGAGGCTACTACTATCTTGTGTCTACCGAGTGGACAAACCTTCAAATCTCTCGTGCTGAGACAATTGATGGCCTCAAGACCGCTCAGCCCAAGGTCATTTACACCGACAGCAATAGCTCGCGATGCTGCAATGTTTGGGCACCGGAGATTCACTATTTTGACGGAAACTGGTATCTCTACTACACCGCAGGCAGCAGTGCCAATCTGGACCTCCAACGATCACACGTCTTGAAGGGTAAGTAAAGTTTCTCCGGGAGGTGTAAAAATGTGGTCGTTAACGCTCGGATTTGTTTTCTAGGTGGTGCTACTCCGTGGGATGAGTGGTCCTATGCGGGCCAGATCGCCCCTGACTGGGGAATTGACGGCACCGTCGTCCGTTTCAATGACTGGGGAAACTACTTCGTGTACTCTTGCATGACTGGCGTTGCCCATCAGTCAACGTGCGTGCGCAAGCTTGGAAGCGACTACGTCACGGCTGGTGATCTCACCATCATTTCCCAGCCAGACCAGAGCTGGGAGCAGAGCGAGGTCCCAGTTCAAGAAGGACCGAATGCTCTTTACTTCGGGGGCAAGACCTACATTGCGTACTCGGCAAACTACTGCTGGACTGCCGACTACTGTGTTGCCCTCCTGGAGTGGACCGGTGGCGACCCTGCTCTCGCCTCTTCCTGGACCAAGTCGAACGGCTGTGTGCTCAAGAGCGGCAATGGGAACTACGGAACGGGTCACAATTCCTTCTTTACCAGCCCTGATGGCAGCGAAACTTGGATCACCTTCCATGCTGCGTCTGCCTCGTCAGGAGCTTGCGATGATACGAGATATGCCATGGTACAGCCTTTGACTGCCAACTCGGATGGGTCTCCCAACTTTGGCGCCGCTCAGAGTTTCTCTTATGAGTGGCCTGAGCCAAGTAGGTAGTTGATGGAATCATATTGATCTTTGTATCATAGAGTAGGCTCAAATAGAGAGCAAAGAGACGAACAAAATAAACGATTTGACTCCAATTTTACAATGGCGCCTACCATGAGGAAGGTTAAGAGAAGAACATCCAACCATACAAGAAATATACGATCTGACTCGGAATCCACTTGAAATGAGACGACCTGGGTAATAAATAAAGAAGGTCGACCCAGATGTAGAAAACGGATATGTATTTTACGCCTCTCTCGTCTTCTTTGAAACCTCTATTTGAAAGAAGGTCTTCTCGTGCTGATTGCATTCGATGCGCACAACTTCGAGTCAGACAGTTCGTGAGGTATTTGATCAACAACTTAGAATTAAAAACTAATCTTTTTTGGTTACAGGAGCCATTCAATATCATTTGATTTGTAGCGCTTAACAAAATCTGCAGGGTGAGCTGCGTTGCACTCCATCCCAGACATTACAAAATATATTGAAGGAGTAAACTTTTAGAAACTCTTCCAGTAGATTGGACTCTGCAAATAATTTCATCTACTTCCATAAATCTCGAAATAGGTTCCTGTGCCTAATCTTAAGGTTAAAAAAATAATTAAAATGATAAATGGAGAGTTTGGGGAAACACACTATGGTCGATATGGCTCACGGAGTTGTTCTTGAAGAGTTGCGATTTGAGCTTCAAGAACTCTATTTATCTCCTCAAGCGTTGTATTTGAAGCCTCGAGAACTGAATTCCGAACATGAAGAGTATCATTTCGAACCAGAACAGCTTCGTCTCTGACCTGAATAGCTCTGAGCTGATCCTCCAGAGCTCTGACGTGAGCATCATGGTGTTGGAGGGTCGCGTCATGGAGGCAGTGTTTTTCTTTACGGGAATCGGATTTCGCCTGAATCTTATCGACTGCCGCCAGCAGCGTATCGAGATTCTCTTCGATTTTCGTCTTCAGCGTATCGATCGCCTCGTCGATTTTCGCTCCGAGTTTGGACAGGTCCTCCTCCACTTTCGCTTGGAACGCGTCCAATTCTGTTTCAAGTCTGGTACACTTTACCACCACTTCTGCTAGGACCATCCGAGGGTCAGAGGATTCGAATTTTGTCATGGCTATTGGATTTGATGTTGTGATGGTAGATGATAGTTGACGGCAACGAAGCTGACGATGAAGGCCAAGGAAGCGTCTCGAGATCCTAGACTGAACCTTGAAATTTTCTACTGTTAATTTCTCCCCATTCACTTATTTGCGCATCATTCCGAAAGTTCAATTCAAAGCAGGGAATTCAGTACCTTTATATCAAAAGCTGAAAAATTTGTTGGTGCTTTGTTGGCTGTCAAAAGGGGAGAAGACTGAAGAGATTTGCGAGAGAGGAGCCGTGGAGGAGTCATTTATACATACATCGGTGGCTGTGGCTCCGATAAAAAGCTTGATTTAGCCATGATTGCACCCTGCATGATCTGGCTGGCGAACATGCACTTTTACGAAGCCGCTATGGATTGGGTTTGGGTTGAGGGTTGGGCAAACTTCCGCTTTCAAGGCAACAATGGGATTAGTTCCTATACTTTCTTCTTACAGGAACTTACTTTCTCGCGCATCTACACCATTACCTAAAACCACAACCACCGGACCGGTCCGCAAGGAAATAAAATTCAAATATTCACGGAATCTAACTTGCTTCTTAACATGGGCAATTCTTGAGCTAGGGTCTGGTGGCTGGGGCTGGAGCAACCCTTCTTTTAGATAAGGCTAGGTCAAAGAATTAATTTTTCCACTCAGAAAAAGGATTTTCCCTTGTACCAATATGTGACCTCATTTCCCCCTTCAAGAAACAAGCCACCGATATGCTCAGACTTTTCACGATCTTCTCCTCAGCCTGTCACCATGATGACCAAAACATCACGGCGCTGCAGACTCTTAAGTTTGCATAATTGTCCACTTGCACTTTTGTAGAGAGCCAGTTCCTGCACAACATGGCTTGGGCACTGCCTGATACACTAGTCATAGGAAGAACTGATGACAGCCTTCGCACTGCCAATGGTTTGCTTTGTCGGTTGCGAAATGGATTGCTAGGCTTTTGGATTTGAACAATCGCATGCGGTTTGTAGCAATATTGGAAAAGCTATGAAATTATGCGTGGGTATCGAGCGAATGAACGGTATATTGTGAACGCAATGAAGGCCTGTTTCTCTATTGGAAATTTTGTCAAGGCTGAAGGCAGATAGCCCGGCCCGATGATTGCAGGAGAGTCCAATTTGTTGCCTTGCTGATTTTTGTTCAGGTCTACCAAGTATATATGAGTAGATCAGGTAAATGAAGGTTAAGGGAAGAATACCCAGTCAACTATTAAGAGTACAGCAGATGCTGGCTCCTTGTCAAAATTGACGGATCCATCCAGAAATTGAGATATTTCAATATTTTGACCAACTCGCTGACTCTGCGTATACCGCTCCCATAGATTTTAGTTGCGGGCAACGTGGTGAATATCAGAGATTAAGAACAGAGACTATTATGAGTTTCTTCTATGATGGGCCTCGAGCCCCGTGATAGAGATCTATATATAAGCATTGTAGATGATTTTCGAAATTAATTTAGAGGCCCCCATGAGCTCCCGCAGCACTTCGTTCAATTCAATATCTGCATAATCCACAGTTAGGACATGTTTACAGATCATGAATCCGAATATACTTCTTTCGTAGGCGTTTCTGTGGGCGGATTTTCCCTGCATAGGTTCCTCCCCGATGTTCAACTTTGCCTAAAAAAGAAAAAACCAACAACTGGCTTTAAATTAATCTTATGCTCTCATACTTAAGGTTTTAGGAAAGGAGACTCTCTGAAGTGTTGAGAAGACTTGGTTGGGAATATATTGCAATACATTTGCCGAACGAGTGTGATTATTCTCGCTGATACGGGGCAATTATTTGAAGAAAGGTACTTGGTCTTCTACCAAAGAGATGAGGGATAGAAATGCCCAGTCCTCTCGTCCCCGCTTCTACTCACTCCAGCTATTGAGTGCCGGTGGGGGTTTCAACCCAAAAACACCACAAACCCGTGTCTACCAGAGGTCGGTGTGGATATTCTTATCGGATTATCGATAGCTGATTTTATCGATTAGTCAGGTGGGTCCGACTAATCGTATACTTATCCAACCTTCGGTTAGAACCTTCTAACAGATAGCTTTTATCCTAATTATTAATATATTTATTTACTTTAATTATTACTTTGCTTTACTATATAGCCCCTTATTAAACTATACTAATCAGTCTGGAAGACTAAGATAGATTAATAGATCAGATTAATATCTATTTATTTTTCTATAGTATAGTTAATCTTTTGTTTAGCTAGGAAAGATTATTAAGACTATCTATAAGGAGATCCGGATATCTTATTATTAATTTCTTTATTCTATCTATCTATTCCTTCTCCTATCTATCTATTTCTTTATTTTAATAGATCTAATCTACTTCCTATATATTTCTATATATTAAATATATATTTTTACCTATTTATATATTTATTATATTAGTCTATTAAGTATCTAGTAATCTAATTATTATATTCTTTAGATCTTTTATTTCTTATTTTATTAGTTTATTTATATTTAACTAGTTCCTACTAAAGTCTAATATATTTATAACTTAATATATTATTAACTTATTAAATTAAACTATTTTCTTACTTATCTATTACTTAGTACTAGGAGTAACTAATAGTTCTTTTCTTATTTCCTTCTTTTAGATAACTTATTATATTATTAATTTTTTATTCTCTTATTATATTATTATATTAATCTACTAATATATTAATATATTATTATATTAAACTTACTTATTAACTAATTAAAAATAGTATAATAGATTTAGAATCTAGTAATTAGAAAGTTAAAAACTAATTACTTTAAGATATATAATCTAGTTAAATAATAATAATAAATTTAAACTTAAATTAGTTTAATAATATCCTGATTCCTTCTATCTATAGATAATATATTAATATATTATTATAGGGAAATCTAGCTAGTTTTAATCTAATAACTATAATAAACCTATAGAAGGTATTATATATAGTATATATAATAATTCTTTAGGAGAGAATATAGTACTATAGTTAGATTCTCTATAAGATTATATCTAATAAGTTTAAATAATAAACTACTAACTATCTTATTAATTATAAAAAACTAATAGAATTATTATAATAGTTCTTTCTTATTAATAGTATTTTTATTAAATAGAATAGTAGTTATATTAGAGCTAATATTAAATAAATATTAAGTAATCTATTCTATTTATAAACTAATAAAGAAATAAGTAATATTAGTAATAAGTATCTGGATTTCTATAAACTATTAAGGGATAATACTAACTTCTATATAGAAATTATCTATAATCAGATAGTTAAAAACTTTAGAATTAAAGTATTAGATAGCTAAAGTCTATATAGTTAATAGATAAATATATAAAACTATTATATATTAATTATATAAAATAACTTAATACTGCTTAATATATTAAATAGTAGGTTATATAATTAAGAATACTTATATAACAGTTAGAGTTATACTAATTAACTATTAGGTTTAGATAAACTACTATTTAATTATTATTAACTAATACCTCTTAATAATATCCTATTTAATAAATATAATAATCTACTACTAGATCTAACTATTATTATTAAAGTAAAGAAATTAATAGATCTATAGAAGCTATATACTAATAATATAAAGTATAATAATAATATACTTAATATATTAGATATAAAGCTACTGATTTTTACTAACTATTATTAGAAAGTTAGTATTTATTAATCTGAATATATTAGTATATTTAAAGTTATACTTAGAGGATAAGTAGAAGAGTTTTACTATAATTATCTATATAACTATAGATATAAATATAATAATCTAATTAATAAACTATATATATACTTTAAAATAGACTAATAAAAATAGCTCTACTTATTTAAATAGTATATAATTATACTAAGATATATAATTAATATAGATCCTAGTTATTTAAAGACTAAATCCCTTAAATAGCTTATTAAATATCTTATTAAACTATAGTATATACTCCTATCTAATTACTAATTAGATAAAATACTATATAACTAATTAATTAATTACTATTATAATATATCTGAATATAGTATAAATATCTTCTAACCTACTAAGATATTTAAAGGTATATATAATAAATTATATAATACTATTAGTATAGTAAGCTATTAACTATAAATTATATACTACTAGATATAAACTAGAAACTACCTACTATAAGTTATATACTACTAGGAAATAGAAGATAATAATAATTCTATTAATAATAAGTCTAATAATAGATACTTTACTAATTAAATATATTATAATAATAGATATAATAATTAGTATAACTATTAAAACTTATAATAATATAGTAAGTTATTAAATAAAAAACTATTTAATTAATAAAATAGGAATTAATAATAATATATTAAAAAGTACTATATCTATAATAAGATTAGTTATTAGTTAATAAAATACTCTAATAATAAATAGAAAGCTATATACTATTATTATAAAGAGTTATTCTATCTATCTAAATAGACTTCTAAAGTATACTATTAATTCCTTATATAGTATAAAGATTAATCTAATAAAGATAATAAATCTAATATATTTCTCTAATACTAGTAGATACTTAATAGATATTAAGTGCCAGTGGAATTTTCCAACTAATAACACTATAACCAAAGACCGGGTAGATCTGCAGCTGTAATATTAATATCAGTTAAAGGAGAGGAATTATAACTAAGCTATATAGTTAAAGCTAATAACTATAATTAATTATATATATATTTAGTATTTAGTTAGGGACTCCTGTATTTAATTAATTAAATAAGACTATTCAGATTATTATATAAGCTAAACTAGCTATAGAATAATAAGTTAAAGATTATAATTTTAAAAATAAAGAATAATTTAAGAGTAAAAGATAGTTTTTTATTTTTAGAGTAGTAAATAATTTACTACTTAAGTAGTATATAGTAAATTACCCTAACTAACTATAGAAATTATATATACTCTTATATCTCCCTAAATATATTATAATAAACCTTATAAACTTAAAGCTGCCCTAATAATATATTAACCTAATAGAGAGTATATACTAAACTAGATTAAATTATATAAAAGAAAAAGGATCTTAGTTAATTAAATTAAAATACTATAGTATCTTTTCTCCAGTTACCCTTCTATTAGTAATATTTTCCCCTGTTATAACTCCTTATCTACCTGCTTATCCTTAATATCTTACTTCTCTCTATTATACCCTCTTATCTTAAGCCTTTACTTAATTAGCTTATAATAGGATAGCTAGTATTAGAGCTCCCTCCCTATATATTTAATTAATTAGTTTAAAAACTTATTCCTAAGTATCAGGGTTTATAAACCTAATAGGTATAACTATAATATATATAATACCTATTATATAAGGGATCTTATTATACTTATAAGGTTTAGAAAAGATATTTTCTAGGTATATACTAGCTAAATAGTAGAACTAATTAAATATTAGATCTATAGAACTTCCTAGGAGATATTATATTTACCCAGTCTTAGTATTCCCTTAAGATATAAAGTTATAAAGATTACCCTATTCTAGATACTAATAGTAGGTTATCCTCTAGGACTTTAGTAATTCTATCCCTATTAAAGTAGAATTAATTAATTCCTTAGCAGTATATATAGAGATATCCAATCTATATCTATTATACTATAATAAAGTATATTAGTAGTAGATAAGAGTTTAGTCTTTAGCTAGTAGAATTCCAGAAGCCTCTTTATCTCTACTTATAAGGTTAATCTATATAATAGGGTCTTTAACTATCTGTTTTATCCCAGAACCCGGATTATTAAGAGTATATTTATTATTAAAGATAGATATAAGTAAGATAACCCTGGTTATATCTATAATAGTTATCTTAGAGTAATCTCTATCTCCCTTCTTTTCCTACTTAGTAATCCAGTCTATAGGAATAACTTAAGGTAGGTAGACTTCCTAGGGGTAATCTATAAAGAGCTGGACTAAAGGGTAATTAATTAATAGGCTAGGTATATCTATATCTATATAGCTAGTTAGAGATCTATCTAGAGAAGATATAATAGGAGCTAGTATCCCCAGACTAGTTATAGTAACTAATTATAAGCAGCTGTTTCTACTCTCTTAGCTATATAGTTTTCTAATATTATCTCTAAAGAAGGGCTATACTAGTATAAAGTCTAGTATTAAGTTTATAATCCCTAATTTATTTACTATAATACTTATTATAACCCTGCTTACTTAATTAAATAAGCTTCTACTAAGAATATTCTAAGAGATAAATCTTAGTATATATAAGAGTTAGATTATTATCTAGCTTATAATCAGACTCTTATCTACTTTACCCTTATACTTTAAGAAGATATCTCCTAGTATAACCTCTACCCCTTTCTATAATCTAATCTTTATCTATAAGCAGAAAGTAAATAAAAAACTATAAGAGTAAGTATTCCCTTATAATAGGATTTAGGAGTAGGTAGTAATAAAGAATAAATAGAGATTTATCTTAAGATTAAAGACTATAAAGCTTACTACTATATATCTAAATCAATAAGACTAATCAGTTAACTAAGTATCTATAAAGTTAAAAATATATTCCTTTTTATTAAATATAAAGGAGGCCTAGTAATATCCTAAGGAGTACTTATTATCTCTAAAGCAGAAGAAACCTATAATAAAATATTATTCTCTATATTCCCTTTAGAAGTTCTTAAGGGAAGTAAATTCTCTATTATACTACTCTCTAATAATTAGTATTTCCAGTAGAAATTATCTATAGCTTCTTATTACTAAGTATAAAACTTCTAAACCAGGCTCTTATTTCTAGGTATTAACTACTAAGTAATAGATTAATTATCTGAAAATATACTTTTTACTATATAGTATAATATCTTATATTATAGAGAGCTCTAACTACTTATACTAATTATTTATAGTTCTTCTTATAATCTTAGTTATAAAGTTAAGGATATAAATAAGGTATTATTCCTAGGCAGCTAACTATTAGCTAGGTTGATTATTCTATAATAGATTTAACTAATTAGATATTAGTTCCGGGATACTATTTAGAATTATTCTGAGTTCTTTAGTTAAGTTAATATTTTCTAAGGGAAGTATTTAATTTTAAAAGCTAGTACTATTCTCCTAATTTATATATAGTTTATAGAAGAGCTTATTATCCCTCTTAATATAGATAAGTTTCTAGATTATAGATATTCTATTTAATACTTCTATTTTAGTAATATACTTATAGTACCTAAAAGGTTCTAAAAGGCTATACAGTAGTTCTACTATAATAATACTAACTTTAGGGGTACTTATAATATAGCAGATAGTTAATTAAATATAGAAGAAGTAGAAGATATAGTTTTATAGAAGTATAAAAGAAGAAGAGAAGGAGTTAGGTAGGAGTATTAGATTTTTATCTATATATATTATTATATAGGAAGAAGTATATTATTTATATATATATAGTCTTTTAATCTCTAAATTACCTCTTATACTACTTTCCTTTTAATTTCTCTCCTTTATATTATAACTTCTTTTAGCTTTATATATTTCTAAATATCTACCCTCTTTACTATATACCCTTATATTATCTTTTATTTAATTAAGTTACTTTCTCTTCCTAAGCCTATAGAAAGAACTTATATATTAAATACTACTATACTTTTTAATATAAGTTTACTTCTTTTCCTCCTCCTTACTTATATTATAAGCTCTCTCTAACTCCTATACTTTTAGGATTTACTTTATTAGATCTTCTTTTATAAGTAATTCCTCTTAACTAGTCTGATAAGTTCTTTTTTCTAATTCTTTTATATTTAGAATCTACTTAATTAACTATTTAAGATATTAATAGACTAGCTCAGTAGGCTCCTATAGTATTTACTACCTAATATTTAATTGCTTATATACTAACTAATAAGTATTAATAACTTTATACCTTTTTATCCTATCGACCGGGGTATATATACAGCCCGGGTTCTATTTAATCAGATAATTAAGATAGCTAGATTTATTATTTTTTATAAGAATTTTAATATCTAATTCTATACTAGTAATACCCTTAATTATAATAGTAATCTAGTATATACTAAGCTATATTATTATAGGGATTATTATAGCTTAAGTTATATATCTTTTATCTATAATATTAAACTCCTTCTTAAGGTAATATATAAGGATAAGGCTATTATATATACTTATAATCTAATTAATTAAATATAGCGGTATAATTCAGTATATATACTAGCTAACTATATATACCTATAGTTCTGATTCCTTAATAGCCTGATTATAAATAAGTAATAATTTAAAGCTTTTATTATTACCCTCTATAAATATTAAAACCTGGTTCTATATTTATATTATTAGTAAAACTTTACTAGTAATATTAATCAGAATAGGATTTATATTATAAGCCTGTTCTTTAGCTATTATTTACTCTTAGATACTTTTAGTAGGAAGTATATAAACTATCTCTTTTATACTTATATAAACTATAAGTATAAGTAAGTTAACTACTATCTATATAATATACTTAAAGAGAGTACTATAGGGAATCTCTTTACTGATTAGTATATATAGTTTACTAAAGCTATTTACTATTCTGAGCCTCTCTAACTGCAGATAGCTCTATAAGTAATAAATAAGTAGCCTATTAACTAATATAAAGATACTTATACTACTTAATCTTAACTTAATTAATTTATTAAAGAGCTGGTTTTAGGTATAGATACCTAAGTTCCTTATTATAGCTGGGTTTAGTAGAAGCTCCTTAAGACCTTACTACTACTAACTCCTTATATATTCTTAACTTCTTATTATAAATATTATTAATCCTAATCCCTAGGGATAGCTATATTACCCTTATTATCTCTTTATATTAGGAAGAAAAAGCCTTCTTCTAATCTCTCTCCTTTAAGGCTTTAATCTACTACCCCTAAGGTAAGTAGTTCTGCTTATCTTTATAAGCAGATATCTATCTCCCTAACTCCTATTATCTAACCTAAGCTAAGAGACTTAGGAAGTAAACCTCTCCTAGTTTATATATATAATTAATTATCTAGTAAGGAGTTCTAATAGTCTTAGAAGTTAGATTTTACTTCTTAAGCTAGGACTTTATTCTATTCTATAGGGTTTTAAAAGAAGGATTCTAATACCCCTTAGAAAGATCTTATAGATCCTATTTCTAATTAGGGGTTAGATATCTATTCTTTTTATCTTTATAGTAAGGAGTTTAGTTCTTTTTTTAAAAGTTTTAATCTCCTATAGCTAGGCTTAATATAATCTTTCTTAGATTAACTTCTATCTATACTTCCTTCAGAGGTTTTATCTTATTAGTCTTAGAAGCTTTTAACTACTATACTACTATCTATTAATAAGATAATATTAAAGTTACCTACTCAGCTAATTAATTAGATCTAGAGTATAGTTTTACCTCTAGTTATACTACCTTAGGGTTCTCAGATAGCTAATTAGTACCCTTTTATAAATCCTGCTTCTCCTTATTAAGATATTACTTAAGTCTGTTTACCTTCTAAGCTCTATACTCCCTCTAGGGGTTTTAAAGTAATTAATATCCCTATTAGTAAGGATAATATAGATAATCCAGATATATATATTTATAATAATACTATTACTAACTTTATAGATAAGAATTCTACTCCTGTTTTTTACTTAAAGAGGGATAGGGCTAATATAGAGAAATCTAAAGAAAATTAGAGTATTAGAGCTATAGGGAGAATACTTTATTAAGTTAATTAAATAGAACTATATAAATCCTATATATTTTAGTTTTATTTATCTATATTAGGCCTATTATTATTATACAGGCTAAAATTTAAAAGTTATTACTTTTTCTATTTTTCTCTTTAGCTTCTTATTAGTATATAGCTTAGTTTATTATCTCTTTATTATAGTATATCTATCCTATAAGTTATCTAATTCTTATTATATTTAAATACTTATTATCTTCTGAGTATTAGCTTTATTTAATTAATTTACTTATATCCTATAGCTATCTATAATATATCTATTAGTAGCTTAACTACTATTAGAATTATTATAGTAATACTGAGTATTATATATATAATTTTTATATAGTTAGAGTTCTGTTTTTAGTAACTTAAATAAGTTCTACCTATATAATTTTACCTATTAATTAAATATAACTAATTCTATAGAAACCTTTATTTTTCTTATTTTTATTACTAGTTAGTAGTTTAGATTAGTAGTTTAGATTATTAATATAATACTTATACCTCTACTTTTACTATATTCAGACTCCTTTCTCCCTATTTATATAATAAAATATAGATCTAAGAGTACTAGTACTATAAGAAAAGGGAATAATTTATATATAGAAATATTATAGAGCCTGGTATAGTAACTTATTAAGACTACTCTTTAGAATCTAGACCTTAAGCCTGCTTATAGGTAGTAATACCTTATGTTTTTTTACTAGCTCTACTAGCTACTTATTATTATTCTTACTATACTACTAACTATTCTTATCTTTAGTAAAGGGTTTAATCTGATTAGATATAAATATTCCAGATAGCTTAATTTAATTAAGTATTTCTAGAGTATATAAGTTATTAGCTTCTTTCTTTATAATATAGAAAGATTCCTACTATCTAGCTTTAAGCTTTCTTACTATACTTATATCTATCTTATTCTATATAATATTATAAATAAGAACTAAATAGTTTTTATCCAGAGGGATTTATTAGATTATATATTTATTCTCTATATTTCTCCTTTTTATAAGCTGTTCTCTGAACTTATATATTCTTATAGCAGCTTTTATAATATCCTCAGTATATCTTACTAGAACCTAAATCCTAGCTTTAATAAGTTCTTAGTATATTCTGATCTTATTCTAATTAATTAATTACTAGATTAGGTATTCTAGTTCTATAGATAAGATAGGCTTAAATCTATATAAGAGAAAGAAGGGACTTATACTATAAGACCTCCTGTAGATTACTCTATCTATAAATAATACTAAGGGAAGGTAATATAATTATTTTCCCCCGGGGAAATATATTTTTATAACTAATATTATAAGAGAATAGTAGCTATTTTCTATAATTCTATTTACCTATAAATTATATATAGAGATAGGGATCCTTATAACCCTAGTATCCTTAAGAGTATCTATAAATTCCCCCTTTATTTCTAATCTATTATCTATAATTATAATAAGAATAGCTCTATAATACTAAGTTAACTCTTAAAAGAATATCTTTATTAACCTTAAGTTATTATATTTAGTAGCCTTAGCTTCAGGCTAGCCTATTAAGTTATATCTTAAGTATAGTATAAAATACCTCCCCTTATTACTTAGGAGGAATAGAATATTAAAATAGACTCTAGCTATAGGAAGAGAAGGAGCTTTTATAATTACTAATAGGTCTATTTCTTACTATATTTTAAATACTTAATATAGTAGGTATAATCAGAGCTATTAGTCTATATCTTACTTCAGGGTTCTTTACTACTATCTTTAAGATATCTATTTCTCTATTATCTTAATACTTTTATAACCTATTTTCAGATATATCTTTTTAATTAAATACTTCTGAATCTTTTTATAGATAATTATAATATAAGGGTTCTATATACTTAGTATTACCCTTCTGAACAGGATATTTCTATTAAGGAGAAATTTTATAGCTATTATTCTTAGATATTAGAACTTTTTCTTACTCTACCCTTTAGGTTTTTATAAAGTCTAGAGATACTTTCTAATAGCTAATATATCCCTCTAGAAGTCTATTAACTCTATACTTTTATTAATTATTTAATTAAATATAATAGTAGCTAGTATTAGATTAATTAAGTCCTCCAGATTACCTTTAAGTTTTTTATTAAGATTATTACTAGCTCTATAAGACTTCCTTAAGAGTCTGTTAGCTACTATATTCTTCTCCCTAGGAATATACTTAGTAGAGAAGCTGAAGAGTAGTATATAACTGATCTAATATAGTATTAGAGACCTAGGTATATTATTTATAGCTCTATTAATTTAGCTAATTAGTACTAATATATCTATTTCCAATATAAAATATACTCTATATAGGTAATTCTATAGTCTTTTTAGTACTATAGTAATAGCTCTATATTCCCTTTTTATTATATTATAATAAGCTTATACCTTATTCTAATAGCTAGACTTATACCTGACTAGGTACCTAGCTCCTTCTACTACTTATATTAATATAGTACCCTATCCTATAAGGCTTATATTAACTATTAGGATTATCTCCCTATAATCTTTATTTATATTAAGAGAGATAAGGATTAGATTAGAGGTTATAGCCTCCTTTAATTAATCTATTACTTCCTATTAGTAATCTCTCTATATAAAGACTATATTCTTTCTCAGAAGGTTTATTAAGGGTTTAGCTTTTATTATATACTTTTTAACCTACTGATAATAATAACTAATAATCCCTAGGAAGGATCTTATATTAGAGATAGATTTATATATCTTCTATTTAGTAATCTTAATTATCTTTATTTCTTTAGATCTTTAACTATTTATTCTATAAAGATATCTAATAATAATAGCTTTAGCTTAGTAAAAGAGTAATTTAGTAGGAGAAATTATATATCCTACTAGCTCTATATTTATAAGGACTTTATCTAAGTTAATTAAATACTCTAGAATATAGTAGCAGATTCCTAGGGTTACTTCTTTATTATTAAAAGTAGAAGTTAGCTCTTATATAGTAATATTATTAAGGAATAGTCTATATACTTTAGGTACTAAATTATATAATATCTACAGTATAATCCTTATAAATTATACTACTGAGTTAGTAGCTCCTTATAGGAGAGTATATATTCTTACTAGGCTAATTAGGATTAAGAATATTATAATATCTCTACTTTTCTCAGTAAGTATTACTTAGTTATATCCTAAGAAGAAGTTAATAATTATTAATATCTTATATATAGTAAAGTCCTCAGAGAATTTATCTGTACTAGGAGATAGTAATATATCTTATATTATATATATATTATATCTTATTACTAAATTAATTAATTAGAAGTCTTTATTCTTTTTTAATATAAGGAACTAAGGATTTCTATATAAGATATAAGAGTATTCTAGAATATCTTTCTTCAGTTAGTTATATAGGATCTCTATTACCTTAGTCTATAAGGTAATTAGAATAGAGATTATTCTAGTCTACTAGGCTTTATACTCTATAACCTTAATCTCTTAAGGTAGTACTATATTAGGACTTACCCTTCTATACTTCCTAAACTCCTAAACTAGTACTACCTTCCTATTATAAAGGATAGCTAGTAGTAGCTCTCTCTTCTTCTCTATTAAGTACTTTACTTAATTAAGTAGTTTTACTAATCTCTTACTATAGAGTTACTCTCCCTTTATAATATTAGAGAACTTACCTATTATCTATTAAGAGAATTTACTAGTATCTTAGACTAAGTACTTTAACTTCTCCTACTTCTTTTCCTTTTAGTATAAATTACTATTAGGTATAGTACTATTAGAAGGAATATTATCTTAAGGGTAGATCTTCTTTCCTTTTAGTTTATATATAGTATTTATTTTAATTATATTATTAGCTTCTTTATTATTAGGAAATCTGTTTTTCCTTCTCTTTCTTCTCTTTCTCCTTCTTTTTACTAGAATAAAAGGCTTCTAGTTATTATTAATAATAACTTAGATAATCTCTTTAGTCTCTTCTTTAGAGATAGGAATTATATAGTCTTTATACTTAAGTTCTATAATCTTATATTACTCTTTATCCTTAATAGCTATATAGAATACTCTAAGGCTATAGGATATATAGCTCTATTTAGACTTTTTAAACTAGTTCTTTAAGTTAGTATTTAATTAATTAATTAATTTATTATCTTTAATAATAGCTATATAGGTAGTAATTATTCTTATATAGACTATTAGTTTATTTTATATAGGATCCCTATAATATATTCCTCTAGCTATAGGGATAATAAACCTAGTATTACCTACCCTTACTTATAGTAATAAATTTTCTATTAGGTCTAAATAATTAAATATAACCTTAGCTATTCTAAAGAATAGTATTTCTAATAGGAAAGGTATACTAATTATAGATTTCTCTACTATATAAACTACCTATAGAATAACTATACTTCTAAAATATAAGTTTACTTCTATCTTTCCTATTAATAGAATATAGTCCCCGGAATAAGTTTAGATAGATTAAATACTAGCTAGCTTTAGTCTTAGTCTGAATTTTATTATATAGTCTTCTATTATAATATTCCCTTTAGTACTACTATCTATCAGGGCAAGGATTACTTCTACCTACAGGCTCCTAATCTTTATAGGGATAAATAGGAGGTCTTAGCTTTCTATAGATAGTTATTTAACTTAGTATAGACTATTAAATTAATCTAATAAAGTAGTATAGACTTAGATTATTAAATCCTCCTAATCTAGGGAATTAGTAAAGAAAGATCTCTATACTAGCCCTTCTATAGAAATCTTTATAGATATAATCTCTTTATATACTATAGATATCTCTCTATCTTTATATCTCAGGATAATAAATAAGCTATTAATATATTTACTATCCTGATCGATTGAATTTATATTAAGATAGTTTATTAATATTTCTAAGAGCTTAGAATCTATTATTTCTACTCTCTACTTAATTAATTAGAATAGTTTCTTATTATCTAGTCTTAGGGCTCCTACTGGTTCTTTAGTAGCTTTATTAAATAACTATAAGGTTATAAACTGAATTTTTCTAGAGAACTAAATAACTATATTCTCCAGCTTCTCTATATACTCTACTATTATCTTATCCAGAAGGCTTCTAACTAGATCCCCTATTAAAGGTTCTAATTTAATTAAGTTATCTAAGTAGATCCCTAGCTTCTTACTTCTGATTTCCTTAGTAATCTTTTAAATAACTTCCTCTTTATCTTATAGTAATAACTTATTAATAGATCCTTAGGTAGAGATAGGAACTTACTACTATATAGTATTTTTCTTTTTCTATTAGTCCTCAGAGAGCTTATTATTATTTAATCTAGTAGTTCTTATAGTTCTAGCTAGATTAGTTCTTTATTTTTTCCCTTTAAGAGAGAATATCTGGATAGCTCTCTCTTTTTTAAATATTCAGTTCTTATTAGATCTCTAAGGTATATTAGTATTATTAATAATAGATAATCAGGATATAGGAATAGAATTAATATCAGTATATCTTAGTAAGATATTTATTTTCCTATACTTATTAGGGTTAATCTGTATTAATAGGCCCTAATCTGGTATATTATTTAGATAATATATAATCTCCTTCTCTTCTTTAGAAGTCTTAATCTATCTCTCTATATATAATAATTCCTATTTAATTAAATTATTAATAATCTCCTAGAGGTTAGAATTATACTTAGAAAACTATTTTACTTAAAAGACTATAAGATATCTTATATATAATTACTACTAGAAGAAGGTAATAATTCTAGAAGATATAGACTTTCTCTTCTTTCTAAGTAGTAAGGATTATACTTTACTATTATAGTAGTACTAACTATTTACTTAGCTATCTATCTTAAGTTCCTAATAGTCCTGAGGATAATACCCTTAGATACTATAGTACTAGTAGTTCCCTTAGAAGTCTTATAAGAAGTAAGTAGTATTAATAGAAATATTATAAGTTTAATTAAATACTTCTCTATTATCTACTCCTTTTAGAGTAAGTAAGTTCAGCCTGGGTATAATCCTATCTCTCTTCAGATTTAACTTTATATTCTCTTCCTTAAGAAGATAAAAACTATTAATAAGGGATATAAGTATTTCCTATATTTAGATCTAGCTTATTCTTATTTCTTTAAACTTAAGTCTTATTTTTTCTACCTCTAATTCTTCTTTCTTCTACTATACTAACTATATAATCTTCCTTTAAAGATCTTAGAAGCTAACCTTCTTCTCTACCTTTAAGGACTTTACTTCCTCCTCCTTCTTCTTCTGCTTTTATAGGTAATTTATAAGGTTAATTTAATTAATTCTATTAGCTCTAATTCCTCTAAATACTCTAGAGAATTAGTTATTTCTTAGTCTACTAATATTAAGATAATACTCCCGAGCTATAAACTTATTACTAATTCTATTACTAGTATAATTAAAGTTATAATTTATAATTAGAAAGTATTAGTATATAGCTTTATTAACTATTACCCAGAGTTTCTTATATTCTATTCTCTCGAGCTCTTTATATATTTTCTTTTCCTTATAGATAATATTAAAAATAAGATCAGATAGTAGAGCTCTAAGTAAGTATTATAACTGAATTATATTAGTATTCTATTTAGCAGGGTTAATTTTCTAGTAAAGAAGCTGATAAGTATTAATAAAAGTAGTAATCTACTATTAATTAAATATAACTACTATAGTATTAAGCCTTTATAGCTTTTCTTCAGATTAAATAAACTATTTAGGGTTATAGCTATAGTATTATTATTTAAGTACTTAAACTACTTTAGACTAATAATTCTAACTCTTAAGGATAATCTTAACCCTCTACTTCTCTTTTTTAATAATATAGAAAAGAAGAAGCTTCTTTTTTATAGTAGGGTTAATATTAGAGTTTCTAAACTTAATAAACTCCTTAAAGCTATCCAGAAAGGAAGTAATTCTATAACTATTAAATTCCTTAGTTATCTACAGGTTAATTCTGTTTTTTATAGAATAAAGTAGGTCTTTTAATCTAATAGCTAGATCTGATCCCTTTAGATCAGTAGCTGCTTTATTATTTAGTATAATTTTATTATTAGCTATTTTATTAATTTAAAAGGCTTTAATAAAATAATTTATACTGGATCTTATAGTATTAATTTTAAATACTTCTTTTTCCTTTCTAGCAGTTCTTCCTAAGTAGGATATAAGAAGTAAGATTATAGTAATATCTATACTTTTTATAAAGAGTAATCCTTAGATTAAATAGAAAGTTCTATAGAGTTATATAAGACTAATTAATCTAATAGTCTAGACTATCCTAATAACCCTATAAGCTTATTCTCTTTCCTTAGGTCTAATAGCTCCCTGAACCCTGATATAAGATTAAGAATCTAACTTTTATTATAGATTACTCTTTAGTTTTCCCCTATACTAATCTAATAGGTAGAACTTAAGAGATTTAATTAAGTTAGAAATCTAATAAGAAGAAAGATTAGTTTATTCTCCTTTCTCTTTTCTATATAGAAGAGAAGAAACCCTTAGCTATTAGTACTTATTATACTACTCTTAAGCCTTCTTTCTAAATTATAAAGCTCTACTAGACTTCCCCCTAGTAGTTTTAAATAATATTAATAATCTAGAACTCTTACTCTTATTAAATAGTTCTTACTAAATAATCTAATAGAACTAGAGCTAGAGTAGTCCTAGTAGAGATCCCTAGCTTTTAGAAGAAAAGTCTTAATTATATTATAATCTATACTTTTAAATCCTTAGTATCAGATAATATCTTAGGAAGTACTTTCTACTTCTAGAGCTATAAAAGAATAATCCCTTTTTAGATCTATTAGTATTATACTACCCTTAAGAAGGGTTTAATTAACTAATTATAATCTCTACGAGTAACTATATATCTATTCTTCTGCTAATTTTACCTCTAGATATTAGAATTAGGGTTTTTAAAGCCCTAGCTCTAATCAGGTTCTAACTGCTTATAGGTAGATAATACCTAAGTATAAGTAATAAGGGTTTTTTCTATAGATTAGTAATCCCCGGAATATCTCCTTACAGCTAAGAGGAGGGTTTATAGATAAAAGATAGATAGTTAGAAATTCCTACTAGGTATATCTAGGTTCTTCTTACTCTAATAGTATAGAAGTACCTTCTTCTCAGAGTAAAATTATCTAAAAGACTAAATAGTAGTTAATTAATTAGAATTCCTTACTTTAAGGATTAAACCCAGATAAAACTACTATATAAGTACTAGTAGAATTTTCTAACTAATAATACTATAACTAAAGACTGGGTAGATCTATAGCTATAATATTAATATTAGTTAAAGGAGAGGAATTATAACTAAGCTATATAGTTAAAGCTAATAACTATAATTAATTATATATATATTTAGTATTTAGTTAGGGATTTCTATATTTAATTAATTAAATAAAACTATCCAGATTATTATATAAGCTAAACTGGCTATAGAATAATAAGTTAAAGATTATAATTTTAAAAATAAAGAATAATTTAAGAGTAAAAAACAGTTTTTTATTTTTAGAGCAGTAAATAATTTACTACTTAAGTAGTGAATAGTAAATTACCCTAACTAACTATAGAAATTATATATGCTCTCAATATCTACTATTATTAAGTAGTAAACTAATAAAGATATTAGATAATTAAACTTAACTAAATATTAATATAAACTAATATTATTATAGTATATAGTTTCTATTAGAATATAAGTTAGATATTATATTAATCTTAGTAGAATAATTAACTTACTATAGCTTAATAAAGAAAGATCTCTATAGTTAACTAGTTAAAACTAATAATATTAATAAATTATTTACTATAAGTTAATATAATAAGATATCTTTTTAAGATATTATTCTAGATATTAGTATATTAAAGTATTTAACTAATAGCTATAAGTAGTTTAAAGTATTTTAATATATCCTTCTATCTATTTATATAAAACTATTAGACTTAGTTATCTGCTTTAGATTAGATCTATCTATATAAGCTCTTAGTTTAACTAATATTAAGATACTACTTAGTAATATAATATTTTATATTATACTAACTAATATACTATTCCTACTATATCTTTAAGATATAGATTAATTAGGTATTTAATATAATAATTTAACTAATATCTTATAGAAAGATAATATCTCTATTCTAGTTATCTATAAATAGAGCTATCTATAGTTATTACTAAATAACTATAAAATAACTACTTACTTCCTTACTAAAATAGAGATCTAATATATCTATTATTACTTTAGTTATCTATTTATTACTTATTTTAAATATATATTAAAGCGAGCTAGCTATAATATAGATAAATAGATTATTATAGTAATTTTAAAGATCTACTACTACTATTAACTATTTACTAATTAGCTATATTAATTTAAGTTTAATCTTTATAATAACTATAAGTTTAACTATAAACTAATAGTTAATATTATATATCTTAATAGAAATAAGCCTGTTCTATATATTATTAACTCTACTATATTATTTAATACTATCTATTTTCTAAAAGATATTTCTATTTAATATATCTAGTAAACCTTATATCTTTATTAGATTAATATTTATCTAGAATTATCTAATTAGCTAATAACTAATACTAGTACTAACTTCTAAGTAATTAAGTTCTACTATAAAGCTTAGATAATAGAAATTTCTATTAAGGAAGTACTAATTAAAATATACTATAGTATTAGTAAAGTTAAATATTATTATTTACTAATCTGTTATATATATAAAATTATTTAATTAGAAGATCTATTAATTATATAAGAGTCTATATTATAAATAGCTATTAAATCAGTAAATAATATAGCTAGATCTAATAGTTTAATTTCTATACTTCTTATATTTAGTATATTTCCTTATATAATAGATAATTATATACCCTTACTATTAATAATTAAATATACTAAGGCTTTATATAAAGCTATAAATAAAGTTAGATAACTAAAGACTAAATATATAGTTAATAAAGCTCTAGTAATAAGAAATAGTTCTAATATATCTAATATATTAAATCTTCTACTATAATCTAATATTTATATATAAAGGGAAATTACTAAATTATAATAAGAACTATTTAAACTTCTAGCTATTAAAGAAAAGAAATATATTATCTAGATACTATAAGGCCTATAATTATTCTGTTTAACTATTATAAAACTATTCTACTATAATACTAACTACCTGCCTAATATAATTAATAATTATTATACTCAGAACTAGCTATAATTAGCTTAGATATTATAGATAGGTTCTTAGTTATTAACTATAGGATAGCTATAGTTAGATAGCTTATAGTTAAAGCCTAGGTTTATAATATCTTTACTTATATATAAGATAATATAATTCTTAAGGCTTAAGTTCTTTCTATCTACTAGCTATTTATAGCTCTTTTATAGAGAGCTCTATACAGCCTCTATTTATAGTATAATAAGTACTCTAAATAAAGAAAAAAATACTACTACCCTTAGTAGCCTGATTATATTCAGTCTACTTTAATAAATAAAAGAAATTCTAATAAAAGATTAATTAACTACTATTTAGCTAATATATATTATTCTATAAAGAAAAGTTCTATTATTCTAATTCCCCTTTACTAATTATATACCTATATTTATCCTTTCCTTAGTTATCTTTATACTTAATCTATTCTATACTTTTTTCTTTATTATAGTAAGTACTACTCTTTTCTAGTTCTTTTTTTATATCTTTAAATTATATTATTTAGCTTATTAGCTTATAGATCCCTTTAGATTATTCTCTAGCTTATACTTAGAAGGGATCTTTAGGTTTATAGCTAACTTCCCTAGAATTACTTTAGTAGATATCTTCTTTAATAGTATTTTAATAATCTACTTTAATTTACTATATATAACTAAAGCTTTAAATAGAGTTTTATTAACTCTATCTAACTCTAACTCTTACTTCTTATTAACTATCTATAATACTTTATACTTAGATAAAGTTTTATCTACTTTATAATTAGCCTTTTTAAGAATATTAAGCCTAAGCTATAAAGTAGTAATACTTATCTCTAGAGTAGTATTTTTCTCCTCTAAAGCTATATTAGATTCTTCTAAGTTATTAATATAGCTTATATTCCCTTTAAGCTCTTTAAATATCTTATTATTATATTAATTAATTATTTTATAGTTAGAATACTCTACCTTATATCTAAGATCTTTATTAATCTATTTAAAATATATCTTCTATATATAGATAGTTCTTACTTTAGCTTTAGATATATTACTAATAATTATAAGATCTATATAATCTAAAAATATTAGTTTAGTTATAATTTACTTATTAAAGATATAAGAATTAATATAATAAAGAGCTAAAATATTAACTTTAATTAATAATTAGTTATTAGGATCCTTAGTATTATACTTATTAATAGTATATTTAATTCTATTCTGAATATATATCTTAATTATAGTATTAACTTATTATTTAATATAGTAAATCTATATACTCTTACTTATATAATCCTTATAATCTATAGCTATCTTTAACTTCTTTACTTTAGTAATCTCCTTCTAGATTTCTTTAATTTTATTTTTAATTTTATAGAACTCTTTTATAAGGGGGTAATTTAAGTTTTCAGGATTTAATATATCTTAAAAGCTAGTTATAATATAATTAAGAACTAAGATATTAAGTAATTTATTACTATCTTTTATTTAGTAGTAATTAAAATATATCTTCTAGTAGGATATATTATTATTATCTTAATAGGTTATAATCTAGTCTATATAATAGCTATAGTTTTTTACTATTAATAGATATATATTACTAGTATTCTCTTTATTAGTTCTTACTATAGGCTATTTATTCTTATTAGAAGAGGAGTAAGTTATTTCTTTATTAGATATAATTTTAATTATTTTTACCTTTAATATAGTAGTTTTTTTCTATACTACTATTAGAATATCCTTATTATTACTATTCTTCTCTATAAAGATCTTAGTTTCTTTAGAGTTATAGAAGAGATCTTCTTAGCTCTTATTAGAAACTACTATTTATATCTTTTTATTCTTTAAAGATATTATAACTAAGGTTAATAATTTTTTATTAGCTTTCTTAGCTAGTATCTTAGCTAGAGTTTTAGAGATCTCTCTCTTACTCTTATAAGATACTAATCTTATATTTTTAAAAGATATAGTAGATATTCTCTTCTAATAGATAATTAGTTCTAATATAGATAATTATTAAAGTATAGTAAATAACTCTTCTAATTATTTTATAATTCTATAAGCCTCTATATAAAAATCTTATTAGAACTTATTTTTAGCTAGTTTTTTAAAGTTATTTTTAACTACCTCTAGAAAAGCTCTATAATTATATTTAGCTAGATTTTTTAAAACTATACTATTAAGTTTCTTATCTCTCTTACTAAGCTCCTTATTAACTAGATACTTATTAAGTATAGCTCTAATTTACTTTTAAATCTAATTAATCTAAGGTTTACTAATATAGTTAAACTTAGGGATACTAAAGCTAAGAAAGTAGATTAGATATTCTATATATAGAAATCTTATCTGCTTTCTAGTAGATAACTATAGCTCCTAAGAGTTTTTACTTAGAGAGGTTCTAATTTTAATATAGCTAGTTTTAGATATTAGAGATTAATTAAAGAAGATAAAAATAATAAGTATATATTTTATATAAAGAGAAGTTATTA